CTATATATGTTGTACAACAGTCGTAACTGTCATAGTGATATAGCCGATATATAACCACACTTGAAACCAAAACACCACAGCCGTAATTTTCAATTACGTAACCTCTCTGTGGTTTCGTTGGCGGTCGAGATTGAAGCAGGCGATGTTTTTGCAACTTTTAATCGCTCGGTATTAATTAACCACAAGTTTTTAAAGAATGAATGTGGTGTTCCGCATAAGACTAACCACAAATCTTTCGTATGTAATGGTTAAAAGAGTACAAAAAACAAAGTTTATGTGTTCTTTAATGACGTCTTAATGTTGCATTGTGACATAAACATATCCCATACTGCCACACAAAGAACTCACAAAGAACTCTTTCAACTGTTTCTTACAGATGTCAAGAACGTCAAGAACAATCCTTGAATGCAATGACTTAATAGCTACAGACACTGTAAAGGGTGTTTCTAGAAAGCACATTAATAACTTTAGTAGGCAGCTGTACATTAAAGTAGCTATTATGTTCTTTGAATGGTCGTCATCACCTGTGTTATGGGCCCTTTAAAGGCATATCTTCACGATAGTCTACCTTGAGGGAAAAGACATGGATGAAAGTTGATGAATGCTTGCAAAATGTGTCCCTTTGAATTTCACCAATGTACTGGAGCTCACCTTTGTATTATCAGTGATAAAATGACCAGAAGAAGGGTACTATTTCAGTGAGATCATAGCATGACAATGTGAGGGGAGTCGTCTCAGATCTTTTACATTTTGTTTTGTTATAGTTATAGGTGCCGAAAACAACCATCCAATCCACTTGGTTGTCAGTTACAACCAGTATATGTTGTTGGGGACCTAACTTGGAAACAATGCTGGGTGGAACTGATTTAACAGGCCACCATGCTGGAGCGGACATTTATTCCATTTCTAGACAATAAACTGGCGCTGTGGGTAAAACTGAAACCCCGTGTGATTAATGAAATCGGCAATAGCTTGAATAATATTCAAAACACACAGTGTCAACACACACATAACATGGGTTCTGAATGACACTTCCATCACTACTTGCCCTTTTGAGCTGAATGGAATCTGTTTTGCCAGATAATCAAGTCTGACTATACGATCACTCTCCACTATACCCTGGATGCACCCACGGCTTGGCCCGATACTTGTATTACCTCCCTTTGCTGGCTCCGCATTCTCACAGTAGCCAATCAGCTAAGCCGCCGTTACATCCGAGCTTGCCAGTGTCAACAAAGATAGCGGTCGCAGTCGCGGAGGTTTGTTCGCAGTGCCAATCAGATTTTTGGGGAAATAATGCAGACAAATTGACAGATCTGAAACTTTGAAAACATATATGAAAGAACTCCTTCTACACCTTTCAGAGTACCTCTGCATCAATTGTGTTGCCAAGTTTAATCGGTTAGATAATTTAAGAAGGGAAAGTGAGTTGTGATTGGTCCGCTCAACTTCCCAGCGTAGACACCCGATTGGATAAAAAGCCAGCCAAGGGAGGTAATAAAATCATCGGTCCAAACCGTGGATGCGTCCAGGGTATAGTGGAGAGTGATCGTAACGTATACCCTGGAGATTATCAGGCGCACGTTACCAGAAAAAAACAAATGATAAACTGTTTGATGACGGTTTACGTTCGGGTTAGATATATTCTCTAAATTATTCTAATTACATCTGTGATTAACGTAAACCATATGGGGCAATATGAACGTCGCATTTCTACTACCAAGGTAAGTTTAGATCAGTACATCCAGATGAAGTTGACTAGTCACGCGACATTCTACGGATGCATTGTGGGAATGTAAACATTGCGAACGTTGCCGAGTCGAACGGAGACATTATAGCCGTCGAAAAATATAAACATAATGATTCCACCAGTGATGTTTGCCGAGTGAAGCATCACAGGCCCTCGTGTCTTTGCGAGGATTAAAGATTTTGAAAAAATAAAAAAAAATTGAGATGATCCACGACTCGAAATGCCTTACAGTACAATACATTATGACAAGGCCGGACACTTCGCTGTACCCCACCCGCCTGCTTTGCCGATCGCTACGCTACTACCATCTCATGTAATCGATTAAGACTTAATGTAAACATTATCATGAATGATTGGCCTATCGATCACCATTCATGACACCTACCAATTCTTTATTGTTAATTCTGCAAGTCGATTGAAAACCGATTTTGACCCTCAACTAAACGATCTTGACACAAATGAATGACGATATGTCCGGACAAAATGGGAGTGTGGTCGAAGCAAGCCCTCTGATTGGTCAACGCTTGCAAATCTGCACATTCTTTGTAACTTCGCTGGAATTTTTCTTTTCATCGACTGCTTAATGAAAGAATAGTTTTCGAGCAATGACTTCTCAAAAGAAAGCATCAGTTGTAAATGTCTCCTAAACAAGGATCAACCAACCAGAGGGCTTGCTACCACACACCCATTTTGTCCGGACATATCATCATCCATTTAAATTTGTGTCAAGATCGTTTAGTTGAGGGTCAAAATCGGGTTTCAATCGACTTGCAGAAATAACAATAAAGAATTGGTAGGGGGTCATCTCAAATTTAATATATTTTTTCAAAATCTTTAATCCTCGCAAAGACACGAGGGCCTGTGGATGCAACTGATTAGTTTACTGTAATAGGCTGTACGAGGCGATGACAACTGACATGCATGGTGACGTCGGTTGCTAAGGTTACGTTCGATTAAGAGGGGGAAGACAAGAATGGCGCAGTGACGTCAATACATTGTGGCGTAATGCCAAAAGTGTACATTATCATTATCATCGGCGCCTTTGATCTTTCACCGAAACATCTTAGAAACGTACTTTTCTTGACAAACATATATGTTATTAGTTTATCTGTCGTCATATATTCTTTAGGTCTGATGGTCGTCTTATATGCAGTGGGCACTGATATTGTTGAATATGCTATGTGGATTTCATGTCGACATACATGTGTATAATTCTATAATTCTATTCAAGTCCTATAATTTTTTAAGCATATTGCATTATCTTCAACATGGGCTCTAACAACGACTTTCCAACGTAGCAACACAATCTTGTCGTGGACCTTTAAGATAGACGCTGTACCGGTGGCGTGAGATTCTCAAGGATTTCGAGTTTTCGGCATAGAGTTAATGATAATAAACCTTCCACAACGCAAATATTAGATTTTTTTCTTACTGTTACATTATGTGTTGACACTGCGGGACTTTGAATGCTCCCTTGATCCAGCATCGTGCCTCAAAGAGAGCGAAAAGTGGGTGTGGTACATAAATGTTTGTACACGACTTGTCAAAAGGAACTTCCTGAATGACAATTGCCCCATACAGTCATTAAGAGTAGGATACAAATCTTAAATATAGAAGGTGCATGCTGTAGATAGGAGAAATATATATTCAAGTGAGATTAATGGGCATCCAGCATGTGCTCCTTAGAAACACAGGGAGATGGTCTCATTTTCATGACAAATAACAACCAAAGATTGCTGTTTCACAAAATGCTTCTCGTATTTATTGAAGTATTTTATTTCTTTGTTGTTTACCGCCCTACTCAGCAATATTCCAGCTATATGACGGCGGTCTGTAAATAATCGATTATGCTTTTAGGGATCATTTCTATAGTATGCATCGCCATGATTTCAGGTAAAACTGACAGTCTACCAAACCACGAGGACGATAAGGGGGTCTGATTATGAGCAGCATCGTTCAGACTTCAAACTGAAAGGAATAAGTCAAAGAAAAACAAATGATGAAATTCAAATTGTCTTTATTTCCATTCTAAAGTAGATTTTCTATTAATAACATACCATGATCTATCACTTTTTGAACTAATACAAAGACAGAAATACCAACACTTTTTGCTACTTTTAGAATTTTTGAAATAGCCGTTTTTTGACTGAGAGTTAACAATAACAACTACGATTGTTCAAATATTGGCTGCCCGAAATGCAAAACATCTCCATTATTCTTGAATATTTTCAACAGTAAACCAAATTAGTGCCACGGCGTTTTAGCTCACTACCTTCTGTAGCGAACAATCTGAAGTATCAGGAAAGACATCCTCTTAAAATAAGACAGCTTTCATAATCTTTCTCCTCTTTCTCTACATCCTCTGATCCCCCAAAACTGATACCCAAATGGACCATGGAAGAACATACATGTACCTTTATTAAAGCAAATGGTAACTCATAAGTACCCTCAAAACGGACGATGTTCACCTGTAAACGACCCGTGAAGATCCAGGTTAGAATTGGTCTTCAGCAACCCATGCTTGTCGTAAGAGGCAACTAATGGGATCGAGTGGTCAGGCTCGCTGACTTGGTTGGCACATGTTATCGTATCCCAGTTGTGTAGATCGATGCTCATGACATTGATCACTGGATTGTCTGGCCAAGACTCGATTATTTAAAGACCGTCGCAATATAGCCGCGATATTGCTGAGTGCGGCGTTAAACAACAAACCATCCAAATCTCATCGGCGACAGTTGATCACTGTATTGTTTGGTCCACACTCGATTCTTTACAGACCGCCACCATATAGCTGGAATATTGCCGTGTTTGGTGTTAAACCTTTATTTATTTCCAGAATTTCACTCACAGTGCAATACATACCATGTGAAGAAACCTGGAAAAGAATAAAGGAACGCTTGTACTTTCATGTGTACCTTACTCGTTTCCATGAGAATATTATTCGAACATAACTCCGGTCTAAATACTCAGAAATGATACCGCTAAGCGTCCGTTAGTGGACTGCTTTCATCGTGTGCTTTCACAAAAGACAAGGTTGTCTAACCTATGGATGCATTCTATCATGTTTATTCATGACTCTATTTCGTTATTTCACTTTCTAAACTTGTACCAACCATTGAACAGCTGCTAATCGTTAGGTTGCGTGTTACACCCGACTCAGACATCGGACCAATCAGTCCGGGGTAGATGGTTGGGATCCGCCCACTGGCTGGTGTTATTCGACTGATAATGACCGGAGAGCTAAGCAATTCTTACAAACTGATTTTACTGTCGGGTGAGCTGGTCTCATTCCTCAGAGAAATTGCAAAACACTATATTTACTACAGGATTACCCGCAGTGGGATTACTTACACACGTTATTCATCGAAAATCAAGAAAAATGCGACAAGGTAAATATTCACTATTGACTTTTATTCAAATGATGTGGTTACGTTTTTTATGAGCTTGTTTAACAGTTTGACTTGACTCAAATGTTGACCGTAAAACTGACAAGTTTAAACTTTGAATATTTTCATTTAATTGAATTTAATTCATTTAAAATTTATTTTCATTTCACAAAATAGCATATACATGTAAATGTATTTAAGTTTTCTTTAAAATTCAATTTAAGTTTCAAAATACGATATACTTACATAAATGGAAAGGTAAAAGGTAAAGGTAAAATATCACTTTCATCCGCTGCTCGAAGTATTCCCACAATGAAATCAAACCGTAATTATTGTAAAAACTTTCTTCTTCGTTTTAACCAGTCCGGTACAGTAATGTTAGGGTGCCCGTTAGACGAGTAGATAAGTCATCGTACCTGTTATAGAAGGAGTGTATAACGTTAGGTTTCAACGCATCGTTAATTCAGTTTGACAGTCTCACCCAACAGAGCGTAAATGCTAGCATGAGCCATCATTTAACTTTTAAGTCTGTATCTGTGTAGGGACACACCCTCAGTACGTGTTCAGTTTCATTTTAAATGTATTTAGTACTGACGGATGTGAAAGAGGGTTTGTCCGCTAAAGTTCATCGAAATACCAAAGCTGCATATGCAGTTGCCATTGTTACAAATGGTTGGTTGGTTTGTTGTTTACGCCGCACTCAGCAATATTCCAGCTATATGGCGGCGGTCTGAAAATAATCGAGTGATCAACAGCATGAGCATCGATCTACGCAACTGAGATGCGATGACATGTATCAACCAAGTCAGCGAGCCTGACCACCCGATCCCGTTTGTCTTAAGACAAGCATGGATTGTTGAAGACCAGTTCTAACTCTGATCTTCATGGGTTTTGCTACAACTGAGTTTAGTTTTCACTTATTGAACTGGGTATAGTTTCAGTCATTGCTTCAACTGGGTATAGTTTCAGTCATTGCTTCAACTGGGTATAGTTTCAGTCATTGCTAAAACTGGGTATAGTTTCAGTCATTGCTTCAACTGGGTATAGTTTCAGTAATTGCTTCAACTGGGTATAGTTTCAGTCATTGCTTCAACTGAGTATAGTTTAAGTCATTGCTTCAACTTGGTATAGTTTTAGTCATTGCTTCAAATGGGTATAGTTTCAGTCATTGCTTCAACTGAGTATAGTTTCAGTCATTGCTTCAACTGAGTATAGCTTCAGTCATTGCTTCAACTGAGTATAGTTTCAGTCATTGCTTCAAATGGGTATAGTTTTAGTCATTGCTTCAACTGAGTATGGTAAGCGGACGCAAACCGCTCAAAAGCATACCCTATTCTTTCCTACTACTATGTGTATCTGCCATGGCATAGTGTCGTGTCACTGGGTTGTCTGGTCCGGACTGGGTAGTACGACAGTAGTACTGTTCTGCGGCGCCATGCAACATTCACTTACATATTCAGTCAAATTGTTTTAGTTGCGAGAAGTGACCCTGGAACAGGACACGGTTTACCTTTTCGCTAACACCTGGTGTCGTTGATTTTCAGTAATCCATTCACGTAATTTCCATCACTAATTTCCCTGTTACGCCCAATGGAATCTGATTAAAACTGAAACTGATTAGGATGACGTTATTTTGCCAAAATAGTTTTGTTCAAAGTTAATATTGTCAAAACAAAATTCTGAAAATTATGTACAGAACTGGAATTACACACGTCTTGTTTTTAGTACTTGTAAATAACGCTTTAGATAATACATACATGTAGAAGATTAGGACAACACAAAAACAAGTATTTTCTGATCTGAAATCAAAACATAAATGTTGGTGGTAGCAAAAAATTCAATCTGCATAAGTTAAAGGGATCCTCTTTTGTAGAGTGTACGGTAGTTTGAGCTACTGGTTCATGTGATCTTATGTACATACCACTCCAAGCCATCACGGGTTGTGATAGGTTTGTGGATAGATCCGTTCAATGCCCACAATACGATATTTAAAGGAGGCGTGATCTTCATGAGTACTCTTGAGTGCCTAAGACAGCCAGAGTGAATAGTTTAAGTTTGAACTGCCAGAATTGTGTAAGGAGCAAGGTGACCACAAGTCGCAAATTGATGTTCAAAGTTGTAATCCTTAGGTGTGCCTGGATCCGATTACCGCCGGTTTGAATTCTGTATTCGCCCTGATCACGATGTTTTGCTTTGTATGCACAATACCTGTCTTCGTGATAAACGCTAACGGTCTGGTTTACTTTGGGCTTACCTTTTATACTTGGCTGTAATGCTGAAGTCTGTCCAAATAGCCCTAATCAGTTGATATAAGACGTCAAAGACAGATCGTAACCAGTCTCTATTATTATCCGTCAGGTGAGGTGAGGTGAAATTGGGTTTAACGTCGTGCTTGAGAATATTTCACATGCATGCGTGTGTATGTGTATGTGCGGCTGCTTGTACTAGCCCAGACTTAAGCTGGTTTTATAGTGCTAGCCCACTGAGATACCATGCCGCAGTGAAGCATGAATACCCCACTCAGACACATTATACTGACTCCGAGCCGACCAGTCCTTGTTGTACCCATTAATGCCGAGCGCCAGACAGAGACCAACAAGTACCATATTTTAACGTCTTTTGGTATGACGCGGTCGGGGATCGAACCCGCGACCTTCCGCTCTCCGGGCGGACGCTCTAACCACTACACCACGGAGGCGGTCTTATCCGTCAGGAGTGAAAAGCCAAATAGCCCAGAAACTTTAAGGAATGTGTCACGGAAAATCATCGACGGCAGGAGTTCTATTTTTGAAAACAATAATCATGTGTTTAGGTCATAAAAAACTAAGAGACTTCAGGTCATTTTGGAACGCTGCTTAGTATAGTTTTGTTTTTTCTTATGTTGCACCCAGCAGTATTAGAGCTATATGACGGTGGTGTGTAAATACTAAAATCTAGATCAAACTATCCAGGGGTCCACAGCATGCTCATCGATGTGCGCAAATGGGATACGATGATACTGAACTGAATCTGGGATCATGACAACCCGAACCGGTTAGTCGACTCTTACCACCAGCAATGTGATCACTAAAGGGTTGTTGAATAGAAAGTCTATATGCATGCATACCCTAGCTATCTATATAGATATATTTGGAGAATTGGTATGTATTACTGAACAAAACCAAAAAACTATAGTTTATGATGATGATTATGTTTTGAGATGTTATTGTGAACCTCAGTCGTTGCTAAGGATGGCACGTGTTATGAAGAGAGAGCGAAGATGGGGAATGTGAATGATATTGTGTTGAGGTGAAAACATCCTCGTTCTGTCTTAAATATTCTGTGGTGGAGTGGTGATGGTGTTGGTGTTGGTGGGGGTGGGGTGATGGTGGGGGTGGGGTGTTTCGAAATAGGCCGTTTCATTTGTCCCAACAGCCGGACAACACGCAACTGTTTTGGAACCCTCCATCACTACCACTACTTCCATCACCACCATCACCATCACCCTCACAATCACCACCATCACCATCAAGACCACCACAATCACCCTCCCCATGGTCCCTAGTATGGTGACCTACCTTCAGTTGCTGGAGATCTCCAGCCCGTTTTTATATTGTGTTGTCCATAAAACATTGTTTAATTTTACAGTTACATGCTAGTTTTAGTTCTCCATCTGTGATAGTCTAGTTATTTTACTGCCCTCCGTTGACAGATTGTTTATAATTATTGCGTTTATTATGAATTCACCACATCACCACCATCACCACATCACCACCATCATCACCACCACCATCATCACCACCTTCACCACCATCACCATCAACAACCATCATCACCATCATCACAACATCACCACCACCATCATCACCCCCATCACCATCATCACCACCATCACCATCATCTCCACCATCACCATCACCACCATCACCATCATCACCATCATCATCATCACCACTATCCCCATCATCACCACCGTCACCATCATCACCACCATTACCACTATCACCATCATCACCACCACCACCATCACCATCATCACCACCATACCCGTGAAGGTCTGGGTTAGAATATTGATCTTCAGTAACCCATGCTTGTCATAAGAGGCGACTAACGGTATCGGGTGGTCAGGCTCGCTGACTTGGTTGACACATGTCGTCGGTTCCCAATTGCGCAGATCGATGCTCATGCTGTTGATCACTGGATTGTCTGGTCCAGACTCGATTATTTACAGACCTCTGCCATATAGCTGGAATATTGCTGAGTGCGGCGTATACCTAAACTAACTCACTCACTCACTCACTCACTCACTCACTCACTCACCATCACCATCACTCACTCACTCACTCACTCACTCATCACCATCACCATCACCATCACCCACTTCACCATCACCATCACCATCACCCCTTTCGCTCCCTCACGCAGTATGGCATGCTTACCGGCTTTAATAATAGTCTACCAATGACACAAGATGTTATTGAAATGTGGGGATCGTGGGGAATCGAACCCTGGTCTTTGGCGTGATGAGTAAGCGTTTTATCCACTTGGCTACCCAACTGTGTAGTTAGCAGTATATATGTATAGGGCCAACGTCAATTCATGTACAGGTTTGTTTGATCATGGTTATGGAGGACAACGATATTGGGTAAACAAATCCTTTAGACATGCCTATTTTATTCATCGCTGACGCGAATAGGATTCTATTTTTGAATTTTGACAAAGAGCATGACTAAATAGACCAAAGCCTGTTGACAACAGCAGGTTGCATGCACACATGCACACACGGGAAACGCCCATATTGTCCATTGAAGTGTTTTGAAGACGACACGGCATGTAGCCTTAGTGAAAATTATTATGTGTTGATCCTCGACCTGTGCAGTAGCTAATCGGGATACCAACCAACAAAACATTGATTTGGCTTTGTTCGTTGTTTTACGCCGCACTCAGCAATATTCCAGCTATATGGCGGCGGTCTGTAAATAATCGAGTCTGGACCAGACAATCCAGTGATCAACATCATGAGCATCAATCTACGCAATTGGGATACGATGACATGTGTCAACCAAGTAAGCGAGCCTGACCACCCGATCCCGTTAGTCGCCTCTTACGACAAGCATGGATTGCTGAAGACCAATTCTAACCCGGATCTTCACGAGTCTCAACAAACATGAGATATAATTAACAATTGTATTCTAATATTGACTAAGTTCACAAACTGATATAAATCACTATTATAAAGGCGGTACAAAAGCAGGGATTATAGCAATAGTGTAAGTGAGTGAGATTAGTTTTACGCCTGTTTTAACAATATTCCAGCAATATCACGGCTGGGGACACCTGAAATGGGCTTCACACATTGTACCCATGTAGGGAATCGAACCCGGGTCTTCGGCGTGTCGAGCGAACGCATTAACCATTGGACTACCCCACCGCCCCTTTTAACAATGAAGACAGTGGTGGTAATATTCACCAGCATCTACGTAACTGGGACACAATGACATGCATTAGCCAACTCAGACAGTTTGACCACCCGATCCCGTTTGTCCCAACATACGACATGCAAGTACAGTTATATCCAGATCTGCACCTTTAATAATATACCAGTCCCTTAAGCCAAACCGTCAATTCCTCAAGTGTGTTTATTCTATCATTCATTCATTCTATGTATTTATTTATTTATTTATTTATTTATTTATTTATTTATTTATTTATTTATTTATTTATTTATTTATTTTATTTTATTTTATTTTATTTTATTTTATTTTATTTATTTTGTTATTTTATATTATTAATTTTTTAATTATTTATTCATTTATTTATTATTTATTTATTTATTTATTACATTCTGCTATTAACTAAAAGTGGGATGTCAATTTAACTAAAATTTGTTTAAGAAGTACGTGTGAGGGTATATTGATGCATTGTGTATGAGCTCCTCTTAATGTTATCCCTCTTAATCATATCTATACTGATGTATTTTGATACAATGATCAATACATGTACATTTATTTATTCCCTTCCACACTTATTATGATCCAGCGAAGTGAAAGTATATGTATAGATTAAGTTGAGAACGTCACCAGACAAGAGCCACCAGTTACTGAAGTGATTTTCTTTCGCTTGTTTCAGAAACAAACATCATTTTCAAGGCCGCCTTGGTCGTCATTGCTTTCATGGTGCTGGCCACCGCGACGAACCCAACGGTTAGAATGGGTAAGTACAGATTCCGATTCTAGATACACAGATACATGTCATCGTCAGTGCGGTGTTTCACTATTTAGTCGTATTAGGATATGTCACATGAGCGCCGATGTAAACATCGTCAATTGCAGGACATGAGTGGCAAGCTGTCCAAAAAAGGAAAATGCTAAACGTTAACCGTTATGGAAACAGCTGAAACCTCCTTGAAAGTGCTTTGTTTCCGAAAACAAATTCCATTTTAGGAAACGCCCAAATGTTAAACGATACGATAAATGTACAACGAATGAATTATGGCTACTGAAAACCAACTTGAAGTGAATGAGTGAGTTTAGTTTTACGCCGCACTCAGCAATTTTCCAGCTATAAGGCGGCGGTCCGTTAATAATCGAGTCTGGACCAGATAATCCAGTGATCAACAACATGAGCATCGATCTGCGCAATTGGGAACCGATGACATGTGTCAACCAAGTCAGCGAGCCTGACCACCCGATCCCGTAAGTCGCCTCTTACGACAAGCATGGGTTACTGATGGCCAATTTTCTAACCCGGACCTTCACGGGTCACCAACTTGAAGGATTGGTGTATTTCAGATACAATAGTGACAGAAAATATTAATATAAATATGATGCTTTACCAAATTTCATATCAAAGTAAGGTTACATGAGAATCAGGGATAGAATGATGGATCGGGATGTCACACTTAGATATTTGTTGCTTTGGTTGTATCAGAATTACAAACTCCGTTGTATCGACCTTATGGCTGTCTCGAAACGAAAGCTTATTCTCTCCCTGAGTATTCCTTCCTTAGTTACAATGTTGCGTTTGTGTCCAAGTAGTTCCGTAGTTCCCTTTGACGTCACAGGCGGTGGGGTAGCCTTATGGTTAACGCTCCCCACGCCGAAGACCCGGGTTCGATTATTCCCCACATGGGTAGAATGTGTAAAGCCCATTTCTAGTGATATTGTTGAAATATTGCTAAAAGCGGCGTGAAAACATACTCACTCACTCACCGGTATTTAACTGACATTTTATTGGTTACAGATCAGAGTCACGACAAAGACCTTGAGAACTTGCTGGAGATGGAGTACCTTTATCCTGTTGCCAAGAATCGCTCAAAACCAAGCCAGACCAGAGTACAAAAATACAACAATGTTATGGGAGTTACTAGAACCACCTTTCAACCTTTCACGGCCAAACCTGTCGACTTCGCTGAATTTGAAGATAATCTGGAAGATGAATTCTTAATAAGGGTGGATCACAACAGGGTGAAACGTCAGGTGGAGGAAGGCTCCGGCGGTGGCAGCGACGATGAGGGTAATGAAAGTAGTTGCTGTCGTTGACTGGCAAGTGTGCGCGTGCTGACTGAGTGCTTGCATGCGTGAGTTCGTGAGTGTGTGGCGTCCTGTATAGGTTTGTTTGCGGCAGAATGGTGTTTCAGACAGGTCTCCGAGACAATGTTTTTCTTAAAGCTGAAGACAAATTCCAACCTATAAAATGGTCGAACTATCAGTTTGGCTATAACCCTTCTAAACGCAATGCAGCTGTGAATTTCCTCAGGTTTGATATGATGTGGTAAAATTAAGTGAGTTTAGCTCTATGCCAGAAATGGGCTTCACACAATGTACCCTTGTGGGGAATCAAACCAGGGTTTTCAACGTGACGAGCGAACGCTTTAACCAGCTATCCCACCGTCCCTGAGGATGAGATATAGACGTTATTGTATCCGTGTACGCATCTGTGTATGTGAATGTAGTTTAGCGCCGAAGGTGAACTACAGTAGCATAAACGTGTTGTGTGAGTGAATGAGCGAGTTTAGTTTTATGCCGCACTCAGCAATATTCCAGCTATGTGACGGCGGTCTGTAAATAATGGAGTCTCGACAAGACAATCCAGTGATCAACATCATGAACATCAATCAACGCAATTGGGAACCGATGACATGTGTCAACCAAATCAACGAGCCTGACCACTCAGTCCCGTTAGTCGCCTCTTACGACAAGAATGGATTGCTGAAGATCAATTCTAACCCGGATCCTTACGGGCGTGGTGTGTGACGAGGACTGTACGTTTAGGATTGGGATAGACAATCGTCATGAACGGAGCTAAACCCATCTTGATCTACCTGGAGTATAACTGTCAACATGGACAACGTGGAAGCAATTTGTCCCTGTTCTTGTGAATTCACCTCTGCTAACATACACAAGACTTTCCGGTATAAGTGTTCACAACACAGAAATTGGGATTTAAACTTCCGATCCGACCAATGCGCAAGAAACTGGATACATCAATAACGGAAGTGAAGAAGAATGCCAACCCCATTAAAAATCAGAATCATTTCAATAATTTACGCCAGTTTAGTTTTATGTCAGAAATGGGCTTCCCCATACCCATTTGGGAATCGAACCCGTCTCTACAGCGTGAAGAGCGAACGCTTTATGCATTGATGGAAAGGTCGTGTCCTGTGAAACAAATATCACTTCAGATCCGGAGCTGATTCTAACACGTCAAGAGGTTGTTTTTAATTTCGGAGAATGGAAAACACCTGTGGATAATTTGTATTTTATGTTATTAGGACATTAATTCCATTATTCAATTTCACGTGGATTACATTCATTGACTTCTTTGGAATGCCTGTCCAGTGTGTTTGTTTTCAAAGGAATTGGAATACTTGCTGTTGACAGTCATTATTCACGTTGGATACAATATGTCATGTCGGATTACATATTTACAAATATGTAAGGCTTCATACATGAGGGCTTCCGACTAAAAGTATAGAAAATTGCGACATGCACCAGCCTAGTAATGGTTTGATAATCAGTATAATTTTCGGCAAATCCTGTTTGTATATTTTCTTTTGCCCCAGGGTTTATGTCCAGCCTCAAATGTAATTTGTTAAGAAATACTGTATTGTGAAGATTTTCGTACTTGGATCAAGTTTTAGTTAACTTTGTTGCTGTTGTTTTCCTTTCCGGATACATATCTGCCTTCCACAAGCTGCAAAAGTTGTCAGTCGGGAATACATGTCTGTAATTATTAATGATATCAAGAATGAATGCTATCATGAATTAATACTATGTTGAATTAATACTGTGATGAATTAATGCCATCAAGAATTAATTGATAATTTCATGAATAAGTGCCTAAAAGTTTCATGAATTAATACTATCAAGGTTTAATTCTATCATGAGGAGTTAATTCTATCATTGATTAAAACTTTGTCGAATTAATACTATGAGGAATTAATACCATCAAGATTTCATGGATTAATACTTTCATGAATACTTTCGTGAATTAATACTATCAACAAGTAATACCAATATGAATTACTCAAAAATTAATACTATCATGTGTTAATACCATCAATAATTAATGATATCATGAATAATAAACTATCATGAATTAATAATCATTCTTTTACATATTTTGTCTCAAAATGAAGTATGGAACCATTCGAAAAAAGCGACCATGTCTCATGACTGTCGTAATGCTATTTTGAAGTTTGGCTGTACGATTCTCTCATCCAGGGGCGTACCCAGGAAAGAAATGAAGTGTAGGCACAACTGGACGTACGAGTCTGTAGATCTGTAGTGCTAGTTATAACGGCTGAAGCCAACTGTTGCATGTAATGTTGTGAATACATATTGAACGCCAGAATGCTAGCTCCTGATTACTTTATATATAAACATAATTTAAACAAGTGACACTCTTGCCATTTCGATGTAAGGAAATCTTTCTTTCCTGATCAGCCAAACCATTTCCATATAAATTGACCGGATCTAGATATGGTAGTGCATGGGACTCTGGAACGGACACTTTCTTTTCCTCTGGCAGAGGAGCAAGCTCATTAGTATCATCTTTCATGGATGACATCATCTTAAAATACTTGTCAGTTGTTTTTGATGTGCTAGACACCATGTTGGCATCAAAGTAGCAGAGTTATCCACCTTTCATAGAAACGGAGACTGCTCTCGAAAAATAGCATATCCATATCATACCACATGTAAAAAAATGCCAAAATAACTAGGTGTAGGCAGGTACCTAAAGGGCCTAATGGCAGGTACGCTACTGTCATCTGTGTGCGTTGTGGAACCGGGCCTAGAATATGTCCTGGTTGGTGCCTTATGCTGATCTTCATGATGACTTGTTTGTTAATACGGTCCCTTTTCCCTCCGCAGTTACTGCTACTCTAAGCCTAGGGGAAAACCGTGGGATTGCTCAGACCAGTTCCGCATCCACCGAAAACCTTGTAAGTCAACAAACTGATTTTTATCAGGCTTTCACTGGTTGTTATATTTCAAGACAACCCGGTGTCTTACGCTTGTCTTTCGATGGCCACACTTTCCCGTGAAGATCCGGGTTGGATCGGGTCCCGAGCAAACCGTGCTTGTTATAAAGGCGACCATCGGGATCGGGTGGTCAGGCTCACTGACATGTCATCGTATCCCAACTGTGTATCGATGCTAATTATGCTGTTGATCACTGGATTGTCCGGTCCAGACTGGAATATTTACAGACCGCTGTCATATAGGTGGAATATCACTGAGTGCGGTGTAAAGCAACAAAACAATTCTATGGCCACACTGTGTAATTTAGTTGCTTTTGTGTAACCTTGTAGATTGGTGCTCATGCTATCGTCCACATGTTTAGCTGGCTGTGCGTGTGTAAAGACTACACTAATGCTGTATACATGTGTCAAATGCCTACTCACTGTTCTGTTTCTCTCTAGCTGCAACAAGAGTTCGTAGAAAACGAAGTGGGATCTACTTCAACGACAGTAACTGCAAGGTAAGATTATATATCGTATTCCTGATAACAATGCCGACATACACTAGTCCGTGACGCATGTCACTGTCACATTGATGTCACGGCTTCGCTATTCTTTCGCCAAGTTTTGAATGAGTGAGTGAGCGAGTTTAGTTTTACCCCGATTTTAGCAATATTCCAGCAATATTACGGCTGGGGACACCTGAAATGGGCTTCACAAATTGTACCCATATGGGGAATCGAACCCGGGTCTTCGGCGTGACGAGCGAACGCTTTAACCACTAGGCTAATGTGGTTTCGCTACGCCAAGATTCCGGGTTTTATTCCATATAGAACGTAGATGTCCGTTCTTTGTGATTGGAATATCCTACGGAACCATTCTCAAACATTAGAAGCGTGGAATATTACTCTTGACCATTTTCTGCAACTAGTTCCAGAGACGGCAGCATCACGACAAACGCCATCACATGCAGTTTCAGCGGCGGCATTAACAGGAGGGGTGTAGCCTATGTTCTTCTGAGGATTTTCCGAAGTGGAACGTTTAATGGCTTAACCGTTGCCAGGGAACCGACCATATTCAATTCGGTTAATCACGAAGGTTCGTATAGTGATTTAGTGAATGAGTCAGTTGGGTTTTACGCCGCTTTTTGCAATATTCCAGCAATAACACGGAAGGGGACACCAGAAATGGGCTTCACACGTTGTACCCATGTGGGGAATCGAACCCGGGTCTTCAGCGTGGCAAGCGGACGTTTTAACCATTTGGCCACCCCACCGCTTCTGGTATAGCCCCTGGTATAGCCTCCTGTCGAGTTGAATACTTTATCATATCGATAACACGTGTGTTTTTTACTTCATTATTAATTGTGACGTTTTTAAATGTTATCAAAAAGCAAAATGAAGGCGAGGACAGTATTGCCAAGTGAGACATGTAAAGGATATTCGCTATCAAAGGTTCCGTACCTTAGAAATGCCAGGGCACGTAGGTAGTAGGTTCGAATCCAAATTTGTCCCGATTATAAACCCTGTGTCCCGTTCCACAAAATGATCTCAGCACTACAATGATCTTAATGTTAAAGTATGGGACTTACACACCTTAGCGCTAAGATCGCTCTATGAAGAGAGGACCTGTGGCCCGATCCACAAAGCGTTCGTAGTATTACGCCATTCTTAAGCCAATGATATAGTATAGAGTTACGATAGCTCTTACCGCTACGATCGGGACCCTTGTCTGTTAGTGCTATGTACGTGATCGTAATCTTTTCCATCACATCTGTTCTGTATATTAAACCTACATCGTATATTTAACGGAAAGCTTTGCAATTATTTAACGAAAATATAAATAATTAAGGTAAAGTTACGTTCTGTACAATAACAAAACACCTGCAAGCCGATTGGGGTTCCTTTTCTGAGACCGTATATCTTTTATTTTTCAGTTACTGTAACCTGTTTCCTGTGTCCAGCAGATCGACCCTGTGTTAATGGACAATGCGGGTGAGTTCACTAAAGGCAACAAACGTGTTTTAGTATGGTTAGTGATCTTAGTATGTTTAGTGCTCTTAGTACGTATAGCATCCTATCATTTGCCTAAATAGTTTGGTTAACAGCGGGGGACATTTAGGAGGGATATGCTTTACACCTGTTTTGTTTAATCACTGGACTGTCTGGTCCAGATTCGATTATTTCGAACTCACATCGTACAGCCTTAATGCTGTTGAAACAAACACATTACTCACGGTATAGTCAAATTTGTACAATGAACTTTTAGCAGAGATTTCTTATGGATGTGGAAAGGATTCTATTAGTTCTCTTGTGTGTCATAAACTTGCTCATAAAATGAGACAGTAGGTATAATTGACTCGACTTTCAGCGAACACCCCTTCAGGGTTTTGTGGCTTTTTAATTACAAAGCTTCGGATCTGAACACTGAGTGTCTCTTTTCGAACAGAAAACAATACTCCGCTGACTTTCTTGGTTGATTGTTTTTGCTAATGTTTATTTCTCAAGGTTTGTCATCTTTTGTTTTTTTCCTTTTTTTTCATACTGAAGGGCCCGTAAGTATATTTATTATACATAGTCAGAGCATAATAGTCATATTAACATCAGTGTTTACTATTTCTAATCATATTGAATACGATAATACGAAGATAATTTCTAGAATTAGGATTGGTAATGATATCGAATGAGGCCATACGAAGAGTTCCAGGTTTAGTTAGGAAGATATTTACTTACTACTAAGACGGGCAACTGGAGATCAAAGTAATAAGATGTCTCAAAAAGTAAATTTGACTCTGTAAAATGCACTTTTTAATATATTCAATACTAATATCATTGTTGCTTAAAATACGCTGCAGTTATGTGAATATTTTTGATATTATATACATATATACTGAGGGAAACAAATAAGGGAACACCACTTCATGGCAGTGTTCCTTTATATAATTTCAGATTTCCTCCCAAGCGCTATTCAAAGCTGGTGATGAAAACTGGAAAATATTCAGGGAACGCTTGAATTTTCCAGTGTTCCTTAATTTGTTTTTCTCAGTATAATTCTGAATGTATACATGTGAGCTACAGAGTAATGGCGTTATTTTGATAGGATAAATTACCTCGAAACTCTTTTTAGTATGTATAAAGTTTATATGTCTTTACTTTTGCTAGTACTATAATGAATTAAATATAACTGTATATTTTCAGCTACCACTGTCTCAGGAACTGGTAAGTCTGACATTTATATGATTGTATTTCATATAAATATTTTATGATAGTGGCTCTCACTAACAACGCTCACGTAGGAGAAATACGGTTGGGAGTTCCGAAAGAACGGTCCCCTTTGGGAATATACATGTACAAAAATAGAGACTGGTATTTCCACCGTTGGCAACTCACGCCTTCTGGTATTTGTTTACCTATTAGTAGTCCATTGTGTTTGTATGTTTTTTGTTTGTATGTTTAACGCCGCATTCGGCAATTTTCCAGCTACATCGCGGCGGTCTGTAGATAACCGAGTCTGGAACAGACAATCCAGTGATTGACATCATGAATTTTGGTCTAGGCAATTGGGATATAATGACATGTGTCAACCAAGTAAGCGAGCCTGACCACCCGCTAGTTGCCTCTTACGACAAGCATGGGTTGCTGAAGACCAATTCTAAACCGTATCTTCACGGGTAATCGAGGTATAGCGAGAGCACTACACACTGTAGCATTAGATGACATCCTCCGCCAAATAGCTGGAAAATTGCTGAGTGCGGCTTTAAACAACAAACAACAAACAACAAACAACCAACAACAAACAACCAACCAAGTCAACATCCTTTAACCAATGCTATAGTCCGTTTGGCTCAATATCGGACCGATGAATAAAAATATAAAAGTTGGTTAAAAACTACCAATAAAATTTTGACACCGTTCACTATTTGTTACGAGGGAGGGGTGCAAAGGGAGGAACAGCCAGGTGTGCGAGAAAGGATGGAGACAGCACAGCACAGGTATATGATTCAATAACTGTGTCGGTACTTGTGCACGTGCTCCGCGTACATCTGGCTGTTCCTCTCTTTGCAGTCCTCCCTCGTAACAAATAGTAAACTGTGTCAAAATTTTAATGATAGTTTGTTAACCAACTTTTCTTATTTTTAGGACATAAATTCTATAAAAAAATCACAGAGTTGGTCTGATGTTTTGATTATGATCAGTGTTTCATTGAGTATTATATGTTTAGTAGTTTTCGAGTTAGATTGCAATTCATCGGTTCGATTTTGAGCCAACCGGACCATAACACACATTCAGATAAGATATTATCTCCCCTTTGAAAATTTAAACCAGGCAACAAAGAACGACGGTACTGAAAGCGTTCGCTCATGTGGACGAATGCCCGCGTTCGAATCTCAGGATACTCGTGAAAAGCGTGATATCATTGAAATTTTAATGTACTTACATTACTCAGTGAATCACTAATCCCATTTACATATGAAAAGCTAACATTTTAATTATAAATAAACTATTCTATTTTAGACACGGGACGATGGGGTAGCCGGGTTCGATAGTAAAACTATATTCGCTCACTCGCTCATTATTGGACTCACAGCTCACTGACCATTGTTTTGGTTTGCAGGTCTGTTCCCATACGGGTTTTCGGAGGCTGACTCGAGACTGCCTCACAGTCGGTGGGACATATCCAGTGCTAGAATCGAAATACAGGACGGATTCCCCTTCTTTGACACGCTGGAGACGTCCATGTTTGTAAGTAGCGTTACGACTACCCTTGCACAACTAAAGCACAAGAGGCAACTAACGAGATCTCGTGGCCAGGCCAACGGGATCTCGTGGTCGTGACTTAGTTGATGACTGACTGACTGACTGAGTTTAGTTTTACGCCGCTTTTAGCAATATTCCAGCAACATCGCGGCGGGGGACACCAGAAATGGGCTTCACACATTGTACCCATGTGGGGATTCGAACCCGGGTCTTCGGCGTGGCGAGCCAACGCTTTAACCACTAGGTTACCCCACCGCCCCCTTGGTTGATGAAGGACATCGCATCCCAATTGCTAGATTGCTCATGATGTGAATCACTGGATTTTCTGGTCTAGACAGATCGCCGTTATATAGCTAGAATATTGTTTGCGGCGTTGAGAAACAAACAAGCAAATCAAAACACAAGACTAATAGAATATCAATCATACCATATAATTTCAGTCCAAACTTTCATAATTACCTATTTCATATATTTATTTTCAGTCAGTTATTTTATGAAATCCATAATTGTAATAATAGTAATCGATTAATTGTAATGAGAGAATTAAAAACGTTGTATGCATCAATTTTATTTCAGGTATAATCTGCATGTTTTCTAAATTTAACCTCCCCGATAGATTCACTCGTGCATGTATTGCCGATCTCATTGTAATCTGATCTACAGGGTTACGTCCCCTGGGAACGCCTGAAACTGATAGATGTGGGTTCGAATCCCTGTTTCACCATACCCGTAGGTAAATGTCTGGGAACCCGACTCACTCAGGGCGTTCTTTCTACAATAAGCTCATGCGCCGTGCTAAAACCAACTTGTTCTCTTTGCCATGTTAAGAATGCCTTGCTACAATACTTGGGTTTGCTTGCTTTACAGATTGGAGACAATGGCGGAGTGAATTTTGGGACGAAATACAATCCATATTACCTGAGAGATATAACCCAAGCAAATACAAAATATGTGTGTATCTACTGTGATGATTTCGACATCAGATACGGCGGAGATGTCTTCTACCACGTTTATGTCGCTGGAGACGATAATGGTATGTCATGAAGCTGATAAAACCGTGTCCCATGTCTGTGATATTGTTCTCGCAAATATTCTTTATGGGGAAAAGGCAATCACACCATCTAGTAAACTGCACTCACATACGCATTACAGCATATACACACGAACATTGCAATACACGAAACTACACATTACATACACCACCCAGACACCATCACACAAAGACAGTCACACACGCATTGTAGCATATACACATGAACATTGCAATACACTGAACTACACATTACATACACCACCCAGACACCATCACACAAAGACAGTCACACACGCATTGTAGCATATACACCCATGATCACATTGCAATACACAGCATATACGCACGAACATACACATTACATACACCACCCAGACACCATCACACAAAGACAGTCACATACGCATTGTAGCATATACACACGAACATTGCAATACACTGAACTACACATTACATACACCACCCAGACACCATCACACAAAGACAGTCACACACGCATTGTAGCATATACACATGAACATTGCAATACACTGAACTACACATTACATACACCACCCAGACACCATCACACAAAGAACAGTCATACACGCATTGTAGCATATACACATGAACACGCATTGTAATACACATGAACTACACATTACATACACCACCCAGACACCATCACACAAAGACACTCACACGTACGCATTACAGCATATACACACGAACATTGCAATACACTGAACTACACATTACATACACCACCCAGACACCATCACACAAAGACAGTCACACACGCATTGTAGCATACCAAAATACATGAACATTGCAATACACTGAACTACACATTACATACACCACCCAGACACCATCACACAAAGACACTCACACAACACATACATGTACTACAAGACACAATCACACGTACACAGCGCAACAGTCAACACACACACAGCATACCAAAATAAGATACACACACAAACACACACACACAGCATACCAAAATAAGATAAACACGCAACACACACACAGAGCATACAAATATGCACATACATGACATACATAGATCACCATATCACCAATCGACACACAACAAAAACCCTTCACATATTTTCACACATACACCACACATACACACACAGAGCATACCAAAATACACGTACATTACATACATCACCAATCTACACACAACAAAAATACACTTCCCATACACGCAGACACACACACACAGCATACCAAAATACACATACATTACATACATCACCAATCTACACACAACAAAAATACACTTCCCATACACTCAGACACACACAGCATACCAAAATACACATACATTACATACATCACCAATCTACACACAACAAAAATACACTTCCCATACACTCAGACACACACAGCATACCAAAATACACATACATTACATACATCACCAATCTACACACAACAAAAATACACTTCCCATACACGCAGACACACACAGCATACCAAAATACACATACATTACATACATCACCAATCTACACACAACAAAAATACACTTCCCATACACGCAGACACACACACAGCATACCAAAATACACATACATTACATACATCACCAATCTACACACAACAAAAATACACTTCCCATACACTCAGACACACACAGCATACCAAAATACACATACATTACATACATCACTAATCTACACACAACAAAAATACACTTCACATACACTCAGACACACACAGCATACCAAAATACACATACATTACATACATCACCAATCTACACACAACAAAAATACACTTCACATACACTCAGACACACACAGCATACCAAAATACACGTACATTGCATACATCACCAATCTACACACAACAAAAATACACTTCCCATACACTCAGACACACACACACAGCATACCAAAATACACGTACATTACATACATCACCAATGTACACACAACACAAAAATACACTTCCCATACACTCAGACACACACACACAGCATACCAAAATACACATACATTACATACATCACCAATCTACACACAACAAAAATACACTTCCCATACACTCAGACACACACACACACACAGCATACCAAAATACACGTACATTACATACATCACCAATGTACACACAACAAAAATACACTTCCCATACACGCAGACACACACACACACAGCATACCAAAATACACGTACATTACATACATCACCAGTCTACACACAACAAAAATACACTTCACATACACTCAGACACACACAAACAGCATACCAAAATACACGTACATTACATACATCACCAATCTACACACAACAAATATACACTTCACATACACTCAGACACACTCACACACACAGCATACCAAAATACACGTACATTGCATACATCACCAATCTACACACAACAAAAATACACTTCCCATACACGCAGACACACACACACAGCATACCAAAATACACATACATTACAAACATCACCAATCTACACACAACAAAAATACACTTCCCATACACGCAGAAAAACACACACAGCATACCAACATACACATACATTACATACATCACCAATCTACACACAACAAAAATACACTTCACATACACTCAGACACACACACAGCATACCAAAATACACGTACATTACATACATCACCAATCTACACACAACAAAAATACACTTCCCATACACTCAGACACACACACAGCATACCAAAATACACATACATTACATACATCACCAATCTACACACAACAAAAATACACTTCACATACACTCAGACACACACACACAGCATACCAACATACACATACATTACATACATCACCAATCTACACACAACAAAAATACACTTCCCATACACTCAGACACACACACACAGCATACCAAAATACACGTACATTGCATACATCACCAATCCACACACAACAAAAATACACTACACATACACTCAGACACACACACCCACACTGCATACCAAAATACACATACATTGCATACATCACTAATTCACACACAACAAAAATACACTTCACATGCACTCAGGCATACACACCACATATCAAAACCAGTATTTGTTTATGTTGAAATTTTGTGGCGCACTGGTGAGTACTAGGGGTGAGTGGTAAGGAACAAAAAATGTCCAAATATAACTCAACATGCTTAAATGAAAGTCCTTACGCATGATATACTGATATAGAGTTGACATGGTCTTTGTAAATATCAAGTCACAGCAATGGCGATTGTACACGATCATTCAGGGACCCATCCATCGCCTTGTGTTTTGCAGCCAATTATGTGCTGGACAGGGCAGCAAATGAAGTCCAAAGACGGACATCCTTCAGAGGTTTCAGAGCATCATGGGCATGTGTGGTCACGTGGTCAAGGGTACCGGAATTCGTCTCCTTCTCTGCTACGTCATCAGTTGTCGGGGTACAGTTATGTTTTACTTTGTACAGAGATTACCAGATCGCTTCCTCGATGGGTGGCGGTTATGATTTCAAGATGAAAGACTCGGGTGATCTTTAACTTCTTTGAGTGTTGTACGTGTAGGACCGCTTGTGCCATTGTGTTTTCCGAGACACAAGGAATGTTTAAATTCACGGGTAATATCAAGTTATAGAGTCGGAAAACCTTGGGGAAAATGTTTATATAGATTTCATTCACTGACTCACAAAACTGACTGATTCGACGTCTTATGGCTCCTGGTATGACTTTTAGCGCAGTATCTTCCCTCACATACTCACTGTCTTATGGGCGGTGGGATAACCTCGTGCTTGAAGCGTTCGCTCGTCACGCCGAAGACCCGGGTTCGATTCCCCACATGGGTTCAGGGTGTGAAGCCCATTTCAGGTGTCCCTCAGCCGTAATATTGCTGGAATATTGCTAAAAGCGGCGTAAAGCTAAACTCACTCACTAAACTCCTGGGCCTAGATTTTCGAAGCTCTCTCAGCGCTAGGAGTGTCGTAAGTGCCACACACTAACATTAACTTACGACTGTCTTAGCGCTAAGAGAGCTTCGAAAATCTAGGCCCTGGGGCCCGTTTCTCAAAGCTCTCGTAAGCCTAAGATCTCGTAACTTTTCTCGTAACATTCGTACCTCCTATACTGTAACATAAGAGGTACGAATGCTACGAGAAAAGTTACGAGATCTTAGGCTTACGAGAGCTTTGTGAAACGAGGCCCTGGTATGTATTTTAGCACAGTGTCCTCCACTCACTCATCCACTCATGGCTCCTGGTATGTGTTTCAGCGAAGCACCTTCCAGCTGGTGCTGATCACAGACGAAAGTGTGGGCTTCATGATGTACTTCTTCAGCGAGACTGGAGCTTCTGACAACTTCCGTGAACTGGCTGTCCACGGGTTCACTGACGGAACACGGTTTACCCAGATGGAGTACTCCAGCCGGGAGAGCGAGATAGTCGGAGCTGCATTCTTTCAGAGGTTTACAAAACCTCACATGCATCAAGTCTTAGGCAACTCCTTGAGTAAGTAAATGAATAACCTTTGCTGGTAGATCTGTTCAAAATACTGACCACTGTGGATGTACTAAATGCCCTTTTATCATATTGAGACCCGTGGAGATCGGGGTTAGAATTGTCTTCAGTAACCCATGCTTGTAAGAGGCGACTAACGGGATCGGGTGGTCAGGCTCGCTGACTTGGTTGGTACATATCATCGTATCCCAGTTGCGTGGATTGATGCTCTCCCTGTTTATCACTGGATTGTCTGGTCGAGATTCGATTATTTACAGACATATAGCTGGAGTGCGGCGTTAAACAACAAACAAACAAATCATACTGAGATCATTTCAATGTGTGTCGTTTCTTTCGCATTTTTCTAGTGACTTATTTAGAATTTAAAATCAAGTCTGAAATCAAATTGCCTCTGTTAATCCAGAAGAAAATGGGTACCAGGTGGGATAAGGTATGTGACTATTCGGGGTAATGATAATTAGACTGTAATTTCAGCGCCGTTGAGCACCGTAAATTAGGCGTAATACAAATCCATTATCATTATAGTGAGTAGTATTGAATCATGTATTCTTCTCTTATAGATCAAGCTGGAGTCTGGATGTTTAAAGTTGGAGAGTACGTGGCTCCAAGCCCAGTGCGCCTCTGTTACCAGTGGTACTTGGAAAACCTTAGGCAGAGGTCTTATTTCCGTTCCCGGGCATTTTTTCTTGGTTCCCGGAATTGTCCCTGCAGGCGCGAACTGTTGCCGTGGAGCGCAGCTTTTCTTCCACTGCCCATATTTTACGGACAAAACGTGTACTGTGTCGAGATGCGGGCTGTTGTTGGACTGGACACATTTGTACGTATTACTGTCAATTTCAGAGGGTGCACATTCTCAACCCACTTATCTCAAAGTTTTGGTTATCTCAAACATGAATCGAGGCGGCGGGGTAGCCTAATGGTTAAAGCACCCGGCGGCATGCTGTTGACCCGAGTTCAATTACCCACATGGGTACATTTTGTGATTTCTGGTGTCCCCCGCCGTGATATTGCTGGAATATTGCTAAAAGCGGCGTAAAACCACACTCACTCACTCAAATATGAAACATCAGTGCAAAACATAACACAGTCTTAACTTTAATCAGAAACAAACTCGGGTTGGTGTAATGGGAAATATAGCTGAAAATTACATGAAAATAGAGTATGACACCCGGTGTTCCAACCAGAAGCACCCGCTTCACGCTGTCCAGCAGTACTCAGGCCACAGCTGTATGTTTACAAAAAATAATATTTGCTACTTATTTCCTTCTGGAACATTGGGAACTGCGACGTAAAACTCACTCGAAATCATTCGATTGAAATTTCGGCTTTATGGTAGGCTTGTGGTGCAAGTGTTCACTTGTCACGCCAAACGTCTGGGTTCAGTTCCCCACATGGTACAATGTGGAGACAGCGTTTCTTGTGCCCCCCTCCTGGACTACTCACTCACTTTAATTTTCACTTTTACATGTTTCTGTTCCGTGTTTGTTAGCATCATAAGAGACATTTTGCCGAATTTTAGATTGATGAATACTGTAAGTGATGTAGTTTGATTGTCTGTGCACAAGAATTACTTAAACACTTACTTAATGTCTGTAGGAATGCTGCTACAACAGATGGGGCAACTTCATCAACAGCCTCCCCAACGCGGGAAGCTACAACCGCTTCAGTAGGATACGCGACCCCTTTCGCCATGCGCTCCAAGACAGTGGTCCCAAGGACTGGTGCTGTAGACAATCCAACTTGTGTCAGCTCTATCGATCCGTCCGGCCTACATCAAGTTGCCGCTGGAATACCTGGCGGGCCATATTGCGTAAGGATATCTAGTTTTACACAGCTTTGAATACGGCCTGTAAGTCACCCGGTACTAAACTAGTTCCCGGCTCCCTTTGCGCGCGTCAACTTGCGATATGCGAGACAGGGCCCAGCTTACTTCCGGTAACATATTTACGGTGACGAGCGTATATTCAAGAACCAGTTCTGGTTCCAAATTGCGCGACCGCCAAATATGACTCTACTAAACTGGACCAAGTGTAGTTGTTTGTCACCTAGCTGTTAAAGAGTTCGCTCTTCGCGCTGAAGACCCGGGTTCGATTCCCTCAGGTGTGAAGCCACCAGTAATATTACTGTTACAAGGAGCGTTAAAAAAACATACTCCCTCACTCACACACTCACTCGCTGTGTCGAAAAAGGGGAGCATGGGTACAGTGCTCGCAATCCCAGATTCGAACCCATGATTAGGGTTCTATCACTCCTAAGGGACGCAACTCTACCACATGTGTTCCCAAAAGAGAGTGAGTGAGTTTGTTTTTACGCCGCTTTCAGCAATATTCTAGCAATATCGCGACTGAGCACACCAGAAATGGGCTTTACACATTGTACCCATGTTGGGAATCGAACCCGGGTCTTCGGCGTGACAAGCCAACTCTTTAACCACTAGGCTACCCCACTGCTCCTTTCAGCAATTCCCAAAAGAAGGATGGGGGTGTAATACAGCAATCCCAACATTACACTTCCTTGTATATATTAAGTATAACATTCAGCCGATGATTTGTTTTGCGCACATGTTTCATTTAAACATGTCGATCTAAGAATTTTTTTTGCAGTGAGACCGAGATGAATGAGAAGGTCATTATATATAAGAATATTTCATCTAGGATTTATTTTCGGGGACCCCCACTTCATGTCACTGGATGGCAAGATATTCACGTTCAACGGTTTGGGAGAGTATAGGCTGATTGACCTGGAATCGGAAAACAAGACCTTCACCTTCAAGCTACAGTGCCGAACTGCTCAGGCAGTGAACAGTACAGGGGAAAAGGTCAACGCCACACTCTTTTCTGCCTTCGCCGCCGAACAATCCGGTTCTCTTGGATCAGCGAAGATTCACGTTGAACTCAACAAAGATAAAACAAGTACGTGCCCCAATTAAATAGGGATGTTCACAGAATGTAACTCTTGCATACTCTAATGGTTAATGAATGTTTGAAAATATTTTAGTTCAAAGTATGTTTTGAGAACTTCCGCAATTGTTTCAGACTTGGTTATCTATTGTGACGACGTTGACATGACCGCCCAATTCTACAGCGAGGACAACTTCACAAGAACATCAGACAACCTTATCGTCGCTAAAGTGAACGACACGAGGGTTGAATTTTCCTTTCCAAAAATAGGTAATGCTTTGTTCGGTAATAGAATGTACAGGTTTTCCAAATTTAGCTTTATTTAATAAATGGCGTAAAATGTCGTTCTGTCAATATAATGTCATTTATCTAAATTAGCAGAATACCTTTTTAACGTTTCTTAGTTTCCATTTAATTCCAAAAAGTCATGAGAGTAAACTATTGGTTTAGTGGTCAGGCTGTGTTCTGTAGGTAACGGTTAAAGTGGTGGGCAACAGTATGTGAAAAAACATTCCTGGAGTTCTAAGAACAGCATGATACCATACCCACTCACTCTAATTACAACAGTGGTTGTTGGTTGTGAGGGTACAAAGCTCCCATGTAGGGTATTTTATTACAAGTTACACGGTATCTTGTCTGTATCTCTGTGACAGGGGAAATGTTTTCGATGGTGCGTTCAGATTGAGAAATATCTTACCACCAAATTAAGTTGCATTAAATTGAAATGCAATGTTTTCTCAAGTAACCCCTTTTGATCAGTTGATTTTGACTTCAACATTTGTCATCCCAGAAGTTCTTCATATATTTCTCAGGGGTCGTCGTGACGGTTACAATCATCTCAGGGACGCTGTCACAGTCGACGGTTCTGGAGGAAAGACACAAAGGCCTTACTAAAGGTCTACTTGGGAATTATAATGATGTGGATACAGATGACTTTATTTCCCCTGATGGAACAACATACGGAGCGGATTCCACAGACAAGCAACTGTTTCCATTCGGGCAGTCATGTAAGTAGAGAAGCAGTATGTGTCATCAACATGATTAACATGATGGTTTTATCTCAGCAGTTAATCTTTATAGGTTTACAGTCCCCAAAAAGTTTCATTGGGTTAGTGAGGTTGGTTGTACGCCGCCTTTGGCACAGTTCCAGCAATATGGGACCACCAGGAATGGTCTCCACACATTGTACCCATGTGGGGAATCGAACCCGGGTCTTCTGCGTAACGAGCGAACGCTTTAACCGCTAGGTTACCCAACCGCCCCTTACACTATGCCAGGTTGCGCACCCCTGGCCCCCTTCTGGATCCGCCTATGCTATTTTCCTTATTCAAATTGCCCTTATGAGCTGTGAATTGTACACCCTAAATGTGTGTTACTGCCATTGGTCATGTCAACTTTATTGACATATGATCTGTTCAAAGGGGCGGTGACCCAGCAGTCTGATTCGATTCTTCATTATGCGCCGGGGCAGAGTATAACCACCTTCACCGACAGCAGCTACACACCTATGTTTGAGGCAGACATCTCAAACGCCGATCGCCAAGAAGCAACTGCAGTATGCGGCGCCAACAACACACAGTGCATATTCGACTACGCAGTTACGAAGAACGAAAACCTCGCTAAAGCCGCCACTGAACAGATACAGGAAGCAAAGTCGGCAACCCAAATTCTAGGTAAGGAGAATGGGAATGATTAAAGGAAATGGGGATGAATAAAGGAAATGGGGATGATTAAAGGAAATGGAAACGAATAAATGAAATGGGAATGAATAAAGGAAATAGGAATGAATAAAGGAAAGGAAATATATATGTGAATAGATAGTGGAAAAGGGAAATCGGAATGGATAAAGCAAATGGGAATGAATAAAGGGAGTGGTAAAAAACTGGTAAATGAATAAAGGAAATGGGGATGATTAAAGGAAATGGGAATGAATAAATGAAATGGGAATGAATAAAGGGAATAAGGAAATGGGAATGATTAAAGGAAATGGGAATGATTAAAGGAAATGGGAATGATTAAACAAAATGGGAATGAATAAAGGAAATGGGAATGATTAAAGGAAATGGGGATGAATAAAGGAAATGGGAATGAATAAAGGGAGTGGTAAAAAACTGGTAAATGAATAAAGGAAATGGGGATGATTAAAGGAAATGGGAATGATTAAAGGAAATTGGAATGATTAAAGGAAATGGAGATGAATAAAGGAAATGGGAATAAGGAAATGGGAATGAATAAAGGAAATGGGAATGAATAAAGGAAATGGGAATGATTAAAGGAAATGGGGATGAATAAAGGAAATGGGAATTATTAAAGGAAATGGGAATGAATAAAGGAAATGGGAATGATTAAAGGAAATGGGGATGAATAAAGGAAATGGGAATGAATAAAGGGAGTGGTAAAAAACTGGTAAATGAATAAAGGAAATGGGGATGATTAAAGGAAATGGGAATGATTAAAGGACATTGGAATGATTAAAGGAAATGGAGATGAATAAAGGAAATGGGAATAAGGAAATGGGAATGATTAAAGGAAATGGGAATGATTAAAGGAAATGGGGATGAATAAAGGAAATGGGGATGAATAAAGGAAATGGAGATGAATAAAGGATATGGGATGGATAAAGGAAATGGGAATGATTAAAGGAAATGGGAATTATTACAGGAAATGGGAATGAATAAAGGAAATGGGAATTATTACAGGAAATGGGGATGAATAAAGGAAATGGGGATGAATAAAGGAAATGGAGATGAATAAAGGAAATGGGAATGTATAAGGGAAATGGGAATGATTAAAGGAAATGGGGATGAATAATGGAAATTGGAATGATTAAAGGAAATGGGGATGAATAAAGGAAATGGGAATGATTAAAGGAAATGGGGATGAATAAAGGAAATGGGAATGATTAAAGGAATGGGGATGATTAAAGGAAATGGGAATGATTAAAGGAAATGGATATGAATAAGGAAATGGGAATGATTAAAGGAAATGGGAATGATTAAAGGAAAGAGGAATGAATAAGGAAATTGGGATGATTAAAGGAAATGGGAATGATTAAAGGAAATGGGGATGAATAAGGAAATGGGAATGGTTAAAGGAAATGGGGATGAATAAAGGAAATGGGAATTATTATAGGAAGTGGGAATGAATAAGGAAATAGGGATGAATAAAGGAAATGGATACGAATAAAGGAAATAGAAATGAATAAAGGAACTAAGAATGAATAAAGGAAATAAGAATGAATAAAGGAAGTGGGAATGGATACAGGAGATGGAAACGAATAAAGGAAATGGGAATGAATAAAGGAAATAGGAATGAATAAAGGAAAGGGAATATATATGTGAATGGATAGTGGAAAAAAGGAAATCGGAACGGATAAAGCAAATGGGAATGAATAAAGGGAGTGGTAAAAAACTGTGTAACCACTTCGAAATCTCTGGTATTGAGTTCTGAGGATTCCACAAAATGTTGGACATCAATATCACTGTTTCAGGCAACCTGGAATGGGCGTTCTCTCTGATATTTAAACGTTATAAGTAATATAAACGCTATAGAGTCTATGACGTATTTGTGAACACAATGCTTCGTGAACAGTTATTCAACCTTTGATATTTTCACAGCACGATGGTGGAGTTCTGTAAATAACCATGTTCTACAATCTTACCCTGGTCTATATCAAGTAATGAACACAGCACACAACTGATACTTATGGATAACAACTTCTTGTTTATTGCACAGAGAGACGTTAAAGTGACGGCGAACCTACACCGAAACGTCGCTCTTTACAATAACAAGAAGTTGTTCTGCATAAAGTTGTATGATTTAATTACTGACCCAACTTCTAGAATGCCGATCAAATTATGACATTAACTCGTTAATCATTTTTGTTTAACCTATAGATTAATATTTTTTATATCGATGTCAGCCAACAGAAACCCCACGTTGACAGGGGCTGGAGAGATCAATGTGGAACTTGGAAGAAACGTATCTCTCCGGTTCGTCGGTGAGGACGCCGATAATGACACTTTAACTTACGTCGTCGTCGGTCAGCCGCCCACAGCCTTCACGCTGAATCCTACTGATGGTACAGCAACATGGACACCGCCTAATGCCGACCCAGCCAGAATCAGGTAGTTAACTATCATTGTTTTACTCATTCCTTTAGTTACCTTTTTATGAGACCCGTGAAGATCCGGGTTAGAATTGACCTTCAGTGACCCATGCTTGTCGTAAGAGGCAACTTACAGGATTCGGTGGTCAGGCTCGCTGACTTGGTTGACACATGTCATCGTATCCCAACTGCGTAGATCGGTGCTCATGCTGTTGATCACTGGATTGTCTGGACCAGACTCGATTATTTACAGACCACCGCCATATAGCTGGAATATTGCTGAGTGCGGCGTAAAACTAAACTCACTCACCTTTTTACGCTATTAAATTTAAAAACGTTTATCTGAAACTGTTTGGATACATATATTTGCTTTATACCATGCATGCAATTGGCCCTGATATTCCAAAGAGAAGGAATTGTTTCTCGTCGTTGAAGTTGTGCAACTGATAATAACAGACTGGATAGCGTTGAATTGATGTTTGTGTCTTACCAGTGAATCTTGAGGGTTTTGTAGTCCCCTAACTTGCTCCGTTAAGAAGCCACTCTAAAAGGATAGACATACTCAACATTTAATTTACATATAGATTGCCTTTTCGAATATGTTATTTATATTTCGTGATTTCCATATTTATGCACTTATACAATGTGTAAATGTTTGTAAATTTGTAAATGTTTTTACTTCATTTTTCCTATTCCAATGGGTTGTTTAATAGACAATACAAGACTTCACAGTCAATTCCATACTTTTACAACCCAACACCTTAAAAATTATATGCTGAATACACCGATCCTTGTATATGAAATTGTTCAAAGAATTAACACAAGGGGTTGTTAATAGGTGATATCTATATGAAATTAGGTTTTTGGATACTTGGGCAAAAAGTAGCACTTACTGCCAACGAGTCTTCAGAAGTATATTGTCTTAGATAGAATTGGTCTTCATCACTGGATGACAATGACCTATCCCCACTGCTCTGATCGATGCTAAAGACATCCATCACATGATTGTCTGGTTCAGACTCGAATATTTTCACCCCGCTGCCATATAGCCAAAAACAAAACAAAAACCCAACATCATAAATGGTCCATATTCATTTTTATATCCCTAACATGTTTTGGTTACAATTAATGGACAAAGCACATTAACGTAGTAATGGCGGTTTCAACGCTTCATCATAGATATTATTTGTATAATTATTTGCATAAATTATTATTAATTATTATATCGTATATTTTATACACACGTATTAGTTTTTATGCAAATAGGGTCCGGTGCCATGCATTAACAAAGAAAACGATACTAATCACGCATTGGTCTTTCGACAATCTTGGGTTACTGATGACTAATTGTTACCCGGTGGATCAAGATGATAAGAACCGCATGGTGTTCTTAGGATAAAGAGTGAGTGAGTTTAGTTTTACGCCGCTTTTAGCAATGTTCCAGCAATATCACGGCGGGGGACACCAGAAATGGGCTTCACACATTGTACCCATGTGGGGAATCGAACCCGCGTCTTCAGCGTGACGGGCGCATGCTTTAACCACTTGGCTACCCCACCGGCCCCTCAGGATAAAGACAAAATGTTTATATGTACACTGTTCAACGGCGTTTACTGACTATCACCTCAAAACGGTTGAAGGCAGTATATGAAAGTAAGTAATTTTATCCCCACACCTACAACAAATATACACCTAAATACAGTATCCATATTTGACAGGTAACAAAGGTGCGGTGAGGTAGTCTAGTGGTTAAAGCGTTCGCTCGTCACGCCAAAGACCCGGGTTCGATTCCCCACATGGGTACAATGTGTGAAGCCCATTTCTGGTATCCCCCGCCGTGATGTTGCTGGAATATTGCTAAAAGCGGCGTAAAAATTAACTCAACTGACAGTAAAACATCGTTCCACGTTAGAGGCTGAATATGTCTTCGTTTCAGAATTGCAGCCAATGATTCCAAAGAGGCACAGTCGCCAGTCCTGGATGTTGCGATTCGGCTATGTAAAGGATGTGGTGGTAATGGAAGGTGTGACTTCACAACACCAGTGAATCGCGCAACATCCCAGGATGAGACGTATTTTCAGTTGGTGTCTTGTAAATGCAATACTGGCTACTCAGGTAAGGCTGCGTTCATTCAACCCTCTACTTCATAAAGGGGGCGGTGGGGTAGCCTAGCGGTTAAAGCTGAAGACAAGAGTTCGATTCCCCACATGGGTACAATGTATGAAGCCAAATCCTGGTGTCCCCTGCCGTGATATTGCTGAAATATTACTAAATGCGGCGTAAAACCATAAACACTCACTCATAACTGGGACCGACAATTTATTACTACGGGGTGTGATGGTGTGTTGTTACACCGTATTAAATATGTTTTTAGCTTACATATATTCTATCTGGGTCACATCGTCTTGTTTTTAAAGGTCGCCTTCAATGCAAGGTCAGGGTCAGTGCTCAGAGAACAGTACTCAATACTTTCTTTTTTTATCTCCTACTCCTTTGACTATCATGTATAACAGTAACGTTTAACCCACTTGTTTATTATCAATTAAATTTTTTTCGGTATTCTATTTCGATATTTTATTTATATGACAAATCAAATCTACACACAGGACAATGGGTACAATGTGTGAAGCCCATTTCTGGTGTCCCCCGCCGTGATATTGCTGGAATATTGCTAAAAGCGGCGTAAAACTAAACTCACTCACTCATTACACACAGGAGAAGAGTATCAATGATACATCCTTTATGCAGATTAGTATTTTGTTTGTTGGTGAAGCTCAATTGTTGTCTGTTGTTAATGTTTGGTTGTTGTTAGTTGATATTAATCAGTTAGTACGATCAACATCATGTACAGCTGCTCAACTCTTATTGCGATGGTGTTTTGCAGGTGCAGCGTGTGAGTTTGACACCAATGGCTGTGCTCATCCCAACCCGTGCGGCTTCGGACGTACCTGCAGTGACGTGACCGCCTCGGAAGAAGCAACGACTGGAATTGCATTCAACTGCTCGGCCTGTCCCGATGGATACACATCAAACGATAATGCCGGCCAAAATTCTGAATGTAAAAGTACGTATCTTGAGTGCGCTGACTTTGTAACAGTGAGATTTGTGCTAATATGACAATGACCTATCCCCACTGCTCCAATCGATGCTAAAGACATCCATCACATGATTGTCTGGTTCAGACTCGAATATTTTCACCCCGCTGCCATATAGCCAAAAACAAAAACAAAACCCAACATCATAAATGGTCCATATTCATTTTTATATCCCTAACATGTTTTGGTAACAATTACAGAACAAAGCACATTAACGTAGTAATGGTGGTTTCAACGTCTCGTTATAGATATTGACGAGTGCCTGACCAACAACGGAACCGCACCTTGCCCGCCCAACTCCAAATGTGAAGACACCATTGGTTCCTATATGTGCATGTGTGAGAGAGGCTATAGACAAGACAGTTCCAAACTGTGTATCGGTAAGTGAAGGCATAGCAATATTATATCCCGGCGGGAGACACCAGAAATGGGTTTCACTCATTGTGCCGTGTAGGGATTCGAACCTAGGTCGACCACCTGGTATCATCACTATTTCATAGTGATTCATAAACACATGCACATAGTGTAGTCTGAATCATCCAAGGTCACTTATTCCAGTAGAGTGAGATAGTGAGTTTAGGTTTACGCCGCGTTTAGCAATATTCCAGCAACATCACGGCTGCGGACACCAAAAATGGGCTTCACACATTGTAACCATGTGGAGAATCGAACCCGGGTCCTCGGGGTGAGGAGCGAACGCTTTAACCACCGGGCTACCCCACCGCCCCATTTCAGTAGAGACTTGATTTTGTAGCTTCATTTACCTGTCCGTTGATAAAGTGGGATTATTGTGAAGACAAGTCAATATTTTCTTGCAGACATTGACGAGTGTGACGAAAACAGCAACGACTGTCAGCAAACATGCAACAACACCGACGGTGGCTGGACGTGCGGTTGTGTAGAGGGATACACGCTGAATGAAGATAATAAAACCTGTAATGGATGTAAGTGGAACTCATCTGGAAATCAGCTTTTTTGAATGGTATTTTATAAATTAATAAGAAGAAGAATATTTATAACGCGCCTTTCCAGGCTCCACATTCTGCTCAAAGCGCACAAAGGATGCTCAAAGCGCACAATCTGATAATTATTATGCCAGAGAACCCAAGATGCCGGTGAGGCGCTAGAATGTTAATGGTCACAAATTCACATGCTTAAGGTGAGACCACATGTATTACATGTGCTTCGTTGTGGGGCAGGACTCAAGTCCTAGTAACTCTCGGGAGTCAAGCTGCCAAACACGGTCACCCATCCAAGGACTCTCCGCGCCCAACGTTGCTTAACTTCACCTGATTTGTGACCTGAGCTCATGCACATGACCATACACCATATTGTGCTGGAGGAGATAATTACGTTTACGTCAACGGCGTTGATGTTTGTGTCCCTGTTCATACCAATTGTCACACTTTAATCATGTCTTAAAATGGCCTACCTGCCTTTATCGCATGCATATTAGACTATGCGTGCATTAAAGCATAAAACGTACACAGTTCGAGGGGTTCCTGAAATCTGCAACTAAACTCTTTAATCAAGGTTTTCCACATTAGAGGCTGATATTCATAGGAATTTTCCGAAATACGATTTCTATCAACATGAGGGGAATACTATACTATACTCATGCCAATAATGGTTGTCAGACCCCTCCCCACTCCAACCCCATACACACCACACACACCCTCTCCTATAAAAAAGGACCGCCTCCGTGGTGTAGTGGTTAGAGCGTCCGCCCGGAGAGCGGAAGGTCGCGGGTTCGATCCCCGACCGCGTCATACCAAAAGACGTTAAAATATGGTACTTGTTGGTCCCTGCCTGGCGCTCGGCGTCAATGAGTACAACAAGGACTGGTCGGCTCGGAGTCAGTATAATATGTCTGAGTGGGGTATTCATGCTTCACTGTGGCGTGGTATCTCAGTGGGCTAACACTATAAAACCAGCTTTAGTCTGGGCTAGTACAAGCAGCCGCACATACACATACACACGCATGCACGTCGTCATATGAGCGAAATATTCTCAAGCACGACGTTAAACCCAATTTCACCTCAACCATTATTTGCATGAGTATATATTAAGTCTTAACTACACAGTACACTGAACAGCACACTTATTTACAGACGTCGCCGTATAGCTGGAATATTGCCGAGTGTGGCGTAAACTAAACTCACTCACTTAACTAGACAGCACCTAGAACAACTGACTTTCAGTGATCAATTCACACAAGCTTCATCAGTATTTGCCATTTTACACCTAATAGAATTTTGTTCAGGGATAGTGGACGCTAAACCCTCGTTGAGGTAATGTTGTAAATACTGTTTATGAGATGAGTACCTGTTGCAGCTGGCGTTGGTTGTTCGACCCTAGGATGTGAACATTTCTGTGAAAACGGTACCTGTAAGTGTAGGCAGGGTTACAGGCTGGATTTAAACGGGACAAGCTGCATCGGTAAGCGATTTTCTCTATGTGCTTGTTGTTATCAATTGGCCTTCCTTCGTGTATCTACCAAAACATATCGGTGTACATACTAACTGCACCACCCAGTCATTGTGCCTTTAATGTACACCGAATACCTTGCTTGAACGTATACCACATTTAAAAGGTATGTTACATTTTTCAAGAAACTACCGTGGGACATGGTTTACATGTTTCTTTTCAGTTGTAATCTTAAAGAAATGATTTTTGAAATTCAATGCTTTTGTTACCCCGTTTTGTTGAACAAAATGTTATTGATGAACATACAGAATTTTCTGGATTTCATCTTCTTTTATTCTTTGATACAACGTTTCGGGGCCTGTTGTATCAAAGAATTATAGAACAGGAAATCCAGAAAATTCTTTATGTTCATCAAATAGCATCTTTTAAAATGCAAATCAAGCATTATATTATTTGTAACAAACTTGTTATTTCCATAGCTATGAGAAAACAACGGTCCATTGTAAGATTTCGACTTTATCATGAGCATGTAATTATGAATAACTATCAAATAATGACGATACCGGTGTTCGCGAAAAGGTGAGCGTATCCTACACCCGTCATAAAGACATGCTAATGAAAGTCAATTGTTTACTTAAAAAGCACGTGACCATATGTCACAAGTAAAAATAAAGGATTGAATCGGAAAATATTTTTGTCACTTATCTGTGATAATATGGTTTACCCTAGATATCGACGAATGTGGAAACAACCTGTGCTCCCAGGTTTGTAACAACACCGACGGTAGCTACGTGTGTTCCTGCTTCAAGGGCTTCCAACTGTCGCAGGACAAACAGACCTGTCTCAGTGAGTACCAATGAGTGAGTGAGTGAGTTTGGTTTTACGCCGCTTTTAGCAATATTCCAGCAATATCACGGCGGGGGACACCATAAATGTGCTTAACATATTGTACCCATGTTGGGAATCGAACCTGGGTCTTTGGTGTGACGAGCGAACGCTTTAACCACTGGGCTTCCCCACCGCCTCCAGTGAGTATCAAGTATAGATCACGATTGGTTCTGTCCATGATATTGATACCGTCCACGTTTTGGGGATGCTGTCTTTCACAGGACTTGCTGTTCATCTCAACATCTAATATGTACATTTCAGAATGTGGGTTCCCGCGGTGGGGCGTGGAATGTCAGTCGACGTGTGAATGTCAAGGTCGGGCGTCGAGCTGCGACGCTGCACGTGGCTGTATCTGTGCAGCTGGTTGGACTGGGCCAGGATGCGCTGTTGACGTCGACGAGTGCACGACAACACCGACTATCTGTGGCGAGAAACTAATGTGTACAAACACTAATGGTTCCTATACATGCAGCTGCCCACAGGATATGAAAAGAATGGAACTGACTGCTTAGGTAAAAGAATTATATGCACGTATGAAAAGTGTCCGATCCAAGTTTCACACAAGTATGATAAATGACTGGTCCCCTGTACAACCTGTATTATAAATGACTGGTCCCCTGCACAACCTGTATTATAAATGACTGGTCCCCTGTACAACCTGTATTAAATATAACCGGTACCCTGCACAACCATGTATGATAAATGACTGGTCCCCTGTACAACCTGTATTATAAATGACTGGTCCCCTGCACAACCTGTATTAAATATAACCGGTACCCTGCACAACCCTGTATTATAAATGACTGGTCCCCTGTACAACCTGTATTATAAATGACTGGTCCCCTGTACAACCTGTATTAAATATAACCGGTACCCTGCACAACCCTGTATTATAAATGACCGATCCCCTGCACAACCCTGTATGACAAATGTCCGGACCCCTGCACAACCCTATATTATAGATGACCGGTCCTCTGCACAACCATGTATGATTAATGACCGATCCCCTGTACAACCTGTATTACAAATGACGGGTCCCCTGCATAACCCTGTATTATAAATGACCAGTCCCCTGCATAACCCTGTATGATAAATGACTGTTCCCCTGCACTCCCTGTATTATAAACGACTGATCCCCTACACAACCGTATATAATAAATGACCGATCCCCTGTACACCCTGTAATATAAATAACCGATTCACTGCACAACCGCCTCTGATAAATGACCGGTTCAAGCACAGTCCTGTATGATAAATGACCGGTCCCCTGCACGACGCTGTATGACAAATGACCAGTCCCCTGCACAACTCAAAATGATACCCTATATAGCCGGTCCAGTGTTGCTGTTTACTTACAACTGCCTGCCTGATGTGTGTTATTCCAGATGTGAACGAGTGTATCTCTCCCACCGTGTCCTGCCCCAACAACACCAAGTGTAAGAACGTGGTTGGGTCCTACGTCTGTACCTGTGACCTTGGCTACAAGAATAATAATGGCCAGTGTGTTGGTAAGTCCCTACTGAATGACATAACAAATGACGATTATTACCGACCAGCAACAGCATGAGCATCGATCTACGCAACTGGGATACGACGACACGTTTCAACCAGGTCAGCGAGCCTGACCCCATCCACAGACCTTCGTGTCTTTGCGAGGATTAAAGACATTTTTAGATGACCCCCGACTCGAAATGCTTCACAGTACAATACACCATGACAAGGCCGGACGAGACGGAAGTCTATAAATAACCGAGTATGACCAAGGCAATCCAATGATTGATATCATGAGCATCGAACGTTTGGGATACGATGACATGCAACCAAGTCTGTGAGTCTGACCAACCGATCCTGTAAGCCATCTCTCACGTCGAGCAGCTGTGGTTGAAGATCATTTCGAACGGGTCTGAAACTTACGTAGAAGACCCAAGTCAAATAGTTCATCTGAAAGACACGGCCACCACAGGCCTAAAATATGGGACCTATTCTTTGCAAAAACAAAGATATTTAGAATTCTTTATTTTTATAACTTTTTAAATATTTTCGAAAAAGACCATGCAAAACATTGATTTTATATTGCATAGTTAAGGTCAATTGATTTAAATAAACCAAATTATAGATTTGAAATAAATATTCATTATGAAGCAACACAGATACATGTGTAATTGTGGTATATCAAGTGTGTGACAATGTGTAGATATCAACGAGTGCGACAACGGCCAGGCCATGTGTCAACACGAGTGCAGGAATATGGTGGGGAGCTACAACTGCTACTGCAACACCGGTTACACCCTCAACGACGACAGAAAAACGTGCACTAAAGGTAATTTATTCGGGACTTATGAAATGCAGATTTGTTTCCTTTGTTTTCAATTCGAAACAAACCACCTATCAAGTTTTTCCACCCCTGACAGGCGCATCCAGAATATTGGAAAGTGGTGGGACCGTCCGTGAATGGCCACCTAACCCTGAACGTATAGACCAGTCTTTATGTACATTGGGTACATTTTTTATGGACGAGTCTTCATGAACATTGGGAACTTATGATAAAGACGAGTCTTCGTGAACATTTAAAACTTTTGATCATACACGAGTTTTCATGAACATTGGGTACCCATGATATAGACGCGTCTTCATGAACATTGGTCCTTATGGTATAGACGCGTCTTCATGAACATTGGTCCTTATGGTATAGACGCGTCTTCATGAACATTGGTCCTTATGGTATAGACGCGTCTTCATGAACATTGGGTCCTTATGGTATAGACGCGTCTTCATGAACATTAGGTATCCATGAAATAGACGAGTCTTCGTGAACATTGGGTACTTAAGATTATAGACGAGTCTTCATGAACATTGGGTACCCATGAAATAGACGAGTCTTCATGAACATTGGGTACCCATGAAATAGACGAGTCTTCATGAACATTAACTACTGATTATACTGACCAGTCTTCTTGAACATTTCAGACCCTGAGCAGGCTGACCCTTGCGCGGGACTGACCAACCTGAACTGCAGCCACTACTGCGAGGTGGTTGGTGGCAATGCTGAGTGTAAATGTAACCGCGGCTACACACTGGGAGTTGATCGGACAACATGTGAAGGTGAGCACCCCGAGGATACTATAACATATAGACACTTGTCAGGAGTGTAATTACTTCCTTCATTGATACCCGTCAGAATGTGATCATGGCGGTGAGGGTATACACTAATTTATTTAATGTGTTTACTATTTACATATAGGTAGTTTACATATAGAATCGGAATCCATATACTATAATAAATGCTAAACTGATCCCCAGTCGACCATGGAAGAACATAAATGATCCTTTATTAATGCAAATGTTAACTCATAAGTACCGTCAAAACGGACGATGTTTCACCTGTAAACGACCCGTGAAGATCCGTTTAGAATTGATCTTCAGCAGCCCATGCTTGTCGAAGGAGGCGACTAACGGGATCGGGTGGTCAGGCTCGCTGACTTGGTTGTCACATGTCATCGTATCCCATTTGCGTATATCGTTGCCTATGTTATTGATCACTGGATTGTCTGGTGCAGACTCGATTATTTATTTAAAGCTGGAATATAGCAAGTGCGGCGTTAAACGAATAAACCTCATAAAGAAATGTCCTAACTGGACCACGAACGTTCATGTTTTGTTGATCAGATTACCACTGTGTATTTATTTCCTTGATGCCAGATATTAACGAGTGTAACTCGGCAACTCTAAACAAATGTACGGGGACCTGCACCAACACGTTTGGAGGCTTCAACTGTTCCTGCCCAGCAGGTTCGAAACTGGACAATGATGGCCGCACTTGTGTTGGTGAGTTTAAATGTATGAGTTGTGAAAAACGTATGCTAATATAGGGGTGAGATACAACAATCCCAAATAGTTTTTAATTTTGAGATAAATATACTACACATGAAAAGTTTAGACTCACTAGTGTAAATGTAGCCGCTTACTTCAGTCAAGTGTTCTGAACTAGATTTTGTAAAATATTCCCTACTGTTTAAAGGTATTGTTTACACATGAACTGATGTTTGTAAAACAAATTCCTAACGTTGAAAAGATCATTGTCATTAGTTCAATATATGATGAAAATTGGCGAATTCTTAACCAGACTTCACTCCACAAGCCCATTCTTGAACTCCCCACCGTGATATTGCTGGAGTATTGCTAAAAGCGGCGTAAAACTACTTTCACTTCTCACCCACCCACTCACTTACTCACAAGATATCATGACTTATTTGTGGTCGGATTTTGGACACTAGGAAGCCGTTCGGTTATATAATTTCAAAATTCGTAAACCATCTTTTGTTGATTGGATTTATGACATAAATACTTCCGTCAGATAAGCACCTTCATGGTTTATGACTGGATACATTTTACAATTGAAACTTCAGGCTAAAATGACCGTATGTTTCAGCATGCGATGACAACCACTGGGGTGTCAATTGTGTCAACGAGTGCGGATGTGCACCCCTGGGGACACAGACCTGCAACAAGACCACGGGCTGCAGTTGCAAGAGCGGCTTCACTGGGGAGAAATGCCAGAGCGATATAAATGAATGTTCTTCTGCAGCTTGCCAGGCTAATTCAGACTGCATTAACGCCCCTGGGTCCTACCACTGCGATTGCCATACTGGCTTCGAAGCTACAGTGACTGGCAGCTGTGACGGTAAGTTGTCACCTGTCGTTGATGATTTGTACTGAACGAGACCCTTGAATTGTTGAAGGAGTAGCCAGAGGATTATTTGTTCGAAACATATCATTGTTCTAAAAATTAATGAAGTAATTCCTCAGGCTTTAACAAAAGCTCATGTGTCTCTTGATTTTCAGATGATCGTCCTATCCTGGAATAACATTTAGAATTATAGAATATTTATCATGGACTGTCTCGAAGCGAATCCCCGAACGTCTAACGTAAAACGTTTGAATTTGAATTTATTTATGCCTTGAATGTAGTAACCTTGTTTAAACGACTAAAATTATCGTAGACTGAGCATGTATCTGAAACTGATGGATTATTTCTCAACACAAAGGTAATGTTGTAGACAACCTTCTTATCACACAACAGATTTTTAGACACCTGAGTTTGATCCGAGGCCTGTTCACAGCAATGCGACGAAATGCATTCCACATCCATAAGATCTATCTTCTTATATCTGAGCCGATTGAACAAGTAAAACTATATCTATCTGTTTATGATCCACAATCGAATATTAAAGATAGCAGGTGTTCACGACAAAATGAGTAAATATTGACCACCACACCAAAAACAAATGTAAGCTTGTCAGCTGTATCCTATAACAATACGGGAACGCATGGTACAGGTCAAAATGCATTGGAGATCGATTTTATCACTTACGTATCAAATTTGGAAAAAGCCTTCCAAATGTCTACCATTAAACCTAATGAAACAACACGACCAATACTTGTCCGGAAGGTTCAACTGAACCTCTGCTCCAACGGACCGAATTCGAAACCTCATTGTTAACGGTGTTATATTGGTGACTACAGTGTAAGTCCTCTTAAATAGAATGTCATGTATGTTCACATATTGTTTCAGATATCGACGAATGCATGAGTACGACAGTGACAGTGTGCGATCACATTTGTAATAACACCGTTGGAAGTTACCAATGCAGCTGCAACAAAGGTTTCCTGCTGGAGGGCACGGGTACCTGCAAAGGTACATATTCTTTGAAGCAGATGATCAAAGGATCAAATAAGCGCTTGTTGATGTCATACATTTTCTTCAATCTCGAGAACTATATTTCCGCTTTTGTTCGGGATTTTAGCACAGAATGTCAACATTTAAAACTACGATTATATGTCTTTAAAGATATAGACGAATGCGCCCTCGGAATCAGCGGTTGTCCTCAAAAGTGTCGGAACACCCTTGGCGCATTTGCATGTGAATGCTACGAAGGATATGAGCTCACAACAAACCGATTAAATTGTACACGTAAGTATATAAGTGAAATATTATTTTCCCCAGTATTAAGCACAGACGCATTACATTAAACTTTAAACAAAATACATAAAATTTATCATATAAAACTCATGGCTTATTCAGTCTCAAACACATGTTTATAAGTAAATGAAGTATAATAGAAGGTTAATATCATTTGACAGTGAAACCGGGAGCAACGATTTGTAACAGAACGGACTGCTCGGCCGATGGTGGTTGTCGTGTACAAGGAGGAGTGGATGTATGTTTCTGCAACACCGGGTACCAACTGAACGCCGACAACAACACCTGTGATGGTATGTGTACAATGTATTTGATGGTACAATGTATGTGATGGTATGTGGACAGTGTCTGTGATGGTATGTGTACAATGTATGTGATGGTATGTGTACAATGTCTGTGATGGTATGTGTACAATGTATGTGATGGTATGTGTACAATGTCTGTGATGGTATGTGTACAATGTATGTGATGGTATGTGTACAATGTGTGTGATGGTATGTGCACAGTGTCTGTGATGGTATGTGTAGAATGTCTGTAACGGTATGTGTACAATGTCTGTGACGGTGTGTGTACAATGTCTGTGATGATATGTGTACAATGTATTTGATGGTACAATGTATGTGATGGTATGTGTACAATGTCTGTGATGGTATGTGTACAATGTATGTGATGGTATGTGTACAATGTCTGTGATGGTATGTGTACAATGTATGTGATGGTATGTGTACAATGTCTGTGATGGTATGTGTACAATGTCTGTGATGGTATGTGTACAATGTCTGTGATGGTATGTGTACAATGTCTGTGATGGTATGTGTACAATGTCTGTGATGGTATGTGTACAAATGTCTGTGATGGTATGTGTACAATGTCTGTGATGGTATGTGTACAATGTCTGTGATGGTATGTGTACAATGTCCGTGATGGTATGTATGTGTACAATGTCCGTGTGATGGTATGTGTACAATGTCTGTGATGGTATGTGTACAATGTCTGTGATGGTATGTGTACAATGTCCATGATGGTGTGATGTGCAACAATGTCTGTGATGTCAATGTCTGTGATGGTATGTAGAACAGTCTGTGATGTATGTGTACAATGTCTGTGATGGTATGTGTACAATGTCTGTGATGGTGATGGTATGTGTACAATGTCTGTGATGGTATGTGTACAATGTCTGTGATGGTATGTGTACAATGTCTGTGATGGTATGTGTACAATGTCTGTGATGATATGTGTACAATGTCTGTGATGGTATGTGTACAACAATGTCTGTGATGGTAATGTACAATGTGTGATGGTATGTGTCTGTGATGTGTACAATGTCTGATGGTATGTGTACAATGTCTGTGATGGTATGTGTACAATGTCTGTGATGGTATGTGTACAATGTCTGTCTGTGATGGTATGTGTACAATGTCTGTGATGGTATGTGTGTACAATGTCTGTGATGGTATGTGTACAATGTCTGTGATGGTATGTGCAATGTCTGTGATGGTATGTGTACAATGTCTGTGATGGTATGTGTACAATGTCTGTGATGGTATGTGTACAATGTCTGTGATGGTATGTGTACAATGTCTGTGATGGTATGTGTACAATGTCCGTGATGGTATGTGTACAATGTCTGTGACGGTGATGGTATGTGTACATGTGTACAATGTCTGTGATGGTATGTGTACAATAATGTCCGTGATGGTATGTGTATGTCTGTGATGGTATGTGTACAATGTCTGTGATATATGTGTACAATGTCTGTGATGGTATGTGTACAATGTCTGTGATGGTATGTGTACAATGTCTGTGATGGTATGTGTACAATATGTGTACAATGTCTGTGATGGTATGTGTCTGTGACAATGTCTGTGATGGTATGTGTACAATGTCTGTGATGGTATGTGTACAATGTCTGTGATGGTATGTGTACAATGTCTGTGATGGTATGTGTCTGTGATGTATATATGTAACAATGTCTGTGATGGTATGTGTACAATGTCAATGTCTGATGGTATGTGTACAATGTCTGTGAAATGTCTGTCTGTGATGGTATGTGCAAACGTGCATGTGATGGTATGTCAATGTCTGTGATGATATGTCCGTGATGGTATATGTGTCTGTGACAATGTCTGTGATGGTATGTGTACAATGTCTGTGATGGTATGTGTACAATGTCTGTGATGGTATGTGTACAATGTCTGTGATGGTATGTGTACAATGTCTGTGATGGTATGTGTACAATGTCTGTGATGGTATGTGTACAATGTCTGTGATGGTATGTGTACAATGTCTGTGATGGTATGTGTACAATGTCTGTGATGGTATGTGTACAATGTCTGTGATGGTATGTGTACAATGTCTGTGATGGTATGTGTACAATGTCTGTGATGGTATGTGTACAATGTCTGTGATGGTATGTGTACAATGTCTGTGATGGTATGTGTACAATGTCTGTGATGGTATGTGTACAATGTCTGTGATGGTATGTGTACAATGTCTGTGATGGTATGTGTACAATGTCTGTGATGGTATGTGTACAATGTCTGTGATGGTATGTGTACAATGTCTGTGATGGTATGTGTACAATGTCTGTGATGGTATGTGTACAATGTCTGTGATGGTATGTGTACAATGTCTGTGATGGTATGTGTACAATGTATGTGATGGTATGTGTACAATGTCTGTGATGGTATGTGTACAATGTCTGTGATGGTATGTGTACAATGTCTGTGATGGTATGTGTACAATGTCCATGTGTACAATGTCTGTGATGGTATGTGTACAATGTCTGTGATGGTATGTGTACAATGTCTGTGATGATATGTGTACAATGTCTGTGATGTATGTGTTACAATGTGTGATGATGTCTGTGAATGTCTGTGATGGTATGTGTACAATGTCTGTGATGGTATGTGTACAATGTCTGTGATGGTATGTGTACAATGTCTGTGATGGTATGTGTACAATGTCTGTGATGGTATGTGTACAATGTCTGTGATGATATGTGTACAATGTCTGTGATGGTATGTGTACAATGTCTGTGATGGTATGTGTACAATGTCTGTGATGATATGTGTACAATGTCTGTGATGGTATGTGTACAATGTCTGTGATGGTATGTGTACAATGTCTGTGATGGTATGTGTAGAATGTCTGTGATGGTATGTGTACAATGTCTGTGATGGTGTGTGTACAATGTCTGTGATGGTATGTGTACAATGTCTGTGACGATATGTGTACAATGTCTGTGATGGTATGTGTACAATGTCTGTGATGGTATGTGTACAATGTCTGTGACCAAGTAATCGAATCAGGCCGATAAGGGAAGTTCTTGTTAATGTCAATCTTTACCTTGCTCGATATTTATCTGTTTGCTTGATGAAGCTGGAACCTTCTCCGATGCGGCAAAAAAACAAGATATAAAGAATTGTTTAAATGTCCGAATACCACCCTTCACTTCATGACCAAACATGTTCATTTTACAAACAGACATTGACGAGTGTGCCGTGAATACAACGTGTTCGCAGAACTGTACAAACACACCTGCTGGGACATACACCTGTTCCTGCTCTGACGGCTTCCAGTTGGCTTCTGACAGGAGAACTTGTGAAGGTATGTACGGATATATGCATGTTCCTGGTCTGATGGTTGCCAGTAGGCTGTTGACAGGAGAACTTGTGAAGGTATGTAAGGATGTATGCATGTTCTTGGTCTGATGGTTGCCAGTAGGCTGTTGACAGGACAACTTGTGAAGGTATGTAAGGATATATGCATGTTCCTGATCTGATGGTTGCCAGTAGGCTGTTGACAGGAGAACTTGTGAAGGTATGTAAGGATGTAGGCATGTTCCTGGTCTAATGGTTGCCAGTAGGCTGTTGACAGGACAACTTGTGAAGGTATGTAAGGATGTATGCATGTTCTTGGTCTGATGGTTACCAGTATGCTGTTGACAGGACAACTTGTGAAGGTATGTAAGGATGTATGCATGTTCCTGGTCTGATGGTTTCCTGTTGGCTTCTGATAGGAGAACTTGTGAAGGTATGTAAAGCGTGTATGCATGTTCATGGTCTGATTGTTTCAAGTTGGCTGCAGACAAGAGAACTTGTTGTGAAGGTATGTAAAGGGTGTGCATGTTCCTGGTCTGATGGCTTCCAGATCGCTGCTGAAAAGACAACTTGTGAAGGCATGTAAAGCGTGGATGCATGTTCCTGGTCTGGTGGTTTCAGGTTGAATGCAGACAAAAGTGACATGTTCCAACCGATTCATATATATATAAACATACAAACAGGACTTTGTTGGGCATGTATTTCCTTAACCCACAACGATGCCATTGTATACATCGTTCTATGATGAACATCGCTCTGTGATTATGGTATCGATGATCAACCACGACACCACCCGGATCAACTGTAGAATTCTTTCCCCAGTCTGCCCTGACGGCAAGTTTGGCACCAGCTGTGCACAGAACTGCCTTTGCGACACCGCCAACACCATCAGCTGCAACGCAACCGACGGCAACTGTACATGTAGGAGTGGGTGGATGGGAGCGACGTGCACGGAGGACATACCAGAATGTACCGACACCCTCAACATATGCGGCACCAACGGAATGTGCAACGAGCGGAACGGATCATATTCTTGCGCGTGTCTCTCAGGGTTTGTTCGAGCTGCCGATTCCTGCACACGTAAGTAGAAACTGCTCATGACAATGCATTTCATCACGTCATTCATGCTTCATTATGTATACTGAGTTGAAGACTATTTTCAAGTAAGCACTTCCAGTAGCCTCAAACGTAGTAATTCCTCTGTTCATTCAATTTCAGCATGCACTGGCAGAACGTATGGCATTAATTGTGCTAACACATGCACCTGTGTGTTCGCCAACACAGAGACCTGTAACACGGTCAATGGATCCTGCACGTGCAACTCGGGCTGGAACGGCACCAACTGTGAGACCAACGTCAACGAGTGTTCAGCCACACGATCTGTCTGTACCGGCGCCAATGAGGTGTGCCGAGACACCGACGGTAGTTATGTGTGCGACTGTGAAGTAGGCTTGAAGAAATCAACAGCCGACCAATGTGTTCGTAAGTGTATCTCTCTATATTGAATGTGCACTTTGAATATTTTCCACAGTTCGTTTAAGAATTGAAATTGCAGAGATAACAATTAATCAAAGTTTCGTTGTCCTATCATTCTTCAAGGTGTGGTCGGTGTTCTCAGCGTGCTGTAGTCCACATTATAATAACATTTCGATGACATATTGAAGGAACGTTGGTATTGCAATCTCGCTGAACTTGAAATAGCTTCAGATTGAGTAATCAAATATTGATGATAACTTAATTTTCACCATTTACATACAACAAAGTTTAAGAACACATAGCTTCTTGGGAAACTAATGGGAGTAGGTGGTGTGGTGGAGAAGAAGCTGTAAACGTATTTGACGTCTTCAGCAACCCATGGTTGTAAGGGGGCGGTGAGATAATCTAAAGGTTAAAGCGTCACGTCGTAGACTTCGATCCCCCACATGGGTACAATGTGTGAAGCCCATTTCTGGCGGAATATTCCTAAATATTTCTTGCGCTTATATGCAGTATTTATAGTTTTAGCTTTAGGACCAACAAGCGGATTTAAAATGTCTCTGGAATATTGCTGAAAACATATCCACACTCCATGCTTGTAAGAGGCGTCTAATGGAATCGGGTGGTCAGACTCCCAATTGCGTAATTCGATTATCATAATGTCAGTCACTGGATTGTCTGGTCCAAACACGGTTATTTACATACACCCGTCATATAGGTGAAACACTGCTGAGTGCAGCGTTAACCAACAAGCAAATAAACAAACGTCAGTGGTAGATTGATCAATTGACTGCAATGTTTTGATCTATTTTCAGCATGTACGTCGCTTACGTATGGAAAGAACTGTGAACAGTCATGCACGTGTGTGTTTGGTCACACATCATCCTGTAACCCGGTCAATGGATCCTGCACGTGTACTTCTGGTTGGACCGGCGACAACTGTGAAACGAACGTCAATGAATGTTCAGCAACTTCATCGCCCTGTACCGGCGCTAATGAGAAGTGCCGAGACACCAGTGGCAGCTATGTTTGCGACTGTAAGACTGGGTTTGGAAGGGCAAGCGGTAGCACCACGTGCACAGGTCAGTGTCATTAAACAGTTTTGTTTGTGTTTTAAGGTGTCTCTCAACAATATTCCAGCTATATGGCGGCGCTGTGCTAATAATCAAATCTGGACCACACAATCCAGTAATCAACGTCATGAGCATCGATCTGTGCGAATTCAGATTTAATTTCGTCACAATATGGCTGGAATAATGCCGATGTGACTCAACTCAACTCAACGATCTTTGCACTTGGAATGCAATGACATGTGTTAACCATGTGTTTTGATCTATTTTCAGCATGTACGTCGCCTATGTATGGACAGAACTGTGAACAGTCATGCACGTGTGTGCTTGCTCACACATCATCCTGTAACCCGGTCAATGGATCCTGCACGTGTAATTCTGGTTGGACCGGCGACAACTGTGAAACGAACGTCAATGAATGTTCAGCAACTTCATCGCCCTGTACCGGCGCTAATGAGAAGTGCCGAGACACCAGTGGCAGCTATGTTTGCGACTGTAAGACTGGGTTTGGAAGGGCAAGCGGTAGCACCACGTGCACAGGTCAGTGTCATTAAACAGATTTTGTTTGTGTTTTAAAGGTGTCTCTCAACAATATTCCAGCTATATGGCGGCGCTGTGCTAATAATCAAATCTGGACCACACAATCCAGTAATCAACGTCATGAGCATCGATCTGTGCGAATTCAGATTTAATTTCGTCACAATATGGCTGGAATAATGCCGATGTGACTCAACTCAACTCAACGATCTTTGCACTTGGAATGCAATGACATGTGTCAACCATGTGTTTTGATCTATTTTCAGCATGTACGTCGCCTATGTATGGACAGAACTGTGAACAGTCATGCACGTGTGTGCTTGCTCACATATCATCCTGTAACCCGGTCAATGGATCCTGCACGTGTACTTCTGGTTGGACCGGCGACAACTGTGAAACTAACGTCAATGAATGTTCAGCAACTTCATCGCCCTGTACCGGCGCTAATGAGAAGTGCCGAGACACCAGTGGCAGCTATGTTTGCGACTGTAAGACTGGGTTTGGAAAGGCAAGCGGTAGCACCACGTGCACAGGTCAGTGTCATTAAACAGATTTGTTTGTTTTTTAAGGTGTCTCTCAACAATATTCCAGCTATATGGCGGCGCTGTGCTAATAATCAAATCTGGACCACACAATCCAGTAATCAACGTCATGAGCATCGATCTGTGCGAATTCAGATTTAATTTCGTCACAATATGGCTGGAATAATGCCGATGTGACGTAAAACTCAACTCAACTCAGAGATCTTTGCATTTGGAATGCAATGACATGTGTCAACCAAGTCAGCGAGCCTGACCACCCGACCCCGTTAGTCGCCCCTTACGACCAACGTGATTGCTGAAGATCAATTCTAACCCGGTGTTCAATGGTCCATTAGGAAATACCGTTTTTTATCCCACGAAAACATTATTGAGTTGCATGTGGTTACAGACTTTGGTTTTGGTGCCTGAGAACTATTTCGACATAAATATTTTTTCCGTGAGTGAATGTGGTGTTATGCCGCGTTTAGCAATTTTACGCAATATCTGAGACACCGCAAGTGACAAGCGAACGCTGAAACCCCCCGGCTAAACCATCAACAATAAATTGATGGCCTTTTAGTTGTATATTAACTACCCTTACACACATTTATTGACGAAACGATCAAAATTGCAGGCTCCTAGTCACTTGCACATGTCGATATTTCATTTCCCTTAAAGAAATTAAACGACAGCATGACCTTCATTTTACGTTTTGGCTGTTTTTTTTTTTCTTGGTTTGTTTCTATTTTACTCTCCTCATAAATTCAGTAGCCAAGATTGCCCCAAACGAAGAGCGAAATAGTATATTCAAATAATAAACATTCAAATAGAACCTTGAAGCATGGGAGGCACATTGGTGAACGGTGTTGTAGATCAGTGTCAACAGTTGCCTCCCTTATTTGCCAGCATCAGCGCGGGCTGGGTTCGAATCCAAGGTTTGCTTCGACCATGATTCCCCATCTTTGACGATAGACTGTAAATCGTGTAAAACATGTACAACATTTTCATTGTTCTAATTTAAACTGCAGAAATGTTGTTTAAAGAACCATTTTATCCACTCAGCATCTGAGAATCCAAAAGAATTCTGACCCGATCAGTTCCGTTGAGAAAAATATTCATTGAATGTTTAGACATTATTAAAATAATAGACAATCCGTAAATATGTATACTATTTATGCATTATATTATCAAATTTGGACTCTGGTGTTAGGTATTTTTGAAAATTTGTTTATCTGGGAACTGGTTTATTTCAGCGACGGCTGAATTCATCACTGAGATCACACTGAACACATCTCGATATGACAGCATCATAGACTCACCTGGCCTCCCTGCCTACACCAAGCTGCAGGAAGATCTTGTTGTGGGGGTAGGTGTTTCTGCAGAAGCTGAACCCAGTGGCATTTAGAAGCTGGTATGATTCAGAGGAACAGTTTTATGGATACGTTACTTCTTTATGGCAATAGATGCGACGTTTCGGTGTAGATGCTAACACCCTTATCAAACAAAAAATAGAAGATCACTTGTTTGATAACGGTGTTAGCATTTACAACAAAACGTTTCATGTATTGCAATAAAGAAGTTGTATATCCATAGAAAGTGTTCCTATTCTGACCCCGGTTGTCTGATCAGGATACATGGAAACATACGTTGATATATTTGGGGTGGTTTTCCGTGTGTACAGGATCGTTTGTTTTTCAAACACGATAAGCTCATGTTACACTGCGACCACTGTATGTTCGCAAACATCAAGATACACGAGTGTCCTCTCATGTCAAGATACTCGTATGTCCTCTGATCTCGAGTCCACGATATGATCTCGGATATCGAGATAACAGTATGTCCTGCAATATCGATATTACGGTGTGTCTTCTAATATCAAGGTAACCGTAGGTCATATAATATCCAGATAATTGTATGTCCTCTAATATCGAAACGGTATGTCCTTTAATTAATATTCATATAACGGTTTGTCCTTTAATTAATATTAATATGACGGTTTGTCCTCTAATTAATATCGATATGACTGCATGTCATCTAAATAATATCCATATGACGGTTCGTACTCTAATTAATATCCATTTGACGGTTTGTCCTCTAATTGATATCCATATGACGGTGTGTCCTCTAATTAATATCCATATGACGGTATGTCCTCTAATTAATATCCATATGATGTTTTTTGTTCTAATTAATGTCAGCATGACAGTATGGCTTCTAATGAATATCGATATGATGGTATGTCCTCTAATTAATATCAGTGTGATGGTAGGTCTTCTAATAAATATTGATATGACTGGATGTCATCTAATTAACATCAATATGACGGTGTGTCCTCTAATAAATATCGATATGACGGTTTTCTTCTAATTAATATCCATATGATGGTATGTCCTCTAATTAATATCAGCATGACAGTATGGCTTCTAATGAATATCGATATGATGGTATGTCCTCTAATTAATATCAGTGTGATGGTAGGTCCTATAATTAATATTGATATCATGGGATGTCCTCTGATTAATATCGATATGACTGCATGTTATCTAATTAATATCGATATGACTGCATGTCCTCTAATTAAAATTGATATGACTGCATGTCATCTAATTAATATTGATATGACTGCATGTCATCTAATTAATATCGATATGACTGCATGTCCTCTTATTAATATTGATATGACTGCATGTCATCTAATTAATATCCATATGACGGTTTTTCCTCTAATTACTATCAGTATGACAGTATGTCCTCTAATTAATATCGATATCATGGCATGTCCTCTAGTTAATATCAGTATGATGGTAGGTCCTTTAATTAATATCGATATGATGGTAGGTCCTCTACTTAATTAAAATCGATATGACGGGATGTTCTCTAATTAATATTGATATGACGGGATGTCCTCTAATTAATATCCATATGAGAGTATGTCCTTGAATTAATATCGATATGATGGTATGTCCTCTTATTAATATTTTATATGATGGGATGTCCTCTAATTAATATCGATATGACTACATGTCATCTAATTAATATCCATATGACGGGTTTTTTTGTCCTCTAATTAATATCCATGTGACAGTGCGCAGTCTGCTGTCGAGATAAATGAGTAAATCTCAGATTCAAATGAAAATACCCTGTTCATCAGTTATCTTAATGACATTAGTTATAAGTAACGATTTCGAAGTGCTTGATGACTAAATTGTTCTGTTGGAAACATGGTCAAACCCTTTACTTGCTACATATACGTTACCTCCTAAACAACCTCACACCTCGGTCAATTTCGGATCCAGTGCTTCATGACCGGCATATCAGGTTAAATATTTATATTTTTCAGATTGACAATATCCTCAAGACAGTCTCCACCACAGCGCACTTGACCAGTAGCGTGGGAACTTTGAGGTAAGTTGAATTAAGTGTACTAAATGCGTATTATAAATAGGTATTGCTTTGAAGCAATGTCTCTTCAACACTTAGCGCCTTGATCGGAGAGCGATTTGAGAACCTTGCGACAACCCTTAACACTGGAATGCCAAAAGGGTCATATTCCCAGTGCCTTAAACCTGGTTTTACTTACCTTGATGGCATATGGTTGATATCGTGTTTGTCACGGTTAATAAAAGTGGATAGGGTTCTGTCCTGCCTCACATTATAGTTATACAAGCTAGTATTGAACTCTCTGAAAATAAGGTGAACATATGAAACCACAGACTTTGACAACAACGTCATTGACATCTTCAGAAAGGGCAGCGTCGTAGTTCCTGCAACACTGAGAGTCGACAGTTCGAAGACGAACAACCAACTCGGGGTTCTGGCAGCATTCTTGGAGAAACTGGCAGAGGTTGACAGCATCAATGTAGCTGGAACAGCGAACCCAGTCAGCAAAGTCGTGTACAAAAACATGACCAGTGAGTATTGTCTGTTTGTCCATCCAGCAATGGTGTTCCATCGAGACTGGGTATTCTTTCTCTCTCTCTCTCTCTCTCTCTCTCTCTCTCTCTCTCTCTCTCTCTCTCTCTCTCTCTCTCTCTCTCTCTCTCTCTCTCTCTCTCTCTCTCTCTCTCTCTCTCTCTCTCTCTCTCTCTCTCTCTCTCTCTCTCTCTCTCTCTCTCACACACACATATTTTAATAAACACTGTATCATAAATATTTGATTACACGTAACTTTATTGGTTCAGTTTATGTTCCACAAGGCATTGCTCCTCTCCTGAAAATGTCTGTGATACTCTGAAACCATCGAAGAGAAAACCTGACAATCGTGAGTGTGTTTCAGTCGAAGGTAACCACACTGTGTGCCACGTGTACAACATGCTGAAAGACCACCCCATGGATACCGGCTGCACCGTCACCAACGGCATACCTTCTGATATGTGAGTAATATTTCTCATTAGTGCAAGTCTTAGTTACTGTTTCTAATGAATAATTCAAAATAGGCCGCCTCTGTGCTATAGTGGGCACAGAGAGCGGATGTCGATGATTGAATCCAATTGCAGCGTATATGCAGAGTTATCACCCTTTGCTACGCCAGAATCCTCTTGTCGTAGATTCAAATCTGCACTTTCCTCATTGATGTTTACACACAATGATATAATATTGCTTGAAGAGGCCTTAAACACAACCAACTCACTTACTGTTATTTTCCATGCGTTACTATTCCATAAAGACCTAAAGCAACAACCTTCGTATCGTTAAGACAATAGTACATATAACTGACCCACTAGGTCCTGTTCTATAAATGTTTGTGGTATGCTGGAATTCTTATGGTATGCTTCTTTTGTTCCAGAATTGTCCCTGGTTGTGAGTATATGTATATTATATGTATAATATATTTATTGAATATCAAACTATATATGTTCTTATGAAAAGAGGGTGGTGTGGTAGTCCAGTGGTTCAAGCGTTTACTCGTCACGCCGAAGACCCGAGGTCGATTCCCCACATGTTTACAACATGTGAAGCCCATTTCTGGTGTAGCCCGCCAAATGAAATATTGCTAAAAGCGGCGTAAAATTAAATTCATTCACCCACTCTTTTGAAAAGTATCCTTTACTGACCAGAGTACCTTGTACATTGATGATATGTTTAAGAAGTATCATATCGCAGTTGTAAGGGTGTTTGTGCAGCCCAGGGGGTGAAGTGGTTAATGTCTCCTTATATGTTGCAGCCGACAGGACAGCTCTTATAGTGGGTTTGACTATACCCTTATCAATCATCCTCATCATCCTTATCATCTTCATCGTGTACATCTGCTGCAAGAGGAGACGAAGGACATCGTCTCGCGAATCGTCCGACGACCGGTAAGTGTGCTGTAGATGTTGTAGACGTAGTCAATCCAGAAGGACCTGTGTTAGCGATAGTTACACTAAATGCAGTAAAACATGTGAATTCTTAACGTTACTAGATTCCGTGAAAACCAGTGTAAGAATTGGTCTTCAGTAACCCATGCTTGTCGTAAGAGGCGACTAACGAGATCGGGTAGTCAGGCTCGCTGACTTGGTTGACACATGTCATCGTATCCGATTACCTCGATCGATGCTTATGCTGTTGATCACTAGATTGTCTGGTCCAGACTAGATTATTTACAGACCGCTGGAATATAGCTGGAGTATTGCTGAGTTATTGCGGTAAACAACAAACAAACAATAACGTCATTTGCCACTAACGTTACCATTACATTTCAGTGACCCCTTCCGTAGCGCATTCTCGGGTAACGTGCCGACCAAGGGTAACTTCGGTGCTTCTCGGTACATGATGTACTCTCCGCACACACTCTCTGAGGTGAGCTCACAAGGCAGCAGCAGCTCGGGCAGATCACCCCGGCGGCCAAAGCAGCACATGACCACACCTTGGGTTAACGAGCGTTTTCAAGGCCTTACCGCAGCAACAAGATGTGAGTAAAAGATACAGAACTATGCTCCTTGTGCTTCAGTGGACCTCCAAACATTTCATTCATGATGGTACTTTGTGGATCCTTTCCAGAGGGTTGAAGTCCTTGTGATTTTTACTTCTTCTCCTTTTTTACTTCTTCTTCTTTCATATCAATGTTTCAGTTATGTCATGTTCATCCTTAAGAATTTTAGATAATCCTTTCTCAGATACCCCTTTTCCCGATAACCTAGGTCCATGTTTTGGTTATGTCCAATCGATCCTAAAGAGTTTCGAATCATCTTTTCTCACAGACCGCTTTTCCTTGATAACTTATGTCCATGTTTTGCTTATGTCCTGCCGGTCCTTAAGAGTTTCAGATCATCCTTTCGCACAAACCCCTTTCCGCCAAAACCGATGTCCATGTTTTTGTTATGTCCTGTCGATCCTTAAGTTTATTGATTATTCTTATACACTAACCCTTTATTTGAAGACGCAGTCATTTCCGTATACGTTCCCATCCCAACTTCACACCTACATGACATAAGTGGCCACTAGAACCATTCCATCACCACCGGCAACCACACCAGCAGCACCAGACGTCTGATAGCCCCATCAGTTTGAATACGTTGTCCTAAATAGGCACAAACATTTCCATAATTATAAGTAATCGTCCTTAAAAGATTTCTTTGAGTGGCATTCTAGAACTTGGTGGTATAGGGTTGGCAAGACTTCATGCTTGAAAACGGTATAAGAATCCCTACCGAAACGTCGCCATTGTCAAAAGACAGAAGTTGATCTTCCATAAAGTCTTGTCATCCCTGTCCTTAAAACGTGGTAGTGCATAAATGTCATTTCACGAAACATTCCATTTTCTTAGTTCGATTAATATAGAAATACGAGAAAAAAATTTTATACTATATCAAACATGGTAGGTCTTGAGAATTTTGTCATATCCTTTCACTGGGTTTTTTTTTCATTGCACAGATGTGAAACAGTAGCTGGCAAACATTTTTCGTTTTTTCAGATGGCCCACATACAGAACCAATAGCAGAGGAACCAACGTCAAATTTTTCTTGGGAAAATTTATTCTCTATCCTTGAACCTCAAAGAAATGGACAGGTGGGCACATGCCTTTATACAAGTGGATACAAGTTGTATTATTGTCAGTTTTTATATTTACTCATACATAGGATATGTTCTTCATGTATTTTAATGTACACAGAGACGTACATGATCATTATATATACATATATTCCACATCCCATGTTTATGTTAACGACAGTTGATTATCTAATATTTAATCAAACCATTTCTATCATCACGGATACTAATAATTCAATATATTCATTTGTGATAAATCATTAATGTTTTGTTTACAGTTCGAAATGCCAAGACCTCAAGTCAACATTACGCCGAAAAGACCATTTCGGGTAAACTTTCACCGTTCATATTTTACTTCCAGCTGTGAAATAGTCATGCTTAAGTTTTACTAAATAGCGGAGCAAAATATCTCTACTTCTCTGCTGATCTCAGATGATTTTGTCATGATTGACCTTCAAGTAAAAATGCCTTAAGTTAGCGGTCTTATATACAAGTTATCAATTACCTGTTATATAAGCACATTGTTCAAAACTCGTAAAGATTTTAGAAAATTGCATTCCATACAATTGCTCCTTGATATCTTAGACACCTTACTTTTGAAAAGAAAACCCTTTTCCAGCGTAAGTTTATAGTATTTCAGACACGGCATGGCAATGTTGATTTAGTTTTTTTCTTATCTCAGTCGTAATTGAACCAATCTCTAAGCACAAAATTATTCAGTCCCTCTTTCATTTTTACTAAATTTTGCATAAATGAGCAATTGGTCAATAGGCACACATTTACCAAAGTTTCCAATTATCAGTTATATACTTTCTTTTACAATCCAGTCTTTAAACGTTTAAATTTTTTTTTTAAGCACGAAGTAAATTAATGATGTGAATTCAGTGTCACAGTTGAACGTTATTGTTTGAAACAGATTACCAGATACCCCCTTGGAATATGCGGGTACATTAATGTATATTAATGTCATAGCATAACTGTATATATTTCCACTATTGAACAACATCTTGTTTTGTTTTCAGGATTCCAACGCTTGAAGATGGTATCATTTTGGATAAATTATTCTTTTGATGTCAGTGTGTGTGCTTCGACTGTTCCAATGAAGGGCGAGTCTGCAATATTCCCTACTGAGCACAGACTCATGATTTCATCTAGGATACAACTGGCAATTGGATCCAATTGGATCTATCGATGTGGTCTAGCTCCTGGATTTGTTCATTAGAAATGGATACCAACAGCTACCTTTCCGGCTTTGTATGAAGAATCAGTGACTGACCGTTGTTGATTCACACGTGAAATATACAAATACCACACATAGTATAAATAAACATTTAACTCTTGTCCTACCAACGTTGTGTGTATTTGTTTCAGGACTTTAAATTAATGCATTGAAAGTGATCCTTTTGATTATATTCACATGTTTATGAAAAATGAATGTTTTTCATCTCACCAACAATTATGAAACATTTTAGAAAACGCATTTGAGTTCAGTTTTAATATTCGATCACTGACGTTACAAGTTAAGAAAGAAAATCAATAAACACAATATTTAAAAACATGCTCTATTATCCGTATATACCCATGGGATTGAACCTTGATGGTGTTATGGTATATATAATCTTGGAAATAGGAATAATAGAAACCATTCTCTCCCCATGAAGGCGAAAGGTGTGAGTCTATTGTACTGCGATATTGATCTACTTGTACTGATAAAACAAGTTAGGGAGCTTGAATTATGGGGATATATTTATATATGGTCTTTATTACATCAACTTCCTGAATCATTATTCGTATTATTTGTATGGTACATAACCTCCATGGAATATTAAGTTTGGATTTCATATCATTATCTCTTAGTAAAGTATATATTTATATCTTTTCTCCTGTTCCTGTTTCAATCAGCTTTGTATTTATCTACACCTTTGTTATTGGGATATGTTCGCCTACCACAGAGCATGTGGACTGTATAGTCATAATTGGTTGTAAAACCAGTTGAGTTGATGAATCATTATAAAATAAAAAATTGGTCTCTTTGCAACATGAAACTGCGTTGCATCATTGACCTTCATTTGATAGGGGCGGTGGGGTAGCCTAGTGGTTAAAGCGTTGGCTCGTGACGCCGAAGACCCGGGTTCGATTCCCCACATGGGTACAATGTGTGCATCCCATTTCTGGTGTCCCCGCCGTGATATTGCTGGAATGTTGCTAAAAGCGGCGGCGTAAAACTAAACTCACTCATAAACAAACTGTGATATGACGTACTGGTAACTGATTTTTGGATATTCATGTAACTTCCACAGCTGATTTCAAGTTTATGTCCACTGGAATCTGTGTTTGAAGATAATTGAGAGCGATCGTTCTTTGTCGATGACGTCATATATTTATAATTTATCATATCCTCATGAGTGGCTTTTCTAAATCCTTTACAGCCACAACACGTGAACGATTTTTGCGGTCTCGTGGGACCAAACGACCATTTGTATATTGCTACATGCCCAAGTATGAAAGAAAATCTCACCATTATAACTATGCAACTAATGACTAAACCATATTTTCTATTTTCGTTGTTCTCGTGTGAAGAACGTTGCCTTATAACCATTCCATAATCATAAACATGTCAATGTAAGCTGTATTGAAAATTGGTCTAGATTAGTCCTGACAGTTGTAGGACTAAGATTCCATTGTTTGTGTTGGTTTGTAGATGTTGTTTCGGAAATGTCATATCATTTGTTGAAATATTTGTATGTTTTTAGTCAGTTCAAATGCACGATATCAAAACCTATTTATTTTTATGGAATTCGACTGGGTATGTTGTCGAAATTTTAAATTGGCAACTTTGTTTGGCTTGTACGCTCAAACCACAATAAAAAAATGAAACTTATTTCCATTATTCAATGGTTCTTTTCAAACTCAAATTTGGTCTGTGTTATTGGTGGAGCTGAACACGTGTGTTCTGGTTTTCGTGATATTTGAAGCTTCCACCTTTATTTGACCTTTTTTACTGGACCATATTATGGAATTCTCTTGAAATGCATTGCCTTGCGCTTGTGATCATACTCCCAACAGAAACCACTGAAAGCAATTACACTGAAACTACAAATGCTTTCACCAGCCAATAGTAAATATCTAAATTTCTTCTGGGCGTTCGATTCTGATTTTATATGTAACCGACATGGCAGCCATATTGAAAATACCATTACAACATGTGATGAAAATCGTTATGTATTATATAGTTCCTGTGAGAAACTCCTTCCTATTATATATTTTATATTTTGACCTTGTACTTTCCATGCTCATAAATTATCACAAAATTAGTTTTTCTCTCTGTAAATCTCATCCTCCCTGAACGTTCTGAGTTGGTCCGACAGACGGAACAAGATTGTGTGTTTCTCGTTCTCATTCCTTTTTTTAATTTTGAGATTATATTGTTTGTTAAGTTTTGGTCTTCAGTATTCATGCTGGAGGATTTGAATATCGATGACATCGTCCTATTTTAAGAGGATGTCTTTCCTGATACTTCAGATAGTTCGCTACAGAAGCTGGTGAGCTACAACGCCGTGGCACTAATTTGGTTTACTGTTAAAAAATATTCAAGAGTAATGGAGATGTTTTGCATTTCGGGCAGCCAATATTTGAACAATCGTAGTTGTTATTGTTAACTCTCAGTCAAAAAACGGTTATTTCAAAAATTCTAAAAGTAGCAAAACGTGTTGCTATTTCTGTTTTTGTATTAGTTCAAAAAGTGATTGATCATGGTATGTTATTAATAGAAAATCTACTTTAGAATGGAAATAAAGACAATTTGAATGTCATCATTTGTTTTTCTTTGACTTATTCCTTTCAATTTGAACTCTGAACGATGCTGCTCATAATCAGACCCCCTTATTGCCAGTATTTCGTATTTAGGACATGTATTAGTTTAAGTGAGGTCATCTATTTCGTCTTGTTGGCCATTACGATGTTTTGGATCAAACTTTCCAAAACTATTGAAAATGATACCCTATCCCAAATTTCATGAAGTATCCATCCTTAGCATCCCCACACAAATGCCTATCCTTGTCGCACTTTCATTGAATTTTGCACAAATATTTTTTGAAGTGATTCCTTGTCTGTTTGGTCATTTCAAGCAATAACGATGCTTGGAATAACGCTTTGGAAATCGTAACCTAGCCCGAAACTCCATTCACGTCTTTTGTATCATAAACATATCTATATCAAGAAGAATCAATCTGGATTAAAGTCTTGAATGAGACACAGAGCGTGGATGTCTTTTAGCCATTTCAATAAAACGGTTCCTTGCACATGTCAACCGATGTACACGTAATATTTGATGATTAACTCTAATAGTTCTATGTATCGGCAGGAAAAATACTGTTTAAACGACTGTTTCTTTAAAACATCATATCAATATAATACATTATATATATGTGCATATATATATACACATTATATATATATATACATACATATATATGTGTGTGTGTATATATATTCTTCCAAATGCAACTATTATCAGTATTTTAAATCAGCGTTAAATGTTGAATGTTATTTATCGTTTAACCTTTCTACACATTTAAGAGCTGTTTTAGCACAATTTAGGTGTAGTTATTTTAAAATAGCTGTAGAAACTGGGCGTTATAACAACACTGATTATAATCAAAGATTTTGTATATCATGCAAATCTAAAGGTCTTACCTATATTGAAGATGAATTCCATGTACTGTTCATTTGTTAATCCTATTCACACCTAAGAGAGAGGTTTATTACAAAATGTGTTAAAAAGCCTTATACTGTATATTCTTTAGCAAATCTTTTCAAGAATACTAATGTAGACACTGTAAAATCTGTTGCCTTGTATCTATTTTATGTTAAAGGATTATTATAAACACACATGAAAGCACATTGTGCCCCTGACTACACTGAAATTGCCTTTGAATGTATTTTGGGCCTATGGCCTTTTACTGCAAATAAACTCTGTCTGTCTGTCTCTATATATATTTGTTGATTGACTCACCAATCAGCAATATTTAAGTTAAATGAGGGGAGCCATATTCAAATATGACTATGTTTATTCATTTTGGGGTTTTGGGGATTGATATCTGGGTAGCTGTAACATCCCATAAGAGCCGAATTTATACGCAAAAAGGTATTTTACACTTTATGTCGTGGATTTTCTGACAGGACCCAAGACGGGACTTTTCAAGTTACACGAGGGAAGCCATATTTATGTATGGTTATGGTTATTCGTTTTGGGCTTTTCAGCTTTGCATATATTTGTTTCATATGCCTGCTATGATAACCAGAGGGATGTAATGTGGTTTTCAATATATATTGTTACATGTATGAACTCGTGAATAGGGCCATGCAATATCTTTGTTACTTTGACACAAGAAGCAAAACATAATAACGACAAATAATATGTAGCAAGAAAGTAAAATTAATCCCAATTAATTAATAATTTCTTTGGATTTCTGGGAACTGGTCATCAAGTTTTATCAAAACGTGTCGTTTAATGTAACAGAAGAACCAATGATTTTACGTTATTTGTTGTTCATATTTGTATTGTATCGATTCGGTTTAACAAAACAGAATTGTGGGAACAATATTTGCAATAAAATATAATACTAACAATCAGTGTCTTGCATCTGTTTTGCATGTTTTATACGCTCAAACGAAACCACACCTGTATCTCACATTGATGAGAGAATTATCATGTTTGTTCACGGAATTGGTGAGGTGAAATTAGGTTTAACGTCGTGCTTGAGAATATTTCGCTCATATGACGACGTGCATGCGTGTGTATGTGCGGCTGCGTGTACTAGCCCAGACTTAAGCTGGTTTTATAGTGCTAGCTCACTGAGATACCATACCGCAGTGAAGCATGAATACCCCACTCAGACACATTATACTGACTCCGAGCCGACCAGTCCTTGTTGTACTCATTAATGCCGAGCGCCAGGCAGGGACCAACAAGTATCATATTTTAACTTCTTTTGGTATGACGCGTCCGGGGATCGAACCCGCGACCTTCCGCTCTCCGGGCAGACGCTCGGAATTGGTGGTTAAAGCAGAAGACATCAGCTAAAAATATTTGTACAATGTATGTACAATGTATGAAAAGATAAGTCATAGCCTATTAAGCATTTCCTATTATTTTAACATGCCATTTGATAGTTTTATTGTAACGATTAGGGCAAAAGGCTAAAGGGGAACGCATAGAAAAATCAGTTGTGCCTAATTTGAGAAAAAGAGCCTTACTTCATTGTCAGTCTTTGGCATGTGGGCTTGTATTTACATTTGCTGATTCCTGCAGTATATCTGTCTTTAAAGAATAATCAATGATCTCTCATGAATGTATCTACCGTATGGCAAAATCACCCGTGTAAAACAAACCCCAAACCATGAGAAAAGCCGTCGACCTTTTTAGTGTGGAGTCTACATAGACATATTTCTATTCTGATTTGGCTAACAATATTTGTGTACGTTTATGTACGGTTATATGATTTATAAGATATAGCTTTTCTTATATTGGACAGTGAAGCTATAAAAATGCGAATTCCTGGTTAGAAATTGACCAGGCTTACATGTACCCTCTCTATCCTCTGTAAAATGGAATTCAAATTCGGCCGTTTGGCAAAATTTCATTTTCCGCATACTAATTAATCTAATTTTTATATGTTTACTGTCAATAAAAAATGTTGCATTCATATTTATCCATATTTCTCCAACATACCCGGACATCAAAGAAACTGCTGAATATGTATGGTTGGGTTCCTTAAACTTGGCAATATCATAAACAACCTAATATGTTTCCAGTTCTGTGTATATTCTAGTGGAATTGTTGTATTTGGCTTATATCAATCCATCATTGAAGGGAAGGCGTTTGAGTACATGCATGTAATGTATTGCTTAGTATCCCTTCTATGAATAATTAATTGTTGCTGGGTAATTGATGTCTGTAAAGGGTATACCCAACTTTGTTGAATGTGGACTCCACCTCACAGAGAGAGAGAGAGAGAGAGAGAGAGAGAGAGAGAGAGAGAGAGAGAGAGAGAGAGAGAGAGAGAGAGAGAGAGAGAGAGAGAGAGAGAGAAAGAGAGAATGACAATCTGATCATTAACGCTTTTGGATGAACCTCTTTCAGGTAACAACCACAACCAACAAATCCAGCACAGAGGGCAATGGAAACAATTGAGCACTGTTTTGGTACAACTATAGAAATATATACAGAAGAGACAGACCCCAAAATATTATAAAAATTATAAAACAAAAGGATAACAGAAGAAACGTCTTCGTGTGTAACAGATTTTATTTCGGACATAGTTTAAAAATAAAAAATTCAAATTTAAAATATAAGATGTTAAAAAGTGATATTATTCCACAGCGAATCCAACCAAAATGCGAACAGGGTCGAAACGTCTCAATCAAAAGCTAGAACAATTTGGAAATATAATTTTGTAGATGGTCGTTCAGTTTGAAAATGAAGACACACGCTTTTTATTGGTTTTGCTGTTTTTATGTATTATAGTAAGACGAAAAAAGGGACGATCATTTGATATTTTGGGGATGTCGGGGATAAGGTTTTTAGAAGATGTAAGTAAAACAATATCTCCTCCCAGTGTGAAACGATATCGTTATTTGTTTGGGCAACAGTGAAACAAACACAAAGACATTAATACCAAATGTGGGAGTGGTAGATGCTAGTGGTAGAGCAGGGCGGGACACCCGGTGTCATCAAGGATTAACAGTGATCCATTTTTACCACTATTTTGTGTTTTACACCCTGTTTTGATAAATTAATCCCTGACATTGATGTTTCTTAAACCAATTGAAGAAAACGCCAAGTGAACCTCCATGTCCCCTGAATATCGAATGATCGGTCCCCAACGTGAAGCAACAGTTATTTAAGCTTCTATTCCTCTAAGACTGCTGTTGAATTAATGGAAATCCCACTCAGAGTACCTTCTGATACCAAAACCTCTACAACCATGCATCATAACCACACCAGTGATCATGTCCATGACTGAATTACTATTGTAAAGTTAAGCTAGCTATGTATTGTAATGGTATATTGTCCAATAGCAATCAGTTAGTTTTAGTCCTGCTTTTAATATTTTATAAAGGTCCCATCCCCTTATCTTGTAGACGATGAGAATCAGATATCCATCACCTCATTAATTCATAAAAGGACTATTGATATTTGTACATAATGACATACTTAGTCACTTTTTGCTCAGCGACAAATACTGGTTTGCTATATTTCGAAATATTGGAACCATGTAGTTTAATTTGTAATACACTCTATGAAAACCTGTTGTACTTCTCTAACTTGATCAAAAGTCCTTGGGCTTGCATCGAAAATGTAACGTACGAAATATATTTATCACGAAATCCTCTGAGAAACACATGTAAATATTCGTTTCGAAGGGTGTTAGTAGCCCAATAGTGGTTGGTAAAAAGGTGCACATAAGAAAAGGTATAAAGTACAAACATTTATGGGTTAAATATCCTAACTGACATACAAATCTAAGCTGTTCTTTAGAAATCATCTCCACTATAAGAAAAATGACCGTACACATAATTTTTATTGTACTTTTATTGGTCAAAAATGAATAACAGTTTCATACATACAATGCTTTGCTTTTAAGGTTTCAATGAGATACGATCATCACGAAGACAAACAAAACCTCACTACACCTTCTTATGTTGTAACAGAGTCATACATTTTAACAAACAAACAACAACTAAGATATGTTTTTGGAAAATGTTCTGTTGGGTTCTTTCAGGAACATTCTTAACACGTTTCTTGAACAGTTATATAGCACAATGAGGTAGGGTATGAGAAAGGGTATTCTATACCATATGGGTGCTGTTGGAATGAAAACAAATTACATTACATTATGAACAAAATATGAATACATTTCCAGGTTTTAATGGACCATATACAAAACCATTGTTATTTATCTTCCCAACATTGAATTCGAAAAAAGAAAATGTCAGCTGCAAACTTGGATTACACAGTTGTCCCAACCAAGTAGCAAGATGACAGTACCGGCAGTGAACTTAATGTTTCCACGTCCAGAAACGCTAAAATAACATGATTGTAAAACCACAGATTATATTCATAGCAAATAGTGTATTATCCCATGTGCCTTTATAGAATATTGTAGATAATGCGTCCTTAACGCTCAAACACCTGTGTTTACATTTATTCCCAATGGCGCGTAATGACATGTATCTTCAAAGAATAATATAAACATCGCGTCTTAAACGCTAAAAATATTTGTCTATTTTCATACCAAACAATGCAATATTTTATTATCTTTTCAGACAAAATAAATAGCGCGTCTTCAACGCTAAAAATCGGTACCAAGGCCACACTTTTTCTATTTTGAGGTAATCTTTCAATTATAAGTCAAGTAACAAGATTTATGTCATTTTAGGTTTGACATAAATCATGTTCAGTGAATGACGACCTTTGAACTAATTGCTATGCAGCTGTATTTCATTGACATGTACTGAAATTAACAAAAGAGGAAAAATCCTAATGATTCACACAAGGGTGGCTCGGAGAGACATCAAATGCCCTATACAATATGTTGTAATAGAAAGATGTCCCAATATATAGAGATAAACGAAAATAGTTCTTACCACCTTCATAGTAGAGAATACATGCATTTCAGACTAAATGTACAATCCCATAAGTGACATTTATAGTATCCATTATCCACGTTTGAAAGGTTTCTCCACAGTGGGAACTGTCTCAAAATGTATCCATGTTTGAATCCAGAAATTCCAGAAGATAAGAACACAACACAGGAATGCTATCCTTTGGAAATATCCATGGAAAGGTCCCTGGGTAAGTTATCAGTACACAATATTGCAGGCTTGCCCTTCACTAATATAGTCAAAAGCACACACTGTCTTCTTGATAAATATATGAATCCATACACTTTCTTTATGCCAAGGAATCCTGGAAAATAATAAAATACATTTTAATAGTTTACAAAACTTGAAGCGTTAAGACACTATTGATGATGAATAAGTGTGTAATGTGTAAAAACGTAAGGCCACATAATAATGGCTTTGGACATATTTCCTCCATGGACTGCAATAATTATCATGAACACAAAGCTTAAACACAAAGCCATCGTCGTCTTTCTCATTGACAACATGTGTTTCCACACTTCTATTACGATACGTTGCTCGTTTAAGATACCACGACTGTGGATATAATTCCGACATTCCATATCAGAGACTCAAATACCAGTCAAATTTGAGATTTGAAGTGATTGAAAGAGGCATTGTACGTATTGGTGTGGTTTGGGTAAGATTTTCTCAACAATACCTGTGTCAAATCACGTGGTTCTGGGCTCCACAAATAGGCTTATATTACATTGTGGTTCCAATGTGATAGCTTTCTTGTGATAGCACTATACAAATCACTATACTGTAATAGGCAGACAACATACCTTGAACGCCTTGTTCGGTGATGAATTGATTTGTGGTCTCGGTACTTCGAACTGAAAGGAGAAACAGGGTACTGAGAGAGTTGAATAACTATAGTATTTGAAGCTTGTGGTGAGTGAGTATGGTTTTACGCCGCTTTTAGCAATATTCCAGCAATGTCACGGCGGGGGACACCAGAAATGGGCTTCACACATTATACCCATACGGGGAATCGAACCCGTGTCTTCTGCGTGACGAGCGGACGCTTTAACCACTTGGCTACCCCACCGCCCCTTGAAGCTTGTAAAGCTGCACACATTTATTCTACGTTGAATGTCTTTGCGGCCAGGACACTCGACAATCTGGACAATCTTTTATGTCAATTATTGTACTGGAAAACCAATGGTTTATGTATAAACATGGTCGAGGATAATTACACAAACTGAATGGATCATTCTGACAATTTCGTGTAATCATCTCAATTCGAGCAACACTTGGTTTGTTACATACCACATATACCTCTGTACTGGAATTATTACCGAATTTATATATTAAACTCACCTGTCTGTTTCTGTGAGGGTCAAGAGTAGAAAACAGATTTTCCCACGAGAAATTAGATGTTGGTTCCCCTCGTGTTCCAGGATCTAAATTAAGATAAAATTCGTATTTCACAAAGAGTGAACTTAACACCTCGTAGTTGGGAAATGGTTAAACGAAAGATCTGATTTTATGGAGGTCAACTTCTTTATTGTGAATAACACGACGTTTCGGAGTGTATGCTTGTTCCTTCATCGGGTATCTTTGAAGGGTATTTAGAAGTGGAATACATAGGAAAAGCAAGATTTTATGGATGTCAACTTCTTTATTGTGAATAACACGACGTTTCGGAGTGTATGCTTGATGAAGGAGCAAGCATCCACTCCGAAACATTGTGTTATTCACAATAAAGAAGTTGACATCCATAAAATCTTGGTTTTCCCAAAAGTTGGATTGATGTTTAAACACTAGGACTAAGGTTTAAATAACAAGACGGATTGACAGGAGACATAAACAAGCATTGATGCTGTTAAATTAAGGATCGGTTGTACATAACACAGCGTTTAAAGTATAACAAATATAGAAGGCAAACATAAACAAGCGTTGAAGCCGAGGTGGAGAATTCACCACTCACATTTCGATGCTTCTGTGAGACCTTGGTAACGCTCGTTCGCCCACGGTGAGTCGTAGTAGTCACGTTGTCCGCCGTTCCTTGTGTGACGGCCGTTTTTCATCGAGCCATCGCTGACCTGAGACGCTGTCTCTGAGAGAGTGTGTGGGGAATACATCATGTAGCGAGCAGCACCAAGGTTGCCCTTGGTTGGTAGGTTGCCCACGAAGGCACTCCGGAATGCATCATCATCACTGCAAAATGTGCGTTTCATATGTTGCAAATATGCATTAAGACGTAACGCCTTGAACGTGGACTAGCAGCTACAACGTGGTTAAAAAAGATAAATTCATTTCCGTCTCTCTTACTTACTATATTACACAACTGATACTACTACTACTACTACTACTGTTATTATTATTATGTTTTACAGATTAAAAAAAAGTATGCAGCAGAGAGGGTTTGGGTGATCCTGGCAGTCAGGCTAGTAAGGCTCATCATCAGCTCAGGGCCCTTGCCTCTCTTTTACACGCAGCCCAGACAGCGAATGGGACTTCTCCCAGGAAACACTGCCTAGTCGAACCCACCAAGGACTTTCCGGATAACTACTATTATTATTGTTATTATGACTTCTACTATGACTATTACTACTTCTTCTGCTCCAACTACCACTACACACTTAATAATTTGCAGTAAATAATATGTGCTAGTACTACTACTACTATTACTATTACTATTATAACGACTACTATGACGATTTTCACTTCTCCTGCTGCTTCTACTACTACAAACTAAATAATTTGCAGACAGTCGTCGTATAGTTGTACTCACTGCTGTTACATCAACAACAACTACTACTACTGTTGCTGATGCTGTTGCTGCTACTGTTACTACTATAGACTAGATACTTGACAGACGACCTTTGTATAGTTGTACTCACTGCTGTTAGAACAACAACAGCTACTACTACTACTATTACTACTACTACTACTACTGCTGCTGCTGTTAGAACAAGAACAACTACTACGACTACTACTACAACTACAACTACTACGACAACGACTACTACTACTACTACTTCTGCTGCTTCTACTTCTGCCACAACTACCACTAAATACTTCTACTCGTACCAATAACCGTCTACATCTACAACATTCGTGATGCTACCGTTTCTACACCAACTGCATCTACGTACCGCTCTTCCGACGGTGGCTTAAGCGAACTTCTCCTATTCTTCAGGCAGCAGAGGTAGACGACTCCAGCGATGACGAGGACGAGAATGATGAACAGAGGCACGGACAGTCCAACAGCAAGAGGGATGTTCACAGCTAAAGAATATTGAATATACGAATACCATTGATGTTGGTAAATACAAATGTATAGGGATCATATGAACAGTATGTCATCGGTACTATTAAACGTTCTTTCTAACCTTTCAAGGAATACGTTACTTTGATGTTCGCGTTATTTACATGTATTCATTTCATAATACACTCAGTATTATTGTTATCTTTTATGAGAATGGTATAAGATATTCAACTTACAATCTGCTTGCAGTTTCCTGAAACGAGAGAAATATTACCGTATGAACATTTCATGCAAAACCATTGTGGGAAAATAAAAAATGATAGAAGGATTTGAAGAAATGAGCATATTAGTCTAATATACATACAGTTTATTACATGATAGATTTTATTCCATTTTCGCTTCCATTTAACTATCTACGTCCAATTTCATGTGTCCTCGGATAATAGCGATAATGATGTGAAATGCTCTTGTGAAAGAAATGTATCGATTCCTGTATGACATAAATGCAATTGTCACTGAATGTTTCGAATGATGTTTAATATATAAATAATTATCAAATAATCTTAAAAGCAGTTTGCTTACCTTGAAACAGGTATGCCATTGTTGAGCTCACAGTACTCGTTGTTCTCTAATGGGTGGATCATCTTGTATACATCGCAAACAGTTTGGCTTTTAGTTACTGAAACAAACAACAGAAGGTTTAAACATCAGTGAGTAGGTGTGGAATTATATAGCTTTAGGCCTTCTTTGAACATTCAGGCAAATATTACAATCGTAAGACCACAAATGTCATTCATTTATGATTGCATTTAAACGCGGAACAGAACCTGGGTCTTCGTAGATTGTGCCTAAATGAGTCGAATTAGCAAATTTTGTTCTCTTTGACGAGTGAACAAGACTACCCTACCATAAACTGGGAATCACACGGGTCTACTGTGTCACCTGCAAATGCTACCATCAGTGAATATCACTTACTATTCACTTCGTTAAACTCCCAACTTCCATATAGAAATAAAGGTCCAGTAACTCTAATGTATGATTGTGTAATTGCGACAGGTTCATGTTTGCGAGAGACCAGTGTATGTCTGTCTCACCTACAAAACCCAGTAAGGTTTAACACATTTCACAGAACCGTCCATTCAGCGACTTCCACTCACCCTCTTTGCTGTTGTAGACGAGTTTGGAAATTGCGACTGCTGTGCCATCTAAGGTAATCTTGCCCACTTCCATGAGTTTCTCCAGCATCGCTGCCAATACGCCGTCGGTGTTGTCGGTCTTGGTGCCGTCGATGCGGATGGCTACAGGTGCTATAACGCTGCCTTTGCTGCAACAGCAAAATGGTTCCGTTAATCCAACTGTATGTGTTTGGACAGGTCAGTACGGTATGAGTGAATATTGTTTAATGCCGCATCAGCCATATTGCAGCTATTCAATGTGAACGAGATCATGGAGTGTGTGTGATTAGTGAAATCAGCTGAGATTGTGATTAGATTGAACAGGTTGGCAACATAAATGCGAGTGATGTTTATCCACATTCCATCCACACTATTCCTAACAAATCATATTTTTGGTGGCATTTGGAATCTCAGAAAAACAGTAACATCATTATTATGTTTGTCTTATGCTATATTTCAAGGCATATGTCGAACATTATCTGTTGTCAGTTTGGTATAGATATTGTGGCTTCGGTACAACTGGGGATTCAACTCATCTGACTTTGGTACAACTGGGTTCATTTGTACAGATGCTGATAGCACGTACCTCAGGTTCCCAACGAATGTCCTCACGTGCGTATCAGGGGACACGACTTTGATGACAGCGTCAATCTGAAAATATAGTTCAAGAATGAGTGCAAACTGTTTGAGTCAAGAAGCTGCAGACAAAATTCATTGGCCATTGACTGACTGACTGATTGAGTTTAGTTTTACGCCGCTTTTAGCAATATTCCAGCAATATCACGGCGGGGACACCAGAAATGGGTTTAACACATTGTGCCCATGTGGGATATCGAACCCGGATCCTCGGCATGACGAGCCAACGCTTTAACCACTAGGCTACCCCACCGCCCCCATTGGCCCTTGAAATCAGATATAGATTTCAACACTGACGGAAATTACGAAAAAATGACCACTGAAAATAATTTATGGCACCAAGTGCTCATGAAAAGATGAACGTGTCCTGCTTGATTTGTTGCACCACATATCGCAATTTTCAAGAAAACGTAAGTGTTTAGTGGCTGCCTGGCAGTAAAAGTATGGCCATATGACCGTGACATGTAACTATCGAACACGCTCCAGTCTGTCCAGTGGTCAATATTATGAGCAATGTTCACGCCGTAGAGGTACAACGCTGTCAATCAAGTCACCAGTCGTAACCACCCGAGTATTTAGTGTATGTGACAGTGAGTAGAGAGATATGAAAAATATTGGATCGAGCATCTTGATGACAAAAAGAAGCGACAATACTACTTTCAACATCCATGAGAAACCACTTTCCACATCCATAAGAAACCACTTCCCAAATGCATAAGAAACCACTTACAACATTCATAAGAAACCACTTACAACATGCATAAGAAACCACTTTCAACATGCATAAGAAATCACTTACAACATAAGAAGCCTCTGCTAAAAGCAGAATTGATTATACACTTCCGACTTTATCAGACTGGTTATGCAGTTATCAAATAGTGATGATACCAGGTGTTCGTTATAAGGTGAGCGTCTCCTGCCCCACCGGTGACATCCGTCATAAAAATAGCAAACACTGATTCATTGTCCACGTACCGCATTTCCAATGTCTTGATGCAGCTTGAAGTAGGCGGCGCTTGACGTGTTGGCAAGGATGGTGTCTCTGTTGGCGTCCAGTGTGACAATCGTGTTGGTCCCCTGATCGGCTGGAACACATGACGTCATGTATTAGTACTACATTGGAAGTGTACAGCCCCACAGGGAAATTCATAGCACAGCGTAGCGATTGCGACTGTTTTGGAACTGAGTGTAGCTAAATCTATATTTAAAGTGAGTGTATATTCCATTGAAGTTTTGTTGCACTCGACTTGTTTCATAAGTAGGCCTGAGGTACATGTATATTCAGTTGTTTGAGTGTACATATATATATATCTGTTCACCTAGCAGAAAATGGGTACCCGGTGGGATGAGTCATGTGACTATAACCTTCTAGCGCCTAACAGGCAGCTTGGGTTATCAGGGGTAATAATGTGCTGTGCTATTGTTAGCGCTACGAGCATACCTGGTGTGGAGTTTGCGCTATATAAATGGACACATTATTATTGTTATTATTATTATTACATTTGCATTAGTTTACTTCTAATTACCAATTTGCTTTATATGGTTTGTTCGTAATATTTATTTGTAGTTATGCAAATATAATCAATTGTTTACTTACAATGTCCAGGAACGATCCTGAAACAAACAAAACAACATATCTGGTTAAAACAGTTCATGAATAACAACGAAATTTAAATTATAGGGAATTTATATTATTTATCTATACTTAAAATGATACCATAATGTTAGGACTACGGATTCTAATACTTATTCATAATTGTAAAATACCCAATCTGTCATTTGTTCAGCAATCCATGATCACACCAGTTGATAACGACTGATTTCAATGTGTTTGGGCTTTTGTAAGGTAACACACGTAAAGATATGCTTTTTATCCATCTGCTATAAGCACAGTTTTTTAATATTATATTTTCATAAACGAAACAATAGCTGAATTCATTTGAAGTAAAGCATCAAATTAAATAGTGATAAAAAACGGCATAATGCATAATTCGTTTGAATGTAAGGCAGTGTGTGAAATAGTTTTTGCTACCCAGTCAGCAATGCCTAAAAGTTACTAGCCCACAAATTTCGCTAGCCCGAAATTTGAATGTAGAAATTAAGCAAATATTTCAAATTAGACGAGAATAAGATATTGTCGGCATGACGCGGGTTTCAACATTAAGTTACTAATATCATGAACATATTTATGAGGCCATAATCTTGCATGATCTAAAAGTGTATTATAACTTAACAAGTCGGAGAGAGTGATATATTTACAAAATGACTGTGAAGATATATTGGCCCGACTGGATTTTTACTAGCTACGGGCTAGCGGGACAGTGGCTATTGCGCACACTGATATAGGGTCGTATTCATGTACTTACGTGGTGCCAGGAACGCCATTGTTGAGGACACAGTGTTCATTACTTGCAAGGTTTGTTATGAAGGCGTACACGTCACACACGCTTTGCGCGGCAGTGACTGAAACAATTCGACAATAGATAAAACCTTTTATAATTACATACCACCATCATTCATAAATTAATTAAACTTCAACCCATGCTTGTCCTAAGAGGCAACTAACAAGATCGTTTGCTCAGGCTCGCTGACTTGGTTACCACATGTCATCGTATCCCAATTGCGTAGATCGATGCTCATGATATTGACCACTGGATTGTCTGGCCCAGATTCGATTGTTTACAGAACGCCGCCATATAGCTGGAATATTGCTGAGTGCGGCGTTAAGCAGCGAACAATAATCTACCTCACAGGTGTATTTGTAATTGATAACCATTGACTGAAACTTTAAATCATTGAACATTGAAATTTCTTCTCACTTTCTTTGTTGCCATATTGGATTTTGCTGATAGGAGCGGTGGTGCCGTTGATACTGATCGAACCAACTTCGGCCAATTTCTCCAACGACGCTGCCAGGAGACCTTCGTAGTTGCTTGTTTTGGTCTTGTCGATGTTCAGAACAACAGGGACGACAGTGCTGCCGATGCTGTAAAAGAACGCACATAATTAATAAAGAGGCATTCGATGTTTCTTCTTGTTTCATAATGCTCAACCCGTATTGGTTTCTTTGTTACTTGTACCCCTCAATTATTTCACCCATGAAGACCAACCAGTGAAGATCCGGGTTAGAATATTGATCTTCAGTAACCTATGACTTGTCGTAAGAGGCGACTAACAGGATCGGGTGGACACGTTCGCTGACTTGGTTCACACATGGCATCCGTTCCAAATTGTGTAAACTGGTGCTCATGGTGTTGAACCCTGGGTTGACTGGTCCAGACTCGATTATTTACAGACCGCCGCCATATAGCTGGCATATTGCAGAGTGCGGCGTAAAACTAAACTCACTCACTCATCCCACGAAGGCCCGAGTTAGAGTTGGTCTTCAGCAACCCACGCATGTCGTAAGAGGCGACTAACGGCTATATGTAGCTAAAGCAATTCAATTCTCATGGGATAACTAAACCCTTTAAGATGTGTTAATTGGACTGAAACTGTGTTGGTATCTACATAGGTTCGTGTTTCCATCACTATTGTAAGCTACGTTTATAACGAACGTCTGGTTATAAGGAACTGTGTTTTTCCTGTTCCTTGCTGAATATTTTAGTCCAAATGTATACGAAGTGCAGCTGTAACGAACTAAAACCTGGTTGTACCACTGTGTTCGGGATAACTAGTATAGTGTACTTGCAGTCTCTACTGACAGCTGGGTAGATGCAGCATACCTCAAATTTCCAACAACGCTGCTAATATGAGCACTTCCTGACACAGCTCGGATGATAGCGTCAATCTGAAACAGCAACTTAGAGTCAGTATTGACAATACGCGTCAATCTGAAACAGCAACTTAGAGTCAGTATTGACAATACGCGTCAATCTGAAACAGCAACTTAGAGTCAGAACTGTCAATACGCGTCAATCTGAAACAGCAGCTTAGAGTCAGTACTGTCAATACGCGTCAAACTGAAACAACAACTTAGAGTCAGTACTGTCAATACGCGTCAATCTGAAACAGCAACTTAGAGTCAGTATTGACAATACGCGTCAATCTGAAACAGCAACTTAGAGTCAGAACTGTCAATACGCGTCAATCTGAAACAGCAGCTTAGAGTCAGTACTGTCAATACGCGTCAAACTGAAACAACAACTTAGAGTCAGTACTGTCAATACGCGTCAATCTGTAAAACATCAACTTAGAGTCAGTACTGCCAATACGCGTCAATCTGAAACATCAACTTAGAGTCAGTACTGTCAATACGCGTCAATCTGAAACAGCAACTTAGAGTCAGTACTGTCAATGCGCGTCAATCTGAAACAGCAACTTAGAGTCAGTATTGACAATACGCGTCAATCTGAAACAGCAACTTAGAGTCAGTATTGACAATACGCGTCAATCTGAAACAATAACTTATAATAACCTAAGTTGTCTGTCGTTAACAATCAACTAAATGCGTATGAAGAATAAACACGGAACATACCGCTGCCACAATGGCTTCCTGTAGAGCAGTGTAGGCAGCAGACCCTTGGTTGTTAATTATAGAGGAGTAGTCTATATTCAGTACGATAACTGTGCTGAACCCTTGAGAGGCTGAAATGCACACAATATACGTAATTAGCGAGGGAGTGAGCGAATGAGTATGGTTTTACGCTGCATTTAGCATTTATGCCAGCATCACCACGGCGGGACACCAGGAATGGTCTTCACACTATGTAATTTGTTAACTAGTTTATGAACACAAGTATCTTTACCAACGGTGGAGTAATATGTGCATTCAAAGAACAAAGTCGCTTCTCATGGTGTCAGTCACAAAATTGTCTGGTCCAGGCTGGTCCATATTTTACAGATCGCCGTCACGACGTCAAACATCAAACAGACAAATGAAAGAAACGTGCCTCAAATTTAGGACACGAGTACTTGGAAACTTGGAAACGAGTGCAAAGAAACTTGTCTCATATTTAAGACACGTGTACTTACAAACACACGGAGAGCTAGCTGATGCCCTTCCGAACCCTGTGTTGCAATCACACCTGTAGCTGCCGACCACGTCTCGACACACTTCTTGAGTCCCGGTGCAGACAGATGGTGTGGCTAAACACTCATTGACGTTGGTCTCACAGTTGGTGCCGGTCCAGGCAGAAGTGCACGTGCAGGATCCATTGACCGGGTTGCAAGACGCTGAGTTGCCGGATATGCACGTGCAACTGTTTTCGCAGTTTGTACCATAGCTTGTTGAATTGCATGCTGAAAGGACAAAATGGTATATTTTTAAAATTATTTGAATTAAATTTAGAAGTGATAAATAAGGAAGAGCGTTTTATGGATGTCAACCTCTTTTGAATGAGGAACACAGCCGAGTATATGCTTACGCCAACATCAGGTGAAATGACTGATGGAATATACTTTGGAACGGTGTGTTCCTTATAATAGAGAAGTTGACATCCATAACACTCTCTTCCTCAAAAGGTCTTATTCTGAACATTGGCAGTGATTTGTTAGAGATGGCATAATGTCCATAGCGAGTTTTAGACATGCTTTCTCACTAGCGTTTACATTTTATGAAAAAGGTGCGAGTAAACGGGGTTTCAGGCAGAATAGGATGTACGTTCCTTGTTCAAGAACACCTGGTGTCATTGCTGGTTTTTTCATGATTTATGCGTATAATTGTCAGTATGATTTGTCTTTGACACTCCTGTTGTTTCGGCAAATATTCAAATATTTGAATGCGCTCACCGTGACGTTTTGAACCACAATGATCAGTAACTTTCTCAGTTTGTGAGTATCTGCAACTATAATTGTCGACGATGTAACTTCTAACACTCACCTGCGCAAGCAGCACCACTGGTTGGCCTCCCGAACCCTGGGTTACAGTCGCACACATAGCTGCCGTTGGTGTCTCGACACACTTCTTCAGTCCCAGAACAGAGAGATGCGTTTAGGGAACACTCGTTGACGTTGGTCTCACAGTTGGTGCCTGTCCAGGCAGATGTACACGTGCAGGATCCATTAACCGGGTTGCAAGACACTGAGTTGCCGGATATGCACGTGCAATTGTTTTCGCAGTTTGTACCATAGCTTGTCGAATTGCACGCTGAAAGGATACAATGGTTTATTTCAAGATTTCCTATGTTATACTGAAAACTGGCAGGGATTTATGAGAGATGACATAAGGTTTACGTAGAGTAAAATGTTCAAATATTTGAATGTGCCCATCATGACGTTTGAATCACGAATGATCAGTAACCATTCTCAGTTTGTGAATATCTGGAACTATAATAGTGACGATGTAACTTCTTAGTTCTAAGACTCACCGGCACAAGCAGCACCACTGGTTGGCCTCACGAACCCAGGGTTACAGTCACACACATAGCTGCCGTTGGTGTCTCGACACACTTCTTCAGTCCCGTTACAGAGGGATGCGTTTAGGGAACACTCGTTGACGTTGGTCTCACAGTTGGTGCCTGTCCAGGCAGACGTGCACGTGCAGGATCCATTGACCGGGTTGCAAGACGCTGAGTTGCCAGATATGCACGTGCAATTATTTTCACAGTTTGTACCATAGCTTGTCGAATTGCACGCTGTAATGAAACAAAGTATTATGCATGTATTTAGATCCAATCTTATTTCATTTTTTTCTTTGAAGCTTTCCAACGACTGTTCTTTACATGATGTTCATTGTTGCTGCTGCTCGAATCCTCGAGGAACTTCAAACAGTTTCGACAGAAAATCAAACAGCCTATCAGAAGAATAAAACACCAATGAAAAACCGGTTTCTGTTTCATGCCTTAACAGTGGATGTCCTTAATTGGCACAACATATCCTAAACGACACGATGGCGTGGCTTGTTGTTTCTCTTACCGTGTTCCCGATGTTTTCGGATTTGACCCTTTGACGACCCTGAACATGTCCAAGGCGTCATGGAAAATGATACTTTTGAAATTTCTTTGGAATAGATCCATATACAGTCACTGTGTAAGAAACATTCCTGCCAACAAGCCTGACCTTTTCATTTTTTTATCATTGAATTTTCTGTGTCTGTCCCTTTTGGCAGCAATGTGATTCAGGAAAAGCATGAGATCTATGCGGACCTCACTTTTGAATGTCTCGCATGCGTCCAAAGTACACAGTCAGCAGGCTCCACTGTGCCCTTGGTTTGGTACCGCCTGATCTCTTGGCGTAGATAAGGAGAGTGCCCGGGTTCTCCACCAGGGCACAGCTCTTCTGACACTGTGGGCAATGCAGAAGGCTGCAGTGTTGGGAGTCTCCATATTCTCAGGAACATTGTTGGTTTGATCGACTTGGCAGCGCTTCCTTGGCGAAGCCACATTCATTGTCTTGGCTGCTTGAAGATGGGGCAAGGTCCCTGACATGATGATGAGCTTTATCAGCCCGACTGTGCCAGGACCACCCAACCCCCTCTGCTGCATGTTATCTTAATCTGTGAAGTTACACGATACCACGTATAAATGTATGAGTCTCTAACTTATCACACTGACCTGCGCAAGCAGCACCACTGGTTGGTTTCACGAACCCTGGGTTACAGTCGCACACATAGCTGCCGTTGGTGTCTCGACACACTTCTTCAGTCCCGTTACAGAGGGATGCGTTTAGGGAACACTCGTTGACGTTGGTCTCACAGTTGGTGCCTGTCCAGGCAGATGTGCACGTGCAGGATCCATTGACCGGGTTGCAAGACACTGAGTTGCCGGATATGCACGTGCAATTGTTTTCACAGTTTGTACCATAGCTTGTCGAATTGCACGCTGAAAGGAAACGAAATAGTATGTATTTATTTAGATCCAATCTTATTTCATAATATGAGTGTAGTTGAAACTTTTTAACGACTGGTAATTACACGATGTTCATTGTTGAGTGTATGCTGCCGCTCGAACTCTGGCGGAACTTCACACAGTTTCAAAAGAAATAAAACAACCAAGGATAAGAATAATACACTTAAGATAAACTGATTCTAAGTAACCCTGAAAGCAGCAAAAGGGCCTTAATGGATTGAGCTGTGCCTTAAACTAGTATCATCAGGGAATCCAAAGTAAAAACGGCAAAGGTTAATTTGGAGAAGACTTAAATTAAAATATAAAAAAAACACGAAAGAAAAGTTATTTCTCCGAAATTGTTGACTCCTTTAACGAAAGGTTTGGACAGAAAGAAGAAACTATGAAAAATAGAAAAACAAATTTATTTAAACAGAATAAACCCAATTCACAGTTTGTGCTATAGCTTGTCGAAAGGAACCAAAATGCTTTGTATTCATTAAGATCGAATCTTATTTCAAATATAGCATCATTATTTTTTCAGTATTATTCATGGTTTGTAAAACACTCCGTTGACATGTCAGTTAACGATACAAAATTAAATGATATCAAGTAATAATGTATGACTCACCAGTGCAAGCGGCACCACTGGTTGGTTTCAAGAACCCGGGGTTACAGTCACAGACATAGCTGCCGTTGGTGTCTCGACACACTTCTTCAGTCCCGTTACAGAGAGATGGAGTTGTTGTGCACTCGTTGACGTTGGTCTCACAGTTGGTGCCGGTCCAGGCAGAAGTGCACGTGCAGGATCCATTGACTGGGTTGCAAGACGCTGTGTTGGCGGATATGCACGAGCATGTGTTTTCGCAGTTGGCGCCATAGGTCGGATTTGGGCATGCTGAAAGAATGGTGTGTTTGTTACATGATATTGCATATTAGTGTAGTTGAAACTTTGCTATATAGTCGCTGAATTGGCTGATACATGCCATCGTATCCCAATTGCGTAGATCGATGCTCATGCTGTTGATCACTGGATTCTCTGTTTCAGACTCGATTATTTACAGACCGCCGCCATATTGCTGAGTGCTGCGTAAAACTAAACTCACTCACTCACCCTAAAGACTAAAGAGATTCAGGTCGCTGACGTTAAACACTTTGGCAAGACCTACGGGCACGGCTAAAGCCCATTATCTAGGCGAATCTTGGATTCGAACCCAGGACATTATTCTAGACGACTTAGTCACCTATGTCCACTTGTCACACGCAGAGAAACATAGACTGTTCTAACAATGACCGATAGTTCTGAAAAACTCAGGTACATTCACAAATTCAAGCGACATCCTTAAGCATCTACTATAGTCTGTTTGCAGTGAAAACATACCGATGAATTTCACTTCAAGCAAAAAATAAATCAAATAAAGTGAAATTAAGACTGCGAATCCTCATAAATTTGCCTTGCCAACTGAACATTTAAATCTCAGAATTTTATTCATTGTAGGACAAAATTTGTTTAACAAACGATCATACATTCAAATCGCTATTATTGGTTTGGATTACAAGGGGGTGAGCGCAGTAGATGGAACAGTGAAACAAATGCACGTGCGGTTCGTGATGAGCGTTAACTTAGACCAACTCTACTTGTTCTCGGTGTTTCATTTAATGTGCATACCCCCTTGTAATACAAACCAATAATAGCGATTTGAAACTATTGTTAAACAACTTTTATCCTAAGTTGAAAAATATTCTGAGATTTAAATGGTCAGTTGGCAAGGTAAAATTATGAGGATTCGCAATCTTAATTTCATCTTATTCGATTTACTTTTATGTTTAAATTGACATTCATCGGTACGTTTTCAATGCAAACAGACTATAACCCATACATAAACTGTGATCATTTAAAACATGTCCCTTATGACAGAATAGTTTTGCTATATTTTAAAACAGAGTGGTCTAGAGTGGATTGGTTGGTTAGAAATGTGATCGAAAATATGTGACATGTACATATTGAAAGGAAGATAAACGAAGAAAAAAAAGAAATGTGACCTGGTTGTTTGCGTGTGATCGGGCAAAGTCGATGCACGCCTTTAAAGAAAATTTAGGCAATTTATCAGCTGGTTGCTGTGATACGGCTACTGATACGGTCAGATTATTTATTACACTTACCAGCACACTGATCAGTGCCGGTTTGCTTCTTGTAGCCTACTTCACAGTCGCACACAAAGCTGCCGTCGGTGTCTCGACACACCTCATTTGGGCCTTTACAGACAGATGGTGAGATTGAACACTCGTTGACGTTGTTCTCACAGTTGGTGCCGTTCCAGCCCGAGTTGCACGCGCATGATCCATTGACCGAGTTACAGGCCGCTGTGTTGGCGAACACACAGCTACACGTGCTGTCACAGTTGTCTCCATATTTGGTCGAAGTGCATCCTGAAAAACAGTCGGAAAAATACACCTACATGTTACACCTCAGACCTTTTACCGTCTAAAATGTATAACATTTTAATTACCTGAACCTTGTGTAGATGCTCGTCACGCCGAAGACCCTGGTTCGATTCCCCACATGGGTACAATGTCCTCCGCCGTGATATTGCTGGAATATTGCTAAAGACGGCGTAAAACTAGACTCACTCACTCACTCACTCACTCACTCACTGAACCTAAGTAATCGTGACTACCTGGCATATACTCCAACAAGATTCACTTATGCCTTCTTTCATATCACTCACTTATTTGTACAACCCGTGAAGGTCCGGGTTAGAATTGGCCTTCAGTAACCCATGCTTGTCGTAAGAGGCGACTAACTGGATCGGGTGGTCAGGCTCGCTGACAGGTTGACACATGTCATCGGTTCCCAATTGCGCAGATCGATGCTCATGCTGTTGATCACTGGATTATCTGGTCCAGACTCTATTATTTACAGACCGCCGCCATATAGCTGGAATATTGCTGAGTGCGGCGTAAAACTAAACTCACTCACTCACTTGTATAGACAATAATAATTATGATTTTATGTTATAGAGAATGCAGCTAGCGTTTATGAATTCATACGATTGTTGTATTATACGCACACATCCATCAATGGCATACTTACAGGTACTTTCAAGACAAGAATGTTTATGAAGAAAGTACCCCTCCAAAGTAACCCATATGTTTAAGGGAAAATAGATTGTGTCATCTGTCACATGACTTCATTATTTCACTTCCAATGTCTCCATTTGTAACCAAATGCACCCTTCGCCATAAAACGGGAAACAATTACCATACTTCTAAATTGTTTACATAGAGACTGACAGGTAGGAAACAAAGTTAGAAAGACATTTTAAATCTGCTTGTTGGTCCTGAAGCTATAACTATAAACATTGCATATAAGCGCAAGAAATATTTAGGAATATTCCACCAGAAATGGGCTTCACACATTGTACTCATGTGGGATTCGAACCCGGGTCCTCGTGATGAGAGAATGCTTTAACCACCAAAGTACCCATCAGGCGCAGGTACTTAGTTTTGTTAATGTGATATGAGCCAACAACTACTTTGTTTCTGTTTTGTCATGAAGAAAAATCACCGATGATCACCAGTTGGTGTGAATTGTACGCAGGGGCATACTCTAGTACCTACCTGTGCATGCATCACCGGCTCTGATATATCCTAGTTCGCACGTACAGGCGTAGGATCCGTTCCGCTCGTTGCACACGCCGTTGGTGCCGCAGATGCTGGGGGTGTCCGTACATTCTGGTTTGTCCTCCGTGCACGTTGCTCCCTTCCACCCACTCCTACATGTACAGCTGCCGTCGGTTGAGTTGCAGTTGATGGTGTTGGCGGCGTCACAGCTGCAGTTTTGAGCACAGTTGGCGCCAAACGTTCCTTCTGAGCATACTGGAAGGGATGGAAAGTAATACTGCATGCCGAATTTGAAATCAGTTAATTCATATTCATGATTGGGTCATATATAATTGATGAACATTGCCCGGTGTGCACACTGTAGTCTTCCATTGACCACAAGTACATCTTACATCGCCATTTGTATTTGCTGAGCTTAAGTCATATTAACCCAATTCTCACAAGCCAAAAGATAAAAATATTGGATGTCTCTCATGTACCTTCAAACGTTTTCCTGTCAAGAGCATACTGAGAGCTATGAGAGCAGGAACATGTAAATGTATCTTACATACCTTCACAAGATGTCCTGTCAAGAGCATACTGGAAGCTATGAGAGCAGGAACATACCAATGTCTCTTACATACCAACACAAGATGTCTTGTCAGAAGCAAACCGAGTGCAGGAACATACCAATGTCTCTTACATACCAACACAAGATGTCTTGTCAGAAGCAAACCGAGTGCAGGAACATACCAATGTCTCTTACATACCAACACAAGATGTCTTGTCAGAAGCAAACCGAGTGCAGGAACATACCAATGTCTCTTACATACCAACACAAGATGTCTTGTCAGAAGCAAACCGAGTGCAGGAACAAAACCGAGTGCAGGAGGACATACCAATGTCTCTTACATACCAACACAAGATGTCTTGTCAGAAGCAAACCGAGTGCAGGAACATACCAATGTCTCTTACATACCAACACAAGATGTCTTGTCAGAAGCAAACCGAGTGCAGGAACATACCAATGTATCTTACATACCTTCACAAGATGTCTTGTCAGAAGCAAACCGAGTGCAGGAACATACCAATGTCTCTTACATACCAACACAAGATGTCTTGTCAGAAGCAAACCGAGTGCAGGAACATACCAATGTCTCTTACATACCAACACAAGATGTCTTGTCAGAAGCAAACCGAGTGCAGGAACATACCAATGTCTCTTTGTCACATACCAACACAAGATGTCTTGTCAGAAGCAAACCGAGTGCAGGAACATACCAATGTATCTTACATACCACACAACTTGTCAGAAAGATGTCTTGTCAGAAGTCAAACCGAGTGCAGGAACATACCAATGTCTCTTACATACCAACACAAGATGTCTTGTCAGAAGCAAACCGAGTGCAGGAACATACCAATGTCTCTTACATACCAACACAAGATGTCTTGTCAGAAGCAAACCGAGTGCAGGAACATACCAATGTCTCTTACATACCAACACAAGATGTCTTGTCAGAAGCAAACCGAGTGCAGGAACATACCAATGTCTCTTACATACCAACACAAGATGTCTTGTCAGAAGCAAAACCGAGTGCAGGAACATACCAATGTCTCTTACATACCAACACAAGATGTCTTGTCAGAAGCAAACCGAGTGCAGGAACATACCAATGTCTCTTACATACCAACACAAGATGTCTTGTCAGAAGCAAACCGAGTGCAGGAACATACCAATGTCTCTTACATACCAACACAAGATGTCTTGTCAGAAGCAAACCGAGTGCAGGAACATACCAATGTCTCTTACATACCTTCACAAGATGTCTTGTCAGAAGCAAACCGAGAGCAGGAACATACCAATGTATCTTACATACCTTCACAAGATGTCTTGTCAGAAGCAAACCGAGTGCAGGAACATACCTATGTCTCTTACATACCAACACAAGATGTCTTGTCAGAAGCAAACCGAGAGCAGGAACATACCAATGTCTCTTACATACCTTCACAAGATGTCTTGTCAGAAGCAAACCGAGTGCAGGAACATACCAATGTCTCTTACATACCAACACAGGTTGTCCTGTCAACAGCCTACTGGCAACCATCAGACCAAGAACATGCATATATCCTTACATACCTTCACAAGTTCTCCTGTCAGAAGCCAACTGGAAGCCGTCAGAGCAGGAACAGGTGTAAGTCCCAGCAGGTGTGTTTGTACAGTTCTGCGAACAAGTTGTATTCACTGCACACTCGTCAATGTCTGTTAATAAAAAGAAGAATCAGAACAAAAATAATTTAAAATTAAAATCAAATATGCAAATCGCAAATGAGCTTATCAAAACCTCATCATTATCGCCTCTGAGCTAATCAAGATCAATTTACTGTTATGACGCCAATTTACATATCTAAATTACACAGATAACAAATCTGTTATGTCATAAAACATAAAAGATTGACTCTCAATTTGATTACAGCAAATTATCATTACTGATCGGTGAATAGTCTTTCAGTGAATTCATACATCGTAGTTTTCTCTATAGCACTTTTAGAATTATTCTTCGAAAATTTGGATCCAAAATTATTAAGTGCCTTTAGAAATTTAGCAGGATAGCAAAGGAAGTTTATTAATCTTCATCTGCATGTTAAACATTGTAAGCATACCATCACAGGTTTTGTTGTCGGCGTTCAGTTGGTACCCGGTGTTGCAGAAACATATATCGACTCCTCCTTGTACACGACAACCACCATCGGCCGAGCAGTCCGTTCTGTTGCAGGTTGGAGCACCGGGTGTCTCTGTGGGGAAATGACATAAACTATGTTCAAAATCTTCATTTTGCATACATTGCCAATGGAATATTCTCGTGTAATTAGTATTCAAAAGTTTCTATAGTTTATTAGTAGTTAATTTTAACCTTCAGTACTATCTCACACAGTGAGAGTATGTAGTTTTGATTCCAAATTAACGGTAATTCTGTAATTTTATAAAAATACTTACGGGTGCAGTTTAACCTGTCTGCGGTAAGCTCATACCCTTCGTAGCATTCACATGCAAATCCACCAAGAGTGTTTCTACACTTCTGAGGGCACCCACTGGTTCCGGTGGTACATTCGTCTACATCTGTTAAATCATATACGAAGAGTTAAATGGTGGTTCACAAAGCCTTGTCAATTTAAAGAGTACATGATGCAATCACACTCATTTGCGTGTATTGACTGAGTAATTGTTCCTGATAACTAATATAAATTCAACATTTACAAACTGAAACAGACTGATAGATAGATAGAAAGATAGATAGAGAGACAGACTGATACACAGATAGATAAATAGATAGATACACAGAGAGACAGACAGACAGATAGATAGATAGATAGATAGATACAGAGATAAATAGATATATACACAGATAAAGATAGACAGATAGATAGACAGATAGACAGACAGAGGGATGACAGATGAGATAGATAGATAGATAGATAGATAGATAGATAGATAGATAGATAGATAGATAGATAGATAGACAGATATGATAGATAGATAGATAGATAGATAGATAAGACAGAGATAGATAGATAGACAGATAGATAGATAGATAGATAGAGATAGATAGATACACAGATAAATAGATAGATAGATACACAGACAGACAGATAGACAGATAGATAGACAGATAGATAGATAGATAGATAGATATAGATAGATACACAGATAAATAGATAGATAGATACACAGACAGACAGACAGATAGATAGATAGATAGATAGATATAGATAGATACACAGACAGACAGATAGACAGATAGATAGACAGATAGATAGATAGATATAGATAGATACACAGATAAATAGATAGATAGATACACACACAGACAGACAGATAGACAGATAGATAGACAGATAGATAGATAGATAGATATAGATAGATACACAGATAAATGGATAGATAGATACACAGACAGACAGACAGATAGACAGATAGATAGACAGATAGATAGATAGATAGATAGATTGATAGATTGATAGATAGATAGATATGGCTATAATCTGGAGACACACCGTCACAGGTTCCCTTCCCCTGAGGACAAAGCCTGATCTGCATGAACACGTATAGCTGCCCACAGTGTTGACGCAGTTTTGGTCACACTCGTTATCTGCGCTGTTCAAACACTCGTTGACCTCTGCAATGACCAACAATAGTTCAAACAAATGCGAAACCAGTGAGTGAGTATGGTTTTACGCCGCAATATTCCGGCAATATTGTAACGAACCCGGGTCTTCAGCGTAACGGGCGGACGCTGTAACAATTAGGCTACCCCACCGCCCCAAATGCGACACCAGTTAACGTAAGACAGCGTCTAATGATGATTTTTTCCCTTCATCTTTACAGCAGGCAATAATGCATGACGTTTCACATCATTGGGCAAACAGAACAGTGAGTGAGTGAGTATGGTTTTACGCCGCTTTTAGTAATGTTCCATCATGTTCCACGGCGGGAGACACCAGAAATGGACTTGACACATTGTACCCATGTGGTGAATCGAACCCGGACCTGACGAGCGAACGTTTTAACCACTAGTCTACCCCACCGCCCCTAAACTGAACAGTAGGTTCATAATATGGTATTGCTTAACAGCTGCTGGAAAGCCTTGTCCAACTTGGCGTTTAAATCAGTGATAATTTCTCCAATACCAGCGGTATGATCTGCCAAGAATAATGCATGTAAACAGCTCAGACCCCATCTTCCCAGTTTATTACATCATTTCAACATTCACATTGAAATCAGTGATTTACTTAAGTTTTTTACTTAAGTTTGTTAATATTAATGCAAGTATGTCCTTTGACTCGTGTCAAACATTCTCATTAAGTAGTCAGAGTACCTCCTGAATAAAACCCAATGATTTAATGTAATTGATTAATTAGAATAAGACGAAAACTCTAGATATAAAGTTGAAATCAAGGTAAAATAGACTTGGCAATGCAATAGCCTATCAGTAGCACACATTAGAAGTGAGAGAAGGTTAAGGTCAAACACAAGGATTCCAGAATTTCAACACATGACATAAATTACGTTTCAGTTGAAACTAATGCGTGAGTTTTGTTTTACGCCACGTTTGCCAATATTCCAGCAATAATACGGCGGGGGACACCAGAAATGGGCTTCACACATCATACCAATGTGGGCAATCGAACCTGGGTCTTCAGCGTGACGAGCGGGCGCTTTAACCATTAGGCTACCCCACCGCCCCTCAGTTGAAACTAAATTGGCATGCAAAAAGGCAATTCTATGGAAGAATGACATGACTATTGATACCGAAATCTGTCCTTACCGTCACAGACGTTTCCATTTGCTTTATAGCCTGTACGGCAGTTGCAGCGATACGACCCAGGCGTGTTTTGACAGTCCGAGTTGGGCTGGCATGTTATCTTGGGGCATTCATTGATGTCGCTCTGACATGTGTCCCCCGTCCAGCCGTTCTTGCAGCTGCAGCCCGTGGTCTTGTTACACACCTCAGTACCTATCGGTGCACATCCGCACTCATTTGTACAATTAAGCCCCCAGTGGTTGTCATCGCAGGCTGAAGAGAAAGCATCAATATATGTTACATTCGTGGACATCATTAGTTTGTTTGTTTGGCACTCAGCAATATTCCAGCTATATGGCACCGCTCTGTAAATAATCGAGCCCGGACCAGACAATCCAGTGATCAACCGCATGACCAGCGATCTACTCAACTTGGATGCGATGACATGTGTCAAACAAGTCAGGGGCGGTGGGGTAGTCTAGTGGTTAAAGCGTTGGCTCGTCACGCCGAAGACCAGGGTTCGAATCCCCACATGGGTACAATGAGTGAAGCCCATTTCTGGTGTCCCTCGCCGTGATATTGCTCGAATATTGCTAAAGCGGCGTAAAACCAAACTCAGTCAGTCAGTCAGTCAAACAAGTCAGCGAGCCTGACCCGATCCCGTTAGTTGCCTTTTACGACAAGCATGGGTGATTGAAGACCAATTCTTATCCGGATCTTCACGAGTTCCTGGTCATTTCTTAAGTTAGAGTGAATGAGTGAGTGAGTGAGTATGGTTTAACGCCGCTTTTAGCAATATTCCAGCAATATCACGGCGGGGAACACCAGAAATGGGCTTCACATCTAGTTCGGTCATAAAATATTTAAATATGTCCCCTTGTCGTAACAGGTGGTTAAATGGATAGGGTGTACAAAGCTCGTTGACTTTTCCTATCATAATTCATTCATCATACCCCGACTGACTGAGGTGTGTTCATAGTATCAATCTCGGGACTCGATAACTTGTAAAGCTGAATTATCAATCAAAGAACGCAGCAATCTGTGGGTAACTTCACTGGCAATATTCGAGTTCGACCCAAAAAAACCTACGAATGCATGTCCTCTCATCGTTGCCCAACTGTGTTCCAGATCCACAGGTACATTGGTACGAACTGTCTGTGTTGGTGCAGGTGCTCGGGTCTGTGCACTGGTTCAATGTCGCATTCTCGCATTCGTTATAGTCTGTAAATACAACAGTAGACGTCAAACATGTATATGGATGAAAACATAAATGAATCCTGCTGGAGTATATAATGATAATAATAATAATAAAAATAATAATATAGATCATTTGTAATGCGCTTGACTCCACAACACTTGGCCATGCTCTAAGCGCAAACACAAGACAGTCAGTAGCGAAGAAAAAGAAATGTCTTTAGATGAGACTTAAAACTTGAGAGAGTTGAAGCAGATTTAATGTCTGTAGGGAGAGAGTTCCACAGGAAAGCAGCTGAATGTTTGAAGGATCTATGTCCGAAAGTTTTGAGTTTATATGGAGGCACAACATAGAGTGATTGATCGGCAGATCTGAGATTCCTCGGTGGGACGTGGGGTGAGAGAAGGGCTTGGAGATCGAGTGGAGCAGTTCCATTTAGTGCTTGGATAAAACTTCTTGGAAAAACTTCATTCAAAACATTTCTACGCCTAGATTGCTCGTTTCTTGCCAAATCAAGCAAGCATTGAAACGACATTAACACTAAATGTGGACTCTAACTGATACAATTATATTTTTGTTAATCATTCTTATAAAAACTTCTTTGTAGCATTTTCGAACTTATTCTTCTTTACATCGCGCACACAAAATAAAAGAAGTTGTTATCCATAAATGCTGCTATCCATGTCATTATCAATCTTTATAATATGTCATTGAAAAGCTGTTTTTTAGGATTGAGAATTATATAAAATGCTATACATAGTCAAGAAAACACAAGAGAGGGTGTATGTCAACTAGTCCCTTACCAATACACGTCATTTGGTCTGTTCCCAGGGTAAAGCCGCGGTTACATTTACACATAGCGGTGCCATTGACCGCCTCACAGTAGTGGCTGCAGTTCAGGCTGGTCAGTCCCGCGCAAGGGTCAGCCTGCTCTGGGTCTGAAATGTTCATGAAGACTGGTCAGTATAATGAATAGCTAATGTTCATGAAGACGCGTCTATAAAAAAAAGTACACAATGTTCATGAAGACTCGTCTATTTCATGGGTACCCAATGTTCATGAAGACTATTCTATATCATAAGTACCCAATGTTCATGAAGACTCGTCTATTTCATGGGTACCCAATGTGCATGAAGACTCGTCTATATCATAAGTACCAAATGTTCATGAAAACTCGTCTAAACCATAAGTACCCAATGTTCATGAAGGCTCGTCTATACCATAAGTACCCAATGTTCATGAAGACTCGTCTACGATGATAAGTACTCCAATGAAGACTTGTATACGATGATAAGTACTCAATGTTTATATCATAAGTACTCATGACTCGTCTACATCGTAAGTACCCAATCTCCATGACTTTTCTATATCTTGTCTATATCATAAGTACCAGATATTCATAAGTCGGCTAATAATAAGTACCCAATCCTCACAACTTGTCTATATCATAGGTACCCATCTTCATACCTCGTCTATATCATAAGTACTAAATAATGATAAGTTGTCTATATCATAAGTACCCAATGTTCACAAAGATCGTCTATATCGTAAGTATACATGATAAATGAACAGTGCTGACGAGTCGTATTTTGTACGATGAGTACGCAAAGTTCAGGATATGCATGCAGTATGCAGTCGCACTAGATACATAATTTCATTGCAGATCGACTTACATTCAATTTTTTATTGCAGATCGACCTAGATTCAAAATTTCATTGCAGATCCACCTAGTTGCAAAATGTCATTGCAGATTGACTTAGATTCAAAATGTCATTACAGATCGACCCAGATGCATAATTTCATAGCAAGATCTACCTAGATCCAAAATTTCATAGAAGATCGACCTAGATACAAAAGTTCATTCCAGATCGACTTCGATTACATAATTTCATTCGAGATCGACCTAGATACAAAATTGCATTGCAGATCGACCAATTTTTTTATGACATAACAAAACATTCTGCTATAATGTGACTGAAAAGATTATGAATTCCTTCCTATAACATCAGTAAAATATTGAAAGCATGTTGCAAATATTGTTCGGTGCTCAGGAAAATGCCCCTTAGACGCTTGCTCCTTAGACTACTCGAATATTTCAACTGTATGTTCTTTCGCAGAAATAATAGACATATTGATGTGCCCAAACTTCTTTACCCCTAGTACACGTCCTTCTGTCGTCGTTGAGGATGTAACCGGCTTTGCAAAAGCAGTTGTAGCTGCCCTCGACGTTCAAACAGGATTGCTCACATATGGCCTGTGAGCCACTACACTCGTTGATGTCTGGTAACAAGAAACAGAAGCACATATAAATAAGATTTTTTTGTTTATGTTGAAGTAAGATGCATTTTCAAAAATAATTATTAAACATTTATTAAAACCCTTGTCTGCCCAGGGCAGTGATGCAAGACCTCTATTGTCTCTCGACATAAGAATATTGGCTTAATGTTTAGTTTTGTTTGTTTATTAATGCCTCTCTCAGCAATATTCCATCGTCGGATTGTAAATAATCAAGTCTGTACCAGACAATCAAGTGATCAACATCATGAGCATCTACGCCATAGGGATACGATGACATGTGTCAACCAAGTCAGCGAGCCTGATCACCCAATTAGTTGCCTCTTACGACAAGCTTGTAATCTTCACAGGTAGCTTAATTTTGTGACATACAAATGAAAAGTGTCATAGCTGTGTCAGACGCTTGTTCAATATATTCTTGTAGTCTAAATTATCTCACCCGTGCAATTACTGCCGACCTTCTGGTAGCCAGGTTTACAGTTACACGCGAAAGAACCAGCGGCATTGACACACAGGGAATTGGCAGGGCAAGGATTGGCGTTGGTGGAAGACAGGCACTCGTTTATGTCTGAAACAAAAGAGAAGTTGTGGTCAGGGTGTGGTGTTGTAATACTACCACCGATTCTGCATGCTGGTTATATTTCTTGGATTGCCAATCCCATTGGATTGGATTTAACAAAAGGGGCAAAACGTAAAGACCACGATCACTTCAGGATTTCATTCCACATGAAGCAGACATACATATCTATAGTGCTGTTCAAGAGGATTAACACACAAAAGGTCAAATGACATGTACAGATGAAGATAGGATTAACATATATTTCTAACCCTGAACGCTCACCTATGCAGCTGGTTCCATTCTTGGTGAAGCCTGAACTACAGACGCATACATAAGATCCGTTAGTGTTGGTGCACGTCTGAGAGTTGCCACAGATGGTGGGGTTTTCTTGGCATTCGTTGACGTCTATTCCACATGTTGGTCCTCTCCATCCTGATTGACACAAACAGCCCCTGGCTGGATCGCAGGCCGTAGCCCGACCTTGACATTCGCACGTTGACTGACATTCTACACCATACTTCGGAAAACCACATTCTGAAAGAAATGTCAGGTAAATCAGATATTTTCTACACCACGACCAACACTTCAAAACACGTAGCCAATAGTGGATTTCGCGAGCACCTGGTGTCATCCCTATTTGATTGTGATTCCTCAACACATGCTCATGGTATATTCGGAATTGTACATTCGAATCAGATGAGACTTCTTATGGATGGAAATGAAACTTAGTCGCATTTACAAATGTGAACTTTACAAAAATCTATATAAAATATACCACTTGGATTTACAAGACTGATAAAATGCAAATGATGAAGCCAAGGAAGAAACAGATGATGAAGAGAAATTAAGGGAAAATGTGACAATTTATTCCATTCTTTTAGAAATGTTTCACCTGTATGGAAATATATTACTTTTTCTCTTATGCATTGCCATTGGCTAGTGGTATGCTCGCAAAATGGAATATCCCCTACTCTTTTATGAATGGTATATATGTAGCATGTTACTCACTCAGGCAGGACTGCTTGTCTGTTGACAGTTTGAAGCCGGAATTACATGAGCAAACATAGCTGCCATCGGTGTTGTTACAGTTTTGGGAGCACAGATTGTTGTTGCACTCATTGATATCTGGAGAAAAAACATATTTCAACGTGCATTGGACACTGTGCATCTACTTTTGCTGTGGAAGGTAGACATTCGGTTGAAGAAATTTCTTTCGTCAGAGCTTCAAAATGAAAAAAATGGGCACTCGTCACATTTTTTCAGTGTAAGATTTTTAACGGTTTGTTGTTGATTTTAATAAAAAATCGAATGAAATAAGTTTGGAAGTGGTCTTAAAGGCTGAAGACATAATTAATGTTTTGAACACTTTCGGGAACAGAAATTTTTTAAACATTTTTAGTTCTTACCTATGCAGGATGTTCCATTTGAGTGCAAGGAGTAGCCTGCTCTACACTTACAGGTGCCGTTATCACAGAAATGTTCACACCCAAGGGACGCACATGCAAGTGGCGCTGAAAGAGCATATTGTTATAAGCATGTAAACATGCACTAAATATCTGACACAGAGGCGAACGTAAGTGGGTGGAATAATGTCATATTATTTTCATATACAGTCCATATTAATTTACTGTTGTAGGGGTAGATGCAGGTTTAAATATCAGCTTGGTCATCATACACATGACTTAAAGAGTGTTACAACGGGTACAAATACCAGGTAGGCTATCTTACACATGACGATACAATGATACAAGTGCTACAAGTAACAGGTAGACCATCCTACACATGACGATACAATGATACAAGTGCTACAAGTAACAGGTAGACCATCCTACACATGACGATACAATGATACAAGTGCTACAAGTAACAGGTAGACCACCCTACACATGACGATACAATGATACAAGTGCCACAAGTAACAGGTAGACCACCCTACACATGACGATACAATGATACAAGTGCTGCAAGTAACAGGTAGACCACCCTACACATGACGATACAATGATACAAGTGCTACAAGTAACAGGTAGACCATCCTACACATGACGATACAATGATACAAGTGCTACAAGTAACAGGTAGACCACCCTACACATGACGATACAATGATACAACTGCCACACGTAACAGGTAGACCATCCTACACATGACGATACAATAATACAAGTGCTACAAATACCAGGTAGACCATCCTACACATGACGATACAATGATACAAGTTCTACAAATACCAGGTAGACCATCCTACACATGACGATACAATAATACAAGTGCTACAAATACCAGGTAGACCATCCTACACATGACGATACAATAATACAAGTGCTACAAATACCAGGTAGACCATCCTACACATGGCGATACAATAATACAAGTTCTACAAATACCAGGTTGACCATCCTACTCATGACGATACAATGATACAAGTTCTACAAATACCAGGTAGACCATCCTACACATGACGATACAATAATACAAGTGCTACAAATACCAGGTAGACCATCCTACACATGACGATACAATAATACAAGTGCTACAAATACCAGGTAGACCATCCTACACATGACGATACAATGATACAAGTTCTACAAGTAACAGGAAGACCATCCTACACATGACGATACAATAATACAAGTGCTACAAATACCAGGTAGACCATCCTACACATGACGATACAATGATACAAGTGCTACAAATACCAGGTAGACCATCCTACACATGACGATACAATGATACAACTGCCACAAGTAACAGGTAGACCATCTTACACATGACGATACAATGATACAAGTGCTACAAGTAACAGGTAGACCATCCTACACATGACGATACAATGATACAAGTGCTACAAATAACAGGTGGACCATCCTACACATGACGATACAATAATACAAGTTCTACAAATACCAGGTAGACCATCCTACACATGACGATACAATGATACAACTGCCACAAGTAACAGGAAGACCATCCTACACATGACGATACAATGATACAAGTGCTACAAATACCAGGTAGACCATCCTACACATGACGATACAATGATACAACTGCCACAAGTAACAGGAAGACCATCCTACACATGACGATACAATGATACAAGTGCCACAAGTAACAGGAAGACCATCCTACACATGACGATACAATGATACAAGTGCTACAAATACCAGGTAGACCATCCTACACATGACGATACAATGATACAACTGCCACATGTCATGTAGACCATTGTACGCATGAACAGACAGCAATACAAGTGGCACCGATATCTTGCTGACAACTGGCACATATATGTCTTCCACAAGCTCCTACTACAGTGTTTCCAACCCGTGAAGATCCGGGTTAGAATTGGTCTTCACCAACCCATGTTTGTCTTAAGAAGCAACTGGGATCGGGTGGTAAGACGCTCTGACATGTCATTGTACCCCAATTTCCTTAGATCGATGCTCATGTTGTCGATCATTGGACTGGCTGGTCCATACTCGGTTATTGACAGACCGCCGTCATATAGCTGGAATATTGCTGAGTGCGGCGTAAAACAACAAAGAAACAAAACAAATACAGTGTATCGAAAGTAAGACAATACTTTCAACTCTACCAGTTCGCTAATTATATCATACTCTTTATGTCCACACTTACATCCACCACACGTTTTATTATCAGCATTGAGGGTGTAGCCGGTGTAACAGCCGCAGGTCCAGCCGCCAGCGGTGTTGTTGCAGGTTTGTTGACAGTCGTGACTGCTTTCGTCACACTCATCAATATCTGCAAGAAAATATTGATTAGACGAAAAAGTGATCGTGAGTGAGTGAGTTTAGTTTTGCGCCACACTCAGCAATATTACAGCTATATGACGGCGCTTTGTAAATAATTGAGTCTGGATCAGACAATCCAGTGATCAACAGCATGAGCATCGATCTAGGCAATTGGGAACCGATGACATGTGTCAACCAAGTCAGCGAGCCTGACCACCCGATCCCGTTAGTCGCCTCTTACGACAAACATGAGTTACTGAAGATCAATTCTAACCCGGATCTTTACGGGTTGACACTTAGTGAAGGACTGCATCTTTACAAGCATCTTTATGAGGGGAGAATATAATCATAACAATACCCACACGAATGGACAATAAGAACATTTACTCCCCATTAAAAAGAACTGACTGTGCTATAATATAAATATTAGTTTTGGTGCAGCTTCTTTGCATTTTCTTGTCTGTGTTATATCTATGGAATATGAATCTTGTCACAACGTGCACGGTATAAATCTTCACTCACCGATACACAGACTGTTGCTGTCTTTTCTGAAGCCCTTTTCACACATGCACGTAAAAGAACCAATGGAATCGACGCATTTGGAGTTAGCTGTGCAGTTTCCGTTGTTAGTCTGGCATTCGTTGATATCTGTAAGCATACGACATGTTGAAATTAAAATCATAACATGTCATACAGTTTGGCCTCATATATGTTCATTCTTGAAAAGGCTTGTGAAAATAATAATTGATATTACGCCAACAACAATCACATTTCACATATTTGGATTAAGTATGAAGTTCATGCTTCAATATTTAAGCCATTCTTGAGAGTGCTGATATGGTAAAGTATCATGCTCTTAAGAATTTTCTGAAGATGAGGGTGTTACATGTTTTATGTTCTCAAAAGAGTCATTGACCACAATATTAAAGTTTAACGTGTCTTCATAATTTTCAACTAGATCATCTGGCATGTTCAACCATTCAAATTTGAAGTCATATTTGTTAAACGCTAATATAAACGGCAAAATGTTCAAATACCTAAAATCTAATTTATAGCATTTTGCTGCAGAGAGGATGCTTACTTTTACATTCTACAATGAACCACGACAAGCAGAGGATGCTTACTTTTACATTCTACAATGAACCACGACAAGCAGAGGATGCTTACTGTTACATTCTACAATGAACCACGACAAGCAGAGGATGCTTACTTTTACATTCTACAATGAACCAAGACAAGCAGAGGATGCTTACTTTTACATTCTACAATGAACCACGTCAAGCAGAGAATGCTTACTTTTACACTCTACAATGAACCACGACAAGCAGAGGATGCTTACTTTTACACTCTACAATGAACTACGACAAGCAGAGGATGCTTACTTTTACACTCTACAATGAACCACGACAAGCAGAGGATGCTTACTTTTACACTCTACAATGAACCACGACAAGCAGAGGATGCTTACTTTTACACTCTACAATGAACCACGACAAGCAGAGGATGCTTACTTTTACATTCTACAATGAACCACGACAAGTAGAGGATGCTTACTTTTACATTCTACAATGAACCACGACAAGCAGAGGATGCTTACTTTCACACTCTACAATGAACCACGACAAGCAGAGGATCCTTACTTTCACACTCTACAATGAACCACGACAAGCAGAGGATGCTTACTTTTACACTCTACAATGAATCACGACAAGCAGAGGATGCTTACTTTCACACTCTACAATGAACCACGACAAGCAGAGGATGCTTACTTTCACACTCTACAATGAACCACGACAAGCAGAGGATGCTTACTTTTACACTCTACAATGAACCACGACAAGCAGAGGATGCTTACTTTTACATTCTACAATGAACCACGACAAGCAGAGGATGCTTACTTTCACACTCTACAATGAACCACGACAAGCAGAGGATGCTTACTTTCACACTCTACAATGAACCACGACAAGCAGAGGATGCTTACTTTTACACTCTACAATGAACCACGACAAGCAGAGGATGCTTACATTTACAATGAACCACGACAAGCAGAGGATTTACTTTCACACTCTACAATGAACCACGACAAGCAGAGGATGCTTACTTTCACACTCTACAATGAACCACGACAAGCAGAGGATGCTTACTTTTACACTCTACAATGAACCACGACAAGCAGAGGATGCTTACTTTTACATTCTACAATGAACCACGACAAGCAGAGGATGCTTACTTTCACACTCTACAATGAACCACGACAAGCAGAGGATGCTTACTTTCCACTCTACAATGAACCACGACACACTCTACAATGAACCACGACAAGCAGAGGATGCTTACTTTTACACTCTACAATGAACCACGACAAGCAGAGGATGCTTACTTTCACACTCTACAATGAACCACGACAAGCAGAGGATGCTTACTTTCACACTCTACAATGAACCACGACAAGCAGAGAATGCTTACTTTTACATTCTACAATGAACCACGACAAGCAGAGGATGCTTACTTTTACACTCTACAATGAACCACGACAAGCAGAGGATGCTTACTTTTACACTCTACAATGAACCGACAAGCAGAGAATGCTTACTTTTACATTCTACAATGAACACGACAAGCAGAGATGCTTAGTTTTACATTCTACAATGAACCACGACAAGCAGAGGATGCTTACTTTTACACTCTACAATGAACCACGACAAGCAGAGGATGCTTACTTTTACATTCTACAATGAACCACGACAAGCAGAGGATGCTTACTTTTACACTCTACAATGAACCACGACAAGCAGAGGATGCTTACTTTTACATTCTACAATGAACCACGACAAGCAGAGGATGTTTAGTTTTACACTCTACAATGAACCACGACAAGCAGAGGATGCTTACTTTTACATTCTGCATTCTGGGAAGGGTCCTGTGCGCTGTATCCTTTTGGACACTCAGAGCATATGAAAGCTTGACCAGTTCTCACTTCTTCTGTGGCGTTGACATCAGTGCATGTGCGTAACAGGCCACATGGGTTAGGGGTAATGCAACCGTTCTTGTCATCACTGCAGTTAGCACCTGAAAACAACGGTAATCATCCATATCTCAGTTCCAAGGTGGTTCATCTTTAATCGATACCAATGATCATCTTTTGCAGTTCATTTACTCGCAATAATTATTTATCATGAAAGTTTCGTAGTTCATTCACAATGATGACTATTTTGAAAGAACTGACATAAAACAACATGAGCAGAACGTTCATGGCTTGGCCTTCATGTAATTGGACAAGTCTGATGTCGTGTTTCTATATATTATACCTGATACAAGTTTCATTGATGTTTCTGTCATAATGGCATTATAGCATATCGTACTGGGGCGGTGTTATATACTGGGGTTGGTGCTTCACCTACCAGGGGGCGGTGTTATATACTGAGGTTGGTGCTTCACCTACCAGGGGCGGTGTTATATACTGGGGTTGGTGCTTCACCTACCAGGGGGCGGTGTTATATACTGGGGTTGGTGCTTCACCTACCAGGGAGGCGGTGTTATATACTGGGGTTGGTGCTTCACCTACCAGGGGGCGGTGTTATATACTGGGGTTGGTGCTTCACCTACCAGGGGGTGGTGTTATATACTGGGGTTGGTGCTTCACCTACCAGGGGGCGGTGTTATATACTGGGGTTGGTGCTTCACCTACTAGGGGGCGGTGTTATATACTGGGGTTGGTGCTTCACCTACCAGGGGCGGTGTTATATACTGGGGTTGGTGTTTCACCTACCAGGGGCGGTGTTATATACTGGGGTTGGTGCTTCACCTACTAGGGGGCGGTGTTATATACTGGGGTTGGTGTTTCACCTACCAGGGGGCGGTGTTATATACTGGGGTTGGTGTTTCACCTACCAGGGGGCGGTGTTATATACTGGGGTTGGTGCTTCACCTACCAGGGGGCGGTGTTATATACTGGGGTTGGTGTTTCACCTACCAGGGGCGGTGTTATATACTGGGGTTGGTGTTTCACCTACCAGGGGGCGGTGTTATATACTGGGGTTGGTGTTTCACCTACTAGGGGGCGGTGTTATATACTGGGGTTGGTGCTTCACCTACCAGGGGGCGGTGTTATATACTGGGGTTGGTGCTTCACCTACCAGGGGGCGGTGTTATATAATGGGGTTGGTGCTTCACCTATCAGGTTGTGATTGTGAGTGAGTTTAGTTTAACGCCTCACTCAGCAATATTCCAGCTATATGGTGGCAGTCTGTAAATAATCGAGTCAGACAATCCAGTGATTAACAGCATGAGCATCGATCTACGCAATTGGGATACGATGACATGTGTCAACCAAGTCAGCGAGTCTGACCACCTGATCCCATTAGTCGCCTCTTACTACAAGCAAAGGTTACTGAAGATCAATTCTAACCCGGATCTTCACGGGTAGTTGTGATTGTAGTCATAATGTGTGATATATAGCGCGTCAACACATACGCATAAGCAGTTAAGTTTCCACAAACTGTTCAATACAAGCTGGTGATATATTTGTTATGAATGAAATCCAATATATTTTAGTATACGACTATTAAGCATTGAGCAAACAAAATGTCCTAAGCATACTGGTTCATGACCTCTGACGGACCAATCAGTATATGGAAAACTCAAAGTGTATGCATGTCAGAAATGTTATCTAATGACCTTCAGCAAGCCATACTGATCATAGTTCGGTTTGAAATGTCATGCTCGCTTACGTTCTTGATGACACATGGCATATGTGCGGTAGTATACCCATGACGTTTTTCACTGGGTTGTTTTAATTATTTACCACTTTCATACAGCTACTATATTGGGGCGTCAAACATCAACACATGGTAATATCAAAGGTGTCTTACCAGAATAACCGGTGTTGCATTTACACGATGCCACTTGGAAAAGGGTAGCGTTCTGAGATGTTGGACGTGTTTCAGGGGTTGCGTAGTCGCACTGGCCATTAGCACCGCAGCCTTTACACAAGCGCACCTGAACATCAATTGCAGGAGATTGGGCGCTCTTCGTGTCCTGGGCAGCAACGCTGAAAAATTAGAAACAGTTCAAGTGGCATTTATCATGTGGTGGTGTGTGGTCCTGTGCATAGAGCGCCCAGGTTACAAATCAGTTGAAATTAAGCAACGTTGGTCGGGGACAGTCCTTGGATGGGTGACCGTGTTTGGCAGCTTGACTCCTGAGAGTTTCTGGGACCTCAATCCTGCCCAACAACGATGAACATTGCGAGTCTATTCATAAATTGCCTCTGTTCACCTAGCAGTGAATGGGTACCCGTTGGGATAAGTTATATGACTGTTAACCTGCTTGAACCTCATAGGCAGCTTGGGTTATCCGGGGTTATACTGCATTAGCGCCTTGGGCATGCACAAGTGCGTGGTAACAGACGCTTTATGAATTATGTTTTACAGAATGAAAATAGTATGCAGCAGAGAGGGTTCGAGTGATCCTGGTACAGTCAGGCTGGTAAGGCTCATCATCAGCTCAGGCCCCGTGCCCCCTCTACACGCAGCCCAGACAACGAATGGGACTTCTCCCAGGAAGCGCTGCCTGGTCGAACCCACCAAGAACTTTCCGGAGAATATGAAGGCTCCCCAACACTGCAGCCTTCTGCATTACCCAGGTAGTCAGAAGGGCTGTCCTCCACGTGGAGAACCCGGGCACGATCATGATTATTATTAGCATCATATTATGTGCTGGGGCTACTAAAGCTTTCTCTTTACAGTGTTTGATCGTCACTGTTGATTACTGACTTATCTACTGAGCTCGCATTATAGTCATAATTGATTACATTACACAACTAATCTGGCACCAGATAGATTTGCTAACGATTCGAATTCGTATTGGGGTGTCCTTTACAAAAATAACTTTATGTTAGTATATTTTTTGTATAGATCAGATGGAAATAATGAAGAGAAAAACTTCTTTTATCGAAAAAGCAGAAAGTGCCAATGCCACTCTTTGGAGGCGTTTTTATAAAGTCTTTCCAAAAAGTTTGAAAAACCGGAAAGCCAGCTGCGTACTAAAGTGTAAGAATAAGTAATATGTTTAGAAGTGTTTTACAAACTGGGTAACAAAATCGTTAATTACAATAATAGCTTGTAATGTTTGACATTTTCAAAGAAATATACTTGATACATATTGTGACACATGGTCCACGATTCGAACAATCCAATAGAAAACTGTTACCTGATAGAAACTGGGTCACTTCCAGTCGGGGTAAACGTGGCATTACCGGTGTCTACGTTCAACTTGAAACCAGTCGCTTCGTTGACGGAAATGTAGGTAATAGCGTCACTATCCTCGTCGGAGGCGTTGAATTTTAAATTTACGCTTTTGCCAAGTTCAACATCGACCTGAGTTGTTCCAGAAATTGTAGGATTTCGGTTTGCTGTAAGTAAACATTAAAGATGTAGAGAAAATTAGACAATATATAAAAATAGATATTTTACTTGGTCACAACAAACCTGATGTAATAAAATCTTGGTTCTGACAAGGCTTATATAGCAGAATATTGGCTATAACGAAATTAACCTAAATCTGTCAAGCTAAAGGTGTTCCTTGCATTACCTAGATTTTCAGTAGCACTCCTAGCCTCTTCAAGTTGAGCTGTTGCAGCATTTGCGAGAGCTTCGTTCTTGGTGACTGCGTAGTCAAAAATACACTGTTTTTTGTCGTCGCCTCCACATTTAGCGCTCCCAGCTTCTCGATCAGCATTCGTTATGTTCTTGTCAAACAATGGAGTATATGTGCTATCTGTAAAGGTATCTATTGTCTGTCCTGGCTTGTAAAAAAGAACAGATTCGTCCAGAGTAGTTATGGCCCCTGAAATACAAAAAATGGACAAAGTGCTAAATGAAGTCCCGTTAAGATACAAGTCAGAAGTGGATCAACTGGTTTTCGGAAGCCGGAAAAAAATATGGGTAAAACATTAGGTATGTTCTTCAAACCATTTCTGGCTCACTAGAATACCAAAGGGGCCGACTTGTGAATCCTGTGTTAAAGCAATGGGTACTTACATGACTGGCCGAATGGGTAGAGTTCATCATCTGTTGACGTAGCTGAATACATTGTTCCATCAGGGGACTTAAAGTCATCCGTATCATTACCATTGTAATTGCCAAGGAGACCCTTGGGTATGCCTCTGTACCTTTCCTGCAGAACTGTCGCCTGTGACAGCGTCCCTGATATGATAGTGATGGTCACGACGATCTCTAAAAAGAACGCCAGGTCGTCATTCAAGTGGGTCACGTTCCATAACTTCATCATCCTTGACGTAACTTCAGGAACAGTTACGTCAACATAACCTCACCATCATTTGAATAACTTCATCAACAATTGTTCACCAGGAAGTATCAGAGCATACAATTTTGAGATTTTGAGATTTTGCTTTTGACCATCATGAACTTTCCAATGATTACCTACCCCTGGTATATTGTACATATTCATTAAGCGACTTTCATGATTATCAGCTTCACATATGTATAAAGGTTTTGTGACTGGGTCATGCAAAATACTCACGAAAACAAAACCAGATAAAAATGTACCCATGGCTAAATACATGTCTGCCATCATGGTTGTCTAGTCGTGACATACTTTGCAATGAACAATGTGCTCAGTTGGGACAACAAAATGTCATTGGGCCGTAGACAGAAAACATCTACCCTTACCTATGTTAGGGAACGAAAATTCAGCCTTGGTGTCGTTTAATTTTGAAGCGATAAGGTGTGGTGATGATCTCTTGAAGTTGGCCTCTTCGTAGTACTGTCTGCTCACATCTATTCCATCGATATAGATCTCCATTTCTGAAACATGATCATTTTGATCATTATGATCGTATTGTCAAGGGGAATGCTATTCCATTAGGAAGCTGCTGTATTTCTGAAACATGATCATTTTGATCATTATGATCGTATTGTCAAGGGGAATGCTATTCCATTAGGAAGCTGCTGTATTTCTGCAACATGATCATTTTGATCATTATGATCGTATTGTCAAAGGGAATGCTAATGCTATTTCATTATCATTATGAAGCTGCTGTATTTCTGAAACATGATCCTTTTGATCATTATGATCGTATTGTCAAGGGGAATGCTATTTCATTAGGAAGCTGCTGTATTTCTAAAACATGATCATTTTGATCATGATGATCGTATTGTCAAGGGGAATGCTATTTCATTATGAAGCTGCTGTATTTCTGAAACATGATCATTTTGATCATTATGATCGTATTGTCAATGGGAATGCTATTTCATTATGAAGCTGCTGTATTTCTGAAACATGATCATTTTGAACATTATCGTATTGTCAAGGGGAATGCTATTTCATGAGGAAGCTGCTGTATAAGAATATCCTTCAGATATCGTTGCTCTGAACATACATTATCTGAGAAGACATGGATTGGGACTGCCTTTAATCAGTTCCTGGAAACACTGAAGATTTATGCTTTTGCAACAATAACTAACGTCTATGAAGCAAACCCCATTGAGACAGATCAAAGACCTACTTGTCTTGTCTTTGTTGAGGCCAACGTGAATCTTCCCTGTTCCTAAAGTGTCACTTTTCTGCTCCGCGGCGAAGGCAACGAACAAACTGGCCCCGACCTTCTGTCCTGTGCTTGAAACAGCCTGTGCAGTTCTGCACTGTAGTTTGAAAGTGAAGCTTTTATCTGCTGGTTCAATTTCAACTAGCTTGTACTCTCCTAGTCCGTTGTAGGTAAACACCTTGCCGTCCAGTGTCATAAAGTGGGGATCCCCGAAAATAAAACCTGGATAAACAAGAAAATATTAATATGAACCGATTAAGTCTCATTCAACATTTCCAGTTAATCCCGTGGCGAGGCATCTCTGTACAAAAGGGACATCTTGTTTTATATTTGACAGTTCATGATGTGAAGTGCATTTGTAACTATTAGCGTAAGGTTAAATTAGATATAGTATAATCAGTTACAACATGTATGAAAACTCGACAGTGGACACATAGTTATCAGTAACAATCGACAGTAAATCCCTTCTGCGTGTATTCAAACAACCACGAGACACACTATGCAATGACGTCATCATTAATACGGGTGACGTCATATGAATTCATGACAACTGACGCTCCTAGACAGTAGGCTGGAGCAAATGCTAAGTTGTTTACTTTATATGGAAATAACATATGATGGATAAAATAAAATAAATCCATGTCCATGCAACATTCAATTTCAAGTTTAGGTTGAGAAAAAAACATGTATATCAATATATTTTCGGTGTTGTGCATCCATTTAACCATACATCACGTTCAGCACGGAAGCAAGGCTTGTATTGATTAGCAGTGTATGGGCATCAAATGTGTAACATATGTAAACATTGTCAAAGTTACAAGAGAAAGTGTATAATTGTTGTTTCAGGTTGAAGAAATATCTACAGACACCTTTCATTACTCGGATGTAACTCTATATGTTCTTACGGAGGATAGCTCGCCAAACGTTGAAGTAACACCTCGACTTTGGTCGGACACGTTCATACAGATAACACAGATTTGACTGTCTACAGCACCAGTCCTTGGGGTTCGCATCTTCGGCCTGATGCAGGAATGGGGCAAGGCTCTTGCTGAAGCGGTTGTAGGTTCCTGCATCAGGGAGGTTGTTGATGAAATTTCCTCTTCTGTTGTAGCAACATTCCTAATGGATACGGAAGAAAATAGAGTTTATAGTCTTTGAACACGTTAAAACATATTCATAGCATTTTCTTCTATGAAAGCTGAATTCATACATTAACCAGTTCCGTTTTAGGTTTTCAGGTACTGTTAAGGTCAAAATACGAAACACGCATATCATTTTCTAATTCGAAGGTAAGAAGGCACTTGAATATGCATGTAAACAAAATTGAATGGTCTGCGGTTTAAGGGAGTATAGTTTTACGCCACTTTTAGCAATGTTCCAGCAATATCACGGCGGGGGACACCATAAATGGGCTTCACACATTCTACCCATGTGGGGAATCGAACCCGGGTCTTCGGCGTGACGAGCGAACGCTTTATCCACAAGGCTACCCAACTGCCCCTGCCGTTTCAAGGCAGGAATTGATCTGATGGTATATAATTCACTGAGGGGTTTATTGTCTCAGGACCTCCCGGTCGATCCCAGTGTCACCGATTTTGCGTAAATTTGGACCATGCATTAACGTATTGTGGTGATATAACTAAAGTATTTGCCTAAGTGGCGTTAATTCTCTCGGTTCAGTTAAAAAGCAAAAAAAATATCTGTCGGCATTACGACATGGAAATTGGCATCATACACTGTAACCACGTTGGTAATAGTACAACCAGCGTTGGAAATAATCGCCGGCCAGGAGGCCCAGCGCCGGTTGTTATTCTATCGGGCCGGCAGTTTCATTTATCTGCATGCCCTTGTGACCTTCAGTAAATTATCTGTCTTTTTTTCAACTCGAATCTTTCCCTTGTTTTTGTTTTCTTTACTAACGTTCGGGAATCACCCATGATCCATCATGTTACGATAACTTACAGTTTCACTTCCTGGTATTTCAGGAGTGTCATAGGAGCGTCGACACCAGTCTTTAACAAATACAAACGTGTCTCTGCGTCATAGACTTTGCTAACTGATTTGTAGAAACAGTGTGAAACCGTGTACAGTGTAGTCTATTTTGTTTTTATTGGTTTGACTTTAACAGATTTCATTCAGGGCCTGTAGATTTTAAAGCCTGCTGGCGGCAGCAGGCCCTGTTGGCCAACTGACAAATTAAAGTATTGTAAACACTGAGTACAAGCCACGCCAGAGCAAGCTACCCAATTGCAGACTTTCTTTGAACTTACAAAAGTGTCGAACCCAGAAGACGCCTGCATTTCCACACAGTACACGTCCTCGCCAAGGTACGGTGGAGCTGGCAGGAATCGCGCCGAAAACCTTACAAGGTTACGTCGACATGGGCAATTCTGGACACCCAGGGCTCGACTCCGCGCTCTGAACAATGATCTAGACGGAAGATTGTCCCGGTACCATTGAACACAGAGACGTGCTGGGCTCACGTTCACTATTTCCCCGACTTTAAACAGCCAAACTCCCGTTTGTTCTGCAGAATCAAATATCATTACAATCAAATGTCATTACAATCAAATGTCATTTACAAATGTACAAGGACAAATACAAATGGGAAAGTTAATGTCTAAGATATGTTAACTTGTAGGAGCTAGCGTAAGAGGTGATTGAGGGGATCAGCCTGGCAGCTTCGCAGACTTGACTGATACATGACTCGATTATTTACAGACAGCCTTCATATAGCTGGAATGCTGCTGAGTGCGACGTTAAACGGCAAACAAAACAAAAATAGCGTGTGTGTGTGTGTGTGTGTGTGTGTGTGTGTGTGTTGGAAGGTACGGTGGAACAGCCGTCATCGTTGGTTCTAAAGAATGAGCCACGGTACCATATCAGTTACCGAGGTATCGAACGGAATGAGTGGCCTCAATGAAACTTCCCTTTGATGCTATCTCTTAGTGTATCCACCATGAATATCTACCTGGGGAAAATATACATACCTAGGGAAAGTCTACATACCTCTACATACCTAGGGAAAGTCTACATGCCTAGGGATAGTCAACATACCTAGGGAAAGTCAACATACCTAGGGAAAGTCAACATACCTAGGGAGTGTCTACATACCTAGGGAAAGTGTACATACCTAGGGAAAGTCTACACATCTAGGGAAAGTCTGCATACCTAGGGAAAGTCTACATACCTAGGGAAAGTGTACATCCATTGGGAAAGTCTACATACATAGGGAAAGTCTGCATACCTAGGGAAAGTCTACCTACTAGGGAAAGCCTACATACATAGGAAAAGTCTACATACATAGGGAAAGTCTACCTCCTAGGGAAAGCCTACATACATAGGGAAAGTCTACTTACCTAGGGATAGTCAACATACCTAGGGAAAGTCTACATACCTAGGGAAAGTCTACATAACTCTATATACCTAGGACAAGTCTACATACCTCAACATACCTAGGGACAGTCTACATACCTCTACATACCCAGGGACAGTCTACATACCCAGGGAAAGTTTACATACCTCTACATACCCAGGGAAAGTTTACATACCTCTACACACCCAAGGAAAGTCTACATACCTCTACATACCCAGGGAAAGTCTACATACCCAGGGAAAGTCTACATACCTCTACATACCCAGGGAAAGCCTATATACCTCTACATACCTAGGGAAACTCTACATACCTAGGGAAAGTCCACTTAACTCTATATACTCAGGACAAAACTTAGTCTACATACTTCTACATACCCAGGGAAAGTCTACATACCTCTACATACCCAGGGAAAGTCTACATGCCCCAACATACCCAGGGAAAGCCTATATACCTCTACATACCCAGGGAAACTCTACATACCTAGGGAAAGTCCACTTAACTCTATATATTTAGGACAAAACTTAGTCTACATACCTCTACATACATAAGGAAAGTCTACATACCTAGAGAGTTGCCAACAACTTCGCTCATGACTGGTTTCACAAATTGCGCCACTTCATCGGCACCAATGGCTGCAGGTTCTTTCCTAGAGTATTGAAGGTCGCTGAATTGGTCAGCGCCTTTATACCCATGGACGGCCAGCTGACGGAATTCCTCGGAGGCTTGAATGTCGCTGTAGAAATACATGATGTAGGATTCCTGACCGTCTGTGAACATCACCATCTGAAAGGTGTTGCGCTGAAACATACAATGATTATGGTGTATGGGAAGTGAAATGAGTTTTTATTTCGGGTTATGTAGCGACGAATGTCGGTGTTAGTAGTGCAAGTCAGGATATCTGCAAGTACAATATACTAACGTCATTTGTTATGAAACCAATGGGATCGAAACATCGACCTTGGGATTGGGAAATATACACCAGGTTCTACTTCACTGGACTAATCTCTTTGGTTCCTTTGTTATGGCAAACGAAGGGGATCGAAACATCGACCTTGGCATTGGGAAATATACAGCAGGTTCTACTTCACTGGACTAATCTCTTTGGGTCCTTTGCTATGCCGACAAAGGGGCTCGAAACATCGACCTTGGCTTTGGGAAATATACAGCAGGTTCTTCATCACACCAATATATTGTATATGGGTGTGGCAAACATGCCTACGGTATTGTCATGTTGACATATTTGAACATTAGTCATAACGCGAGTCTTGCTATCCTCTTCTAAATACTGTTACCGTCGCTGAAGTACGTAAACCTCTCAAAACACAATGTCATATTAATCATACTTATTGATATTGAAAAATACGGAATTATTATTTACGTTCGAAATTGAGGCTGTGGCGCTATAAGCTGTGAATTCGGGAACGTTGTACCACGTGATCACGGACGCCCATGAGGCCCTGAAACTGCTACTTGATGTTCTGGCTCTGACTTCCGCTGAGGCTCTGTCCAACACTTCATCAGCTGACGGAGAGACAGAACGGCATCAATCGACTCGCACCAAAGATAGTGGGTTAGATCATTATCTGTAGATTCTCATTAGTAAACACTCTTCCCATAATCAACAGATATCTGACTCTATCATAAGAATGTTAAAAAATTATCATATGTTTTGTTTCTTGAGAAGTATAACCAAAGAATCATTAGAATGGATTGTGACATGAATATCTTTTTTATATCATGAATGTGACGGAGCGCATATTCTGTCAAAGCCAGTCTGTTGACGAAGAAATCTGCTGAAGTGCATAATACCGTCGTCATACTTTCGAAAGACAAATCAGTAAAGTCTGCTTATAAATAACAGACAAAAGGTAATTATTAAGCTAAAAAATCGAGTTTTGCGCTAATAATTTCTATAAGGATCTGCCACTCACCACCCTCCCCGCCAGCAAAGTAAATGTGGTAGAAGACGTCTCCACCGAATCTGATGTCGAAGTCATCACAGTAAATGCACACATACTTGACCTCTGCTTGTCCCATACTGCTTAGGATGTAGGGATTGTACTGCTGACCAAAGCTCACCCCACCATTGTCTCCAACCTAGCAAAGAAAAACGAGTTTCTCATTTATTAAGCATCAAGGTTTCCATTTGGAAGAAAAGGACCTACCATTTACCACTTTCTGTCTTGCAATTTTAAATTGGAAACATTCATGGAGACTCCCAACTTGGTATTCTGAAGGAGGTTTCTACTTCTAGGTCCCGAACCACAAGGCGTTCGTAACCTTACGACCTTTCGTAACTCTATAGTTTATCATAGCCTTACGAATGTCGTAGCGCTACAAAAGTTTTATGGATCGGGGCCCAGGTGCAATTCAAAAAACGTCACCTTCGAGTCTTTTAATCTTGGTGTATACTCACTTGTGACATATCAATGTTGATAAGCTGTATCAAGATGCGACATACATATAACTGACTGACTGACTGACTGAGTATGGTTTTCCGCCGCTTTTAGCAATATTCCAGCAACATCACGGCGGGGGATACCAGAAATGGGCTTCACTCATTGTACCCATGTGGGGATTCGAACCCGGGTCTTCGGCGTGACGAGCCAACGCTTTAACCACTAGACTACCCCACCGCCCCACATACATATACCAACACAGAAAACTGGGACTCACTTAAACATACAATTCGTTTAAAACATAACATTTTATCCCCGATATTATTATGATTATGATAGAAGCAAGTATTGCCGTTCCCACTGTCTCCAACTACCAAGTCGATTCATTTACAACGTTAACGAGTTTTCAGCGAGTGAGTATAGTTTTACGCCGCGTGTAGAATAGTACGACAAGTTTACGGCGAGTAACACTATAAGTGGGTTTCACACATTGTATCCCCGTAGGAACTGAACCCGGACCTATGGCATGATGAGCTAACGCTTTAAAAATCCACACCCACTGTATGTAATACAAATGAACTTAAAGCCAATAGCTGACTTCGTGAGTTTAGTTTTACGCCGCTTTTAGCAATATCCCAGCAATATCACGGCAGGGGATGCGACAAATTGGCTTCACACATTGTACCCATGTGGGCAATCGAACTCTGGTCTTTGGCGTGTCGAGCGAACGCTTTAACCACTACGCTACCCCCTCAAACCCAGTAGAAGTTAAGTTATGCTCACATAAAACGTCTCTTCAGTACCGTCGAAGAATGGGAAGCCATCCTCTATGGACAATTCTCCACTGAATACATCCCATCTTGTGTGCCGTAGTCTGTTATCAACCATCGAAAACCCGAATGGGAAAAGTCCTGCAGGGATGAGAACAAACAAAATAGTCAAGTTATACATGTTTTACTTTCCTTGCATAGAACTGTATTTCAAGAAATACATTTATAGATGTTTGTATCTCAATAATATGTCCCACACTGCATTAGGCGAAAAGATATAAAACGTTAATAGACTTTTATTCTTCTTTCTTCTCACTTTAATCGGTTAGGAAGCCTTCATAGTGAAATGATATTGTAATACAATATGGACGTTTGTATCTTATCAAAAGTGAATGAGTACAGTTTTACGCCGTTTTAGCAATATCCCAATATAACTACGGCGGTGGACACGAGAAATGGTCTTCACACACTGTACCTGTGTCTTATCTAGACATAGTTACAGGTAAACTATATCAATTTAACATAAAGGTGACTAACCAGTGAATTATGATCTACGGTCAATGTATAGAAAATAGCCTTACCACTAGAAGAGTCAGTTGACGCTGAAATAGAAAAGTAATTGTTTCTTGATGTTGCATTCATTATTTTATAATACTATGAACTGAAACAGTTAAAACATTGGAATTTCAATTTGGACCATCAGAAACAAAAAATATAATAGTTACTTATTTACACACATAACCTTTCTTAGTTTAAATAAACAATATGTTAACTTCCACGGTTACACGTTGCGAACATTTCTTATCAGTTTACAAAAAGAAATGTGTATACTTACGAGCTCTGTATTATGAAAAAGAAAAGAAAAATAGAGGTTATTTCAGTAAACATAATATTTAAAATGAAAATGAATATTTTCTTCGGTCACTTCCTCAGGAATGTGTTTATTTTTATTTTATTTTATTTTTTTCATGAATAAATAAAGTGTTTATTGCTTACTGCTTTTGTCACGAAGGATACTGACTACTGAATTAAATCATTTATATCTTTGCATTTTACACTTTGCACAAGTAATATCGTCATTGTGTGACCTACCCACATTCTCCATTGTTGCAAGGGCGATCAGCAGGGCACAGTAAGCATATAGCATTTGCTGAAAAAATATTAATCCATTTCAGAAATCTTTCTTTAAAACGAAATATTTATTAGCTGCATTTCATTTGAATAATAACTGACATTAGCAGTTTAAGTTCGGGAGTAATACTAGGCAAAAAAACAACATTTCTATAATCTGAAGAATATCAGCTGAAAGGTGTGTCAATTTACAATTCCGGAACATCAGAATAATGAGAATCATTATATAATATTGCTGATACCAGGTATGCAGTTATTCACTTAGATAACACTCACTTTCAACGTTAGCAGAGTTCTGGACTGTAGGGTTCTCAACGATGTTGAAGCCGCTAAACAGTCCAAGACGTCGCAGCAACATCAAGACGTAGGCCAGGCCAGTTCTGTCAGTTGCTCCACTGAACGTGACTGAGAAGCGGTACACGGTCAGACCACTGGCTTCTCTGCAATGCCGGAAGCAGATTATACATACCAAACTCACTTTTTTCGTTTCGCGTATTCTGTGATCCACTTTTTGTTTAATTTCTTCTATTTTCATCAATTAACAGAAAAAGAAAACACGGAAATACCTGCTTTCTATTATTTCCTACTGTTGTGTTAGTTTTGTTCTATTAAGCCATGTATATCATACCGTAAAATTTCAAATAAATATCAGTTTTTTTTGTTTTGCCGCAATATTCCACCCGTATCACAACTTCCTGTAATTAACCCTGTCTGGAATCTATGGAATCGGTGATCCCTAAAAGAGTATTTGTAATGTCCATAATTGGCGTCAGGAAACAAATGACGTGCATTGGTTTAATATAGTATGAGTGCTTGGTTTAACATAAGCACGATACCCGTGCTCAAGATATTGTTGTTTGTTGTCTGACGCTGCACTCAGCAATAATCCAGCTATATGGAGGCGGTCTGTAAATAATCGAGTCTGGACGAGACAATCCAGTGATCAATGACATGAGCATCGGTCCACGCAGCTGGGATACGATGACATGTGTCAACCAAGTCAGGAAGCCTGACTACCCGATCTCGTTATTCGATTCTTACGGCAAGCTATGGGCTGGTGAAGACAAATTTAACCCGGTCCCATGCTGAAGTGTTTCACTGAAGTGTAGAATGCGTTAGACGCATATTATTTCCAGCTTTTGTCCCAACAGCTGGTACGACTGATATACTGTTATAAGCAGTATTTTTAAACCAACTCACTCACTTTTTAGTTTCGTTACTTACGATATAGTGTTGACTGTGGTGGAATCCACGCTGAGGTCATTATTTGTAAACTCGGTCTGCAGCTACAAATAAAGAATGACATGGTGCTGAATGTATGTATGCATATTGAAACACATGTTATTTCGGAAACGGGGCGTAGGGGTAGCCTAGTTGTTAAAGCTTCCCTCGTCATGCCGAAGTCCTCGGTTCGATTCCTCACATGGGTACAAAGTGTGAACACCCGTGAAGGTCCGGGTTAGAATTGATCTTCAGTAACCCATTCTTGTCGTAAGAGGCGACTTTCGGGATCGGGTGGTCTGGCTCGCTGACTTGGTTGACACATGTCATCGTATCGCAATTGCGCAGATCGATACTAATGCTGTTGATCCCTGGATTGTCTGATCCAGACTCGATTATTTACAGACCGCCGCCATATAGCTGGAATATTGCTGAGTGCGGCGTAAAAGTAAACTCACTCAGAACAATCTTGATTTGATAGTGCTTAACGACAACGAGGTACTTACCTGGCTCTGTACGGCAGCTGTTCGACTGGCTTGGTTGGCGCTAGCAGCAGTAAACTCTTCATCGATTGTAATGGTAGCTTCAACTGTGAAAGGAAATATAAACAGATTTTACAAGGATTAAGAGATTGTCGTCAGCATGACTGCTGTTCAGAACTTTGTAAATCAAGTACCTCTGTATGTATTGTGAATTCAAATCACTGGATTGTCTGGTCCAGACTCGATTATTTACAGACCGCCGCCATATAGCTGGAATATTGCTGAGCGCGGCGTAAAACTCAACTCACTCACCCACAGCTTGCAGTTGACGTTATATATATGTACATTCAGGGTTCGTGAATATTGACGAATTTTATGTTTATTAAGGATTGGGGACAGCCATTGATTCTAAATATTTTTTATGAGACAAAGTGATGTTCTTCATCATAATTCGATAATGTATTAAAGAGAGGAGACCACTTGATATTGATTTGAAAATATACATGTGTTTTAGTTGAAAAACCTTGACGTGAATAAATTCAGTATAGCGTCTGATATTTACGTGATTAAAAGCCGGTAGGATAAGTATGGAATCTGAAAGTATGGTTTTGGCTGACGTTACCGTAAATGGAGCAAGCAAATAAGGAACCGAACTGAACTTTGCGTGGATAAGTCCCTAAGATGTCTTAAACACCGTTTATAGCTAGTTTCAATCCCAGCTTCGCCCTGATGATAAGCTCTGGTTCGAAATTGATGTTCGTGCTATCAACCACCCGGATATGAACATGTTGGTAAGATGCATTTCGACTGTAGATTATTGTTACGTATACTTCAAATAAATTACTCACTCTCTGTTCACCAACTAGGTACATGTGTATCATATGTCAGTTCGACCAAGCATCTACAACGCGTACCTGAACCCGAGTCGCCAGATCCTGCTTGGCGCTTGTCACGAGATAGAACCTCAGTTTCGGTTTCCAGTAGGAAGTCGTCGACTTCAACTAACACTTGTGTGTCGTGGGTGTTGTGAGTCGTTAGCGACGGGGAAGGCGCATCTGTCACACCCATCCAGAAGTTCGTCTCTCTTTGACGGGCAGTTCTAGACGTATTCTTCTTGACAGGGACGAGGTAGTCGTCCTCCAGAAGATCATCAAGGTCATTCTTTTTTTCTGAAGAAATTGAAAAAAAAAAATCATATTTTTTCAGAGGAACTGGTTTTGATTGTTAAGTAGCTTAGTGTTTGGCTGCTAGGTAGTTTAGTGTTTACGTTTGCCCTTACTCACTCACTCATTCACTCATTCACTCATTGCGTGTATTGTCCACAAATCAACCTAACAATACCAGTTCACTTCAACAAAACGAGCTCAGATCTACGTACTGTTTCCATTTATCCGGTGCTACGGACGCAGTCACATTGTGTATTGGGCCAGTAGGTTTAGTTTTAAGCTTTAAGCAATATTCCAGCAATATCACCGGGGAGGAGGAAGAGACATCAGAAATGGATTTCATTCTTCGTAACCATATTGGGAATCGAACCCTTTACCCACTAGGCTACCCCATTACCCTGGATTTTTTAACCTGGTCACGCAGTTTCATCACCTAGAATTAGATCATACAATTCCTAAACAGATCGTAAACGAAGTTACTTACCCATGTGGACCACAGGGTTCGTCGCGGTGACCAGCACCATGAAAGCATTGACGACCACAGCGGTGAAGACGAAGGACGTACCTGGAACCAAAACAATAGTTATCACTGTACGTACCGCATTCACAGAGGCTAACTTGGTGGTAGCAGGTGCATATCATTTACATTAAATCTGTAAAGATTCTCATGCTGTTGATCACTCGATTGTCTGGTCCAGACTCGACTAATTACAGACCGCCGCCATATAGCTGGAATGTTGCCGAGTGCGGCGTAAAACTGAACTCTCTCTCTCTCTCTCTCTCTCTCTCTCTCTCTCTCTCTCTCTCTCTCTCTCTCTCTCTCTCTCTCTCTCTCTCTCTCTCTCTCTCTCTCTCTCTCTCTCTCTCTCTCTCTCACACACACACACACACACACACACACACACACAAATCTCAAGCATAGAACATGTGTTATGATTGAAATGGTAACTATCGCGCCGAGCGTCTGGGTTCGATTCTTAACACAGGAACCCCAACATCCCACCCCACCCCACCATATTTACCTAAGAAGGGTATCAAAGTACATCTAAAGTTTTACTCCCAGACCAAATGTAGAGATAGCATCAAAATCAGGTAATATGATACACCTGGCTTATCACCCACACTTCATATCTTGACCATGTTGAACACCAGTGCTTGTCACCGTCCATTAAACCATGCAGTTAATACTCATGCAGTTGGTCTATGAACATGTGGACACTGCTTCAACAGTGGGGTACACCTTGCTTGTTTTTAGTAACCTGATACATCCTGTGGCTAGTTCCATTTCAACAAGAATTTATGGAGGGTGGGTGGTGTCATACTTATTACTGGGTAATACTTTTACTGCTGCTGAGAGATCCTAAAAGAGAGGCACTTTCTAGCATTTGACCAAGGACTAGTTTATAGGTTATGCTGGTGTTATTGGTGGGAATGGTATCTGGTGTATGGTATCAATGCGAATTCATAATAGGTTAAGGATAAAGAAAAACCTCGTCATTCCGGTTCCTGTTTATTGGGAAACGGGTATTTCTGATGCTATTGGAGAAGTCTATGTCTAGTTAAGAAGCGTTTTAATGTATATTTGTTTAGACAATCCAAAACTTCACTCATCTAGAAAATGTCATTGAGAACCGCACTGACCGGATAAATGGGGTTTGGTGCATATCATGGCGTTTTTGGTTCAAGGGTCTATTTTAAATTATCTGTACTCATCACTTGTAAAATGAGCAGAGCAGGGATATTTTAATACATTATGCATTTAGTAATTTCACATCATATTATGTCAATGTTGATTAAAGGCACATTTGAGTTGTCGAGACCAAACAAAACGTAATGGAACAAGCGGACTGACAATACTAGAATATCTGCTAGGATAATACACATGAACAGTAAATCAACTTGTCATTAACGAATATCGAATTTATTGAGTTCAATTAACGATTCAGAACTCGAATCCTTGAGGGATTTCATGGTCCGTTTCAAAAGTGATCTCAGCACTGCGATAATCATCGGTCTATGTTGAAGTATGGCAGTATAAAAGTAGTGTAGATCTCAGCACTGCGATTATCATCGGTCTATGTTGAAGTATGGCAGTATAAAAGTAGTGAGATCTCAGCACTGCGATTATCATCGGTCTATGTTGAAGTATGGCAGTATAAAAGTAGTGAGATCTCAGCACTGCGATTATCATCGGTCTATGTTGATGAAAGTAGTGATCTCGGTACCGCGCAGGTCCATGCAAAGTAGGCAGTATAAAGGAGATCTCAGCACTGCGATTATCATCGGTCTATGTTGAAGTATGGCAGTATAAAAGTAGTGAGATCTCAGCACTGCGATTATCATCGGTCTATGTTGAAGTATGGCAGTATAAAAGTAGTGAGATCTCAGCACTGCGATTATCATCGGTCTATGTTGAAGTATGGCAGTATAAAAGTAGTGAGATCTCAGTACCACGATTATCATCGGTCTATGTTGAAGTATGGGATGGCGATCTCAGTATAAAAGTAGTGAGATCACCGTACTGCGATTATCATCGGTCTATGTTGAAGTATGGCAGTATAAAAGTAGTGAGATCTCAGCACTGCGATTATCATCGGTCTATGTTGAAGTATGGCAGTATAAAAGTAGTGAGATCTCAGCACTGCGATTATCATCGGTCTATGTTGAAGTATGGCAGTATAAAAGTAGTGAGATCTCAGCACTGCGATTATCATCGGTTTATGCTGAAGTATGGCAGTATAAAAGTAGTGAGATCTCAGCACTGCGATTATCATCGGTCTATGTTGAAGTATGGCAGTATGAAAGTAGTGAGATCTCAGCACTGCGATTATCATCGGTCTATGTTGAAGTATGGCAGTATGAAAGTAGTGATCTCAGTACTGCGATTATCATCGGTCTATGTTGAAGTATGGCAGTATAAAAGTAGTGAGATCTCAGCACTGCGATTATCATAGGTCTATGTTGAAGTATGGCAGTATAAAAGTAGTGAGATCTCAGCACTGCGATTATCATAGGCCTATGTTGAAGTATGGCAGTATAAAAGTAGTGAGATCACCGTAGTGCTCAGCCTGACGATTACGAGTGCTGACGGACCCAGAAACATAACGGGAGGAGAATCGGGATTCGAACCCATGATCGCAGGCTTCTGGCGTGTCGACGGCACGCACCTCTGCATGGGTCAGTCGTGTCCACTACTCTTCAGGAGGAAATAACGAAGCAACGGGGCCACGAAAAGGAGACATGGATAACGAAATGGGCGAGATTGTATGCCGCGCATCACCAGTCCCCAATGGTGAATGTTAAGGTGGAGTGGTATTGACGTCTACTCAGCTAGATACGGGTTGTGATTATCTACATGTGTACTTGTGCATCAGCTTGAAGTCTGTTATGCGAAACACTATAAGCAACACGAGTCAGGGTCATCTTGTCCTAGGTATTTGCATATTAGTAAGAAGAGGGAAAGATGAACAAGTAGAAGAAGAAGAGAAGTGAACTACGAAGCGATACAAAAAGAAGCAATTTAGATGAGGGAAAAATTAGATGATGCTTAGAAGACGAGGTTGAAAAGGACGATGTTGAAGAAGAGGGTGAAGAAGAGTAGGTTGAAGAGGAAGATGTTGGAGAAGAAGAGAGTGAAGAAGAAGATGTTGAAGAGGAAGATGTTGAAAAAGAAGAATGTGACGATGAAAGAAGATGAGGAGAGTTGATAAGAACGGATTAGGTCCATAGCATTTAATGCCATTGGCCAGTGGACGAATGGTTACACAATGTATATCACATATTCGTAATTCTATTCAGTGGCCTGGAATTCCACTCAAATATGTGGAACCCGGCATGGGTACCACAGTTACTAATTATAATGGATTATCTAAATGTGACCACAACACCGAGAACATTTCTGTGAATGAACATACGTCACTTTGAACGCTATATGGAGAAAAAGATGAAACGAATTGACGAGGGAAGGCCACAAGGCGCATCGAAGGTAACATGATCCTGCGGACTAGTTTCACACGATATTACAGTAAATTACACCATAGTGAAACTGGGGTTTTGTTGGATGGAGTTTTACGCATGGGCAACTTCTAGTCGGCTTCACCAGCGCAATGCGAGCGGCGATTGTTCTCTTAGCGTAACGCGATCGATAGCTATGCCTTACCGGACTGATTGTAGATAGAACTTGTCTCACCTATCATCTTATAACCCTGTCACCAAGAGCCATTCTGGTTACGGGGAACTGACTAGGAATAATGACAGGTAGCCACGCGGATCTGGGTTGAATAAACTGGGTTGTGTTACTCTTCTAACAGAGGGTTTAAGTTTATCATCACCCCCATAAGGTAGTACCTAGATGTTGTTGCGCTGGGAATACATTACCTTCGTTGTTGCCTCAGCGTTCAAAGGAAAATCGCAAAATCTCTGTTTTGACATTGGACTCTTATAAAGTAAAACCTCGTTTACTAGAACTCCATTAATATGACATTTTGTTAACGACAATGCAATAAATGTTCATCACATGTATATTATCCTAAAAGCTGTTCTAGTGTCGTCTTCACGCGTTTTCTATAGACCCTACGACTCGATTACGTCTTTAATCATAAGTGACAATATTTTTGTAACGTGTGAACTTAACAAATGCAAATAATCCAGTTTCTTTTTAAAATGAGGAGTTTATCAACTTGTCCCAGGTGGTCTTTCCTCACTTAAAGCATATTTTACACGAATGTGACAGTGAATTTCATAATAGATGCACATTAATATCACAATAATGCCATAGCATTTCCAATCAAATTGTTCGGAATTTTCCTGTTGAGTGTCTCTCAATAATGTAATACAAGATTTTACATTAAGTGTAAAACGTCATTGAAAAAGAAAACCCAGCCCTGACCATTCTAAGAAACAAGTGCCATTTGGTGTAAAGGAAAACAGCTGTGAAAATATGATGCATTGATTACAGAAAGCCAGTGACAACACCGGGTGTTCACGATCAGGGTAAGCATGTGTAAAACCTGAAGTCTGGTTCACTGGTACACCGACAGTGTACCGATCAATGACCACAACCCCGACCCGATCAATGGTTTCACGCTTGATATAAACAGTCTCAACCCTGTAGTTATAACCAATATCGCGTAATATTAACAGTCTCAACCCTGTAGTTATAACCAATATCGCGTGATATTAACAGTCTCAACCCTGTAGTTATAACCAATATCGCGTAATATTAACAGTCTCAACCCTGTAGTTATAACCAATATCGCGTGATATTAACAGTCTCAACCCTGTAGTTATAACCAATATCGCGTGATATTAACAGTCTCAACCCTGTAGTTATAACCAATATCGCGTGATATTAACAGTCTCAACCCTGTAGTTATAACCAATATCGCGTGATATTAACAGTCTCAACCCTGTAGTTATAACCAATATCGCGTGATATTAACAGTCTCAACCCTGTAGTTATAACCAATATCGCGTGATATTAACAGTCTCAACCCTGTAGTTATAACCAATATCGCGTGATAAAAACACGTTATAGGGAACTGTACTTTAGCGTGAATATTGAAATGTCATATACTTCACATCTGACACAGACAGTTGTAAATGTCTCACATACTACCTAATGCAGCAACAGTTTGCTTAAGTTAGTACAAGGTATTTCAAAGACTCCGCGCCAAATATTTCAACATGTACCGCACACTTGCTATTGTGTTCCAGCTTGTCTAAGAACATAAACTGACGTTCAAAAGATGTACACACCTGATTCTTTGGTAAAATATTTTCTTGAAAACAGCATTAATATTTAAAAAGTGTTTTGATTCTGCCTTGTCACAAACATTGTACAAGTGCTTCCAAAACACCACAGATATTGTACCCAATTACAACATTGCCAGCAAAATATTTATGGTTTTATTGGGAATAGTCCCAAAACAACAGGTGTGTGCTTTGTTATGCACGTCAGTATATATAACCGTATGTCTCTATTGAAATCATACTTGGTGGTTACAGCCAATCTCGCATGGCAAAAACAGGAGAAACTGGATAGGGAACCTGTAGACCTCTCCTGGCAACACCTGCCATTAAGACAATCTAGCTTGTCTAAGAACATACCTAACGCTATATCCCCATACGTGCTTGCAGCTGACTAGCAATACCATTGTAGTTTCAAACGCAGACTACTGTAGTAAGTGGGAAATATTTCATAAGACGTTTTAGTAAATGTGATGAAGATATATTATCAGATCAAAAAAGTGATTGTATCTGAAACAATCACTTTCGGTGTATGCACCGTATGTACGATACATCAGCCTGCATTCCAAACTGTTGTTACTGGAATCTAAGTTTATGCGAGTTCATATAAAAATGTAATATCGTCTAAAACGTAAAAGGTAAATTGGAGAATACCCAAAGAAAGACAAATATTTACCTCGCATCTTGAAAGTATTTCTGTGAACGAAATGTAAGTCTCCTTCAATAGTAATCCTTTCCGCAACGAAACTATCTGGTTGCTCGTCGGAGGATATTGAGACCAGCTCACCTCCAAGAAAGTTCGGGTATGAAACAAGCCCCCCAAACTTGAAGTAAAATACCCCAAAGTGTAATTATCGATAGGCGGGCCTTCGACAACAAAACAGATCCTCGGAAAATATAACCCCGTGCTATTGGTTGAGTTCGCTCTGTTAGTGACGAGAGTCAGTCATTTGTATTGAATTCAGTGGGCGTGACGTTCCTCACGCCCGTGTTGTATCCATCAATGATGTTATGCTTGTTATGATTGGCCCTCGTCGACAGGAGAAGTAGCACAAATAATAAAATACATGTGGGTTGAAGTGTCAGTTGGGTTTCACAATTGCTAGTCTTGAAAGTTTCATTTTCAGTGAAACATTTATGGAAGTGAGGAGCTTAACCAATTCTGCATTACAACATTGTGATGGGTTTTAATCTTTCTCTAAAAAAAATTAAGGTGATGTACGTCATAACAGTGTTATCTTCACTGGGTAATGTGCGTATCATATGTTAGCCTATTAAAGTATACTGGACAAAATAAGTTAAGGATATTGGTATTTTTATGATTGATATTTTATCAGTGTAACAATGAATAAATAGATCATTATTCATAATTTCAAAATTACATATATCCCTAACTATTTTTGTCCAGTATATATTGTCAGCGTTTTACTTAGAAAGGTAAAATATGTTGGTATTTGTATTTGCATGTGACGGGTGCCACCGGTCGGGCAGGATACCATCTTCTTCTCCCGACCACCAGGTACCATCACTGTTTCATGTGACATCATTAACACATGCTCATGCTAAAGTCGTACTTTCGTCTCTGCTTTTACCAGAGATTTCTTACTTATAAGCTTATATACTTTAATTAACATACCTTGATGCCCGAATAAGCTTGACGTTACTTTCATCGCAAGATCCTATAAAAGCTTTTTATGAATCTAGTCATTCTAGAAACGTAATAATTATGGCAATTATGTAAGATGTTCAGTGGCGCCTAACCAATATACTTAAGTGCCCTTTGCCAGTTTGCTTTACTGACGGGTGGTTTATTGCAAATTTTATAGCTTCGATCAAACGAAGTGGTTCTTATTAAACATAAATAGTTTCATTTTCTTAAAAGTATATAGTACGTCACCTAATGTGTATCGGTTACTGATAAACAGACAACGAGATTGCAGAGTAGATATTGTACAATCTGTCTCTGTAGACTAGTCGTGAGCTTCGATTTTAAGATAAAACTAAAGACTGCCCGAGTAACGTTTGGAAATGTGGGATGAAGTCAAATAGGTATGGGGGAGGGAGGGGAGACAGCGAGTGAGATACAGGGCGAATTTTGACCTATACTTGTATATGCATAGTATTACCATTTTTCATCATTACTCTTTTTGCTGATAAAAACCAGACCCTCTCATGATTGCCAACACTTGGAATCAGAACAGGTTTATTCTGATTTATAAACATATGATGATAAAATCGCACTTGTATATTTGAAAATGATGTCTAGCAGATAGAAGGGTATGGCTGTGTGTGTCTGTGGCCTCTCTCCCTCTCTGTCTGTGTCTCCTCTCTCTCCCTCTCTCTCTCCCTCTCTCTCTCTCTCTCTCCTCCTCTCTCTCTCTCTCTCTCTCTCCCTCTCTCTGCCTCTCTCTCTCCCTCTCTCTCCTCTCTCTCTCCTCCCTCTCTCTCTCTTCCCTCTCTCTCTCTCTCTCCCTCCCTCTCTCTCTCTCTCTCCCTCTCTCTCTCTCTTCTACTTTACTTACAAGTGGAATGATAATATGGCTTCAGATCCCCCTTCCCCCCTCAGTAACTAATGCCCTTCATTACAGGATATGATTGATGGTGTTGTCTACAACCTTAATAAGAGTTTAGATATGTTTGTGAAAGCTGTTCTTTCCGCATCTGAATGTATGAAAAAATCCTTCAAACGTGGGTCAGTTGGTATTAATAGAGGATTTTATTATTCGATATATACAAAAAGCTAAGCAAGAAGCACGATAGCATTTGAGACCATTTAGAGGTCATAAATCATATGAAAGTAAGTATGCCTACTGCAAGATGAGAAACAAAATACACTAAACGCCAAAAGAATCGTTGCCCTCCTACCTTTATGAATTACTGAAAAACTATCAAAGGTATGTTAGAAGGTATTAGTTTACAAGAAAGCTTAACAACACAGCTTTAGGCAAATCACGAACAAAAACTCTCAAATGCATTCATATTTAGGTGAAATGCATATTTTTCAGAAGAGTTAAATTGTCCTGTATTCGTCCATGTCGAAATAAACCAATAACAGTGACTTTGAGGTCCAACAAAAAGGTTGAAATAAAAGTCTGCTTTGGGACAGTGATAAACCATTTAAAGTCACCTCTTTTCAACTATTAAAACAAGAAACAACTGTTGTAGAGTGTGTAAAATTGTAAAATTAAAACATTTTCTGCTCATTTGCACTAGTGAAAACAAGTAAAACGTGTCTTTGATATTGTGAAAAAATGTTTAGGAACATCTCAACTTTTCTTTGTTAACATTTTGGTTGCAAAGTAACATTTTTCAATTGTCTGTTAACACATAGCAATATCAATCGCCAAAACGCAGCAATATGCAAGCTGTATTTTCATCCATTTCACATGTAGAAAGATTGTATTGGGTATGAAGAGAGCCTAGAATGTATGATATGGATACACGAGTACGAGAAATAGGCCACGATTAACAACCGAAGAGAGAGAAAGAGCCATTGGGATGGTGCAGATGGGTTCGACATACAATGCTGTTGCCAACGCCTTCGGATGCCACAGTATCACGGTTATAAGACTGATTCAGGGCTTCAGACAGACTGGGATCACCGTAGACAGACCAAGAAGTGGACGTCCCCGCATCACAACGCCAGCTGAAGATAGGTGCCTCCGTCATTAAGGAAGGAGGTTAACGTTTCTTTCGGCGTTTAGTGTATATAAATGTTTGTCGAATATCAAAGTATGATTACCAGAATCGAAAAAGAAAGATTCTTATAGATACCGTTAATATTTCTTCTAGATTTTGGAAGGAGTTGGGGAATATTTCTGGCGGTGACAACAGAAGTTCTAACCTTCAGCTTAATAGTTCGGATCATTTTACGAATGTATTCAAAAGAATAGACTTACCGACCACTAATAATGATGCATCTGTCCAAGATGACAAACTACTTGATGATCTTATTGCATATATTCTTGAATCACCTATAACTGATTCAGAAATTCATATTGCAATTCAGCATTTAAAGAATGGTTAATCCACAGGAAATGATGAAATCATGGTTGAAATTTTAACGTGTTCAGAATCAGTCATTATCCCGTTTTTTGAGAAAATTATTCAACATGTTAATTAATGATGAAGAGAGCCTAGAATACAGTGGCCAAAGGCAATTATCATCCCTCTTCTTAAAAAGGGTAATGAAGACAATCCTTGCATTTGTAAAATTATACATGTATACTTAATGCAAGATTGACAAATTGGCAACTCTTAGATACAAATTTACAGAAACCCAGGCTGGTTTTAGAAACGGGTATTCAGCAGTAGATCACATTTTCACGCTATATACTATCATTCAAAACACTTTACTGAAGAAGAAAAAGAAGTTATATATCGCTTTTGTCGACTTCCGAAAGGCATTTGATTCGATCGACCGTAAAACACTATGGGGATGTCTTTTGGTTTAAGTGGAAAGATGCTTAGGGCACCGAAACGTATTTATAGCTCTGTTAAAGCCTGTGTAAAAAGTAATAACATTTTAACAGACTATTTTGAATGTTCTATAGGATTGCATTTTAAGTCCACTCCTCTTCTCGTTCTTTATAAATGAATTGACATTTAAAATAACACAACACGGAAGGGTTGGTGTGCAACTATTTCCAGATATACTAGAATCTTTATTGTTAATTATTTGCTGATGATGTGATTTTAGTTTCTGATGTTATATCGGGCCTGCAAAGACAGCCAGCAGTTCTAGAATCATATGCAGACACATAGGGATTGACAGTTAACCTAAAGAAAACTCAAACTGTTTTTAGAAGAGGTAGACCCTTAGCGAGAAATGAGAAATGGTTTTATAAAGGTCAACGTGTTTTAACAGATGATTCATATAGATATCTAGGTATTCCGTTGCATTTTTCTTGTAAAATCAATAAATGTATATCACGTTTATCATCTCGGGGTAAAAGGGTACTTCTAGAAGTGTTACAGCACTTATTTAAATTGAACAATGTCGACTATTCTGTAATGTTCAAAATATTTATACTCAAATTCAACCAATTCTCTTGTATGGTGCCGAAGTGTGGGGTAATAATAAATTGTATAAGATTTAAAATGTAATTTAACTGCCTGTAGTTTTTAAATGTAGGTCCTCAAACACCAAATGTAATTGTTTGTCGTGAATGTGGACGTTACCCACTGTACATAAATGCACAATGGCGTTCTATAAAATACTGGCTTAAACTTGAAAATATGCATCAACAAAGAATTAAAAAGAACCTTATCGTATGTTAATGTATTATGATAATTGTGGTTATGATAACCATATTTCATCTGTGCGTAATTTATTGTTTTTAGATTAATTGGTTGTTTGGTTATTTCAAGGTGTCGGTAATGAATTCCAGTTTCTTCAGATTTTAAAAAATGTTGCGTTGACATGTATATACAGACACGAAATGGTACAGTTGAAGGCACTTTAAGGTATAAGCTGTACAGACAATATAAACTCCTTTTAGAGCCAGAAAAATATTTAACTTTGTTAACAAAAAAACCCATAGAAATATTCTTACAAGAACCAGAGCCAGAATGTTAAAATTAAAGGTTAATGAGGGACGGTGTTTGGGAGATGATTTTTATCAATGTATTTTCCCTATATGTAATATAGGAATAGAAGATGAATTTCATTTTTATACTTATATGTGAATGTTATAATAATCTAAGAAACTGTTATTTACCACCGATGTACAACGACAATCCGTTTATCTATAAATGTCATCAATTGCTATCTTCTACATCAAATGAATTATAAAATAATCTTTGTAAATATTTATGATTGAG